GCCTTCCCCACCCGGTCTGGCAGCCTCCAGGAGCGGGCTGGATTTGAAGACTCGTCCAGGGTTAAGACTGGATTCTTGGTCATGACCTGAGCGGGGAGAAAGGTTATATGTTCTGGCCAGAGGGAGTGGCTTCCTGGGAGAGCCTCTCCGTCCTCCTTTCCTGCCCTCCTTCAGCGTAAATAGCCCAGGCCACAGCCCGCTCCCTTGGCGTTGGCTGGAGGGGAATTTTCTAAAGGATGAAGTTCCTGGGAAATGTCCACCCTTTTTCCCTTTTTTCTATGACAAAAGCACTGCTAATGGCTCCTGCTTGACTTGGGAGTCTTGGCTGGGGGAGCCTGGGGTCAGAACTAGCTGGACCAGAACATGGAGATGCTGACCTCCCTTCCTCTGGTGACAGTCCCAGTCTGCTGTCTGCCGTCACTCAGCCTTGTCATTCCTTCCCCAGGGGGAGGGCACGGCCCCCTTGAAGGCTCTAGAGTCAGGAGTGAGGCATTCCTGCGTGGAACTTCTGAGAAGAGCCAGCCCACCAGGCTCCGGGGAAGACCCAGAACACGGGAGCTGGGCCCTTGCTGGCAGCGGTGGCAGGGATGGGCCGGGCTTTGCTTGTCAGTACTGGGTCCAGGCATGCCCTCAGACTCTGCCTTTCCCCATGATGTTGACTGAGGTTTCCGGGGTCCCATTTCCCATCAGGGCTTCACAGCCTGACTGACGTGCCGTGGGGCAGGAGCTGGGTCCCATCTTCAGACAAGGTCCTAAGGCCTGGACGAGTGTAGCCCCCAGCACCCAAGGAGGGCTAACCCTGAGGCCACAATGAAGTCCCCACCGCACCAAGCAGTTCTGAGAGACCTGGAAGGGCCTCCCTCTGGCATATAGAAGGGCCACCTTGTGCCCCCAGAGCGAGAGGCAGCAGGTAAGGCAGGGACTGCAGCCTTGGCTCGGCCTGTCTCCTGCCTGGTGGAAGGGAAGACGAGCCGTGCCTCTGCGGTGCCAGCCAGGACAGGAGCAGGCTCGCTAAGTTCAGGAATTGGTCACACTGTGAAGGAAGCAGGAAACGCAGCTCTCACACCTGGCCCTTCTTGTCTTGCTGGGAAGGGCCCCCTCACTCGGGCCCACCCCTGCCTGCCCTGCACCCCTCCCGTGCCTGCCCCTGCCGGGTTGGAGGGAAGGGGAACTCAGGGAGCCAGCAGTGCATCACCAGTAAGCCAGCTGGGCTGGGCGACTCGGGTGTCCACAGCCACTGGCGGTTCAGATGGGGAGACTCGGGGTCTGCCTGCTGCCGGCCATAGAGTCCCCCGTTTCCACTGAGCTTTTTTTCCTCTGACCTTCACACAGAGAGAGGGGCCTGGTGGGAGGGTGTGGACACCACGCCCGTTGTCTGGACAGGATCAGACTCTCTCTTACCTCTTTGCAACTCTGAGACCAAGAGTCCTGGGGAAATACAGGGAGGAGATGGAAGTGTTGGCACTTCCTATGCCAATAGTGAAGGCTGCTTTTCAAAATCCGTACTGGGAACCCAGCTTCAGCCAGGCCCCTGGAAATGTTCCAAGGGAGGGCATCTGCGCAGCCACCAAGCTCCTTCAATTGGGTCAACGTCTTCCTTACAGGAAGCACCCTCAAATGCAAGGAGGACGTGCACCCAGCCTCCAGGCAGCGTGGCAGGTTTAGTTTTTTCCCTTTGGAAAACACAGCTGATAAAATGTGGTTAACAGGGCTTTTCTGTAGGACTGCCATTTCTTACTCACTGTCCACCCAAACACTGGGAATAGTTTTCCTGGGATTCCCCTGCCCCCTCCCTGCCCCCTGCAGATTCAATTATGGGAATCAGCATAAGAAACAAGTTGTGAAACCAGTAACTCTCCACTGCCTGGGGTAAGTCCACTGAGGGAGTTTTCCTCCCCAATATTCCTCCAGGGCATTCGTCAGATCTCAGACCCTCCCCACGACTCCTTCTAGGAGGGGAAGCTCTGCAGCCGGGCCTTCTCCATACGGGAGACTCCCCTGAGAGCCCATGGGTGGAGCGGGCCACTGAGCTGCGCCATCCGGGGCTGGGAGTGTTTACAACTGAAAGGTCTGAGAGGGACAAGCCCCCATTCGCCCCTCCCAAGCCCACACAGTCTCCCCTGCAGACCCCAGGGTGCCTCCCCCAGCCATTCTCAGTGATGTCCCTGATAACCCTTGGATGTTTTCTTCGGCATCCCCTGCCACCTCTCATCATTCGCTTGCCCTCTCAAAGACAGGCCTCAGCTTTTTTTTTTTTTTTTTTTTTGAGACCAGTTTTTGCTCTGTTGCCCAGGCTGGAGTGCAGTAGCACAGTTACAGCTCACTACAGCCTCAACCTCCCAGGCTCAAGTCATCTGCCTGCCTCAGCCTCCCAAGTAGCTGGGACTACAGGTGACCATGCTGGATAACCTTTTGGTTTTTTGTAGAAACAGGGTCTCGCTGTGTTGCCCAGGCTAGTCTCCAACTCCTGCGCCACAGCTTCCCAGAGTGCTGGGATTACGGGCATGAACCACCTCACCCAGCCTGGGTCTCAGCTTCTTTTCATGGCCAAGTCCCGCTGCCATGCCTCACACCCACCCCAAACCCAGTTAGGTTCAGTCAATTACAGTCGGCAGTATCTTGTTAAAAAAAGTTTTAAAGCAACTTTTATTGTATTCTCACTGTATGAGTATACACATTGTATAGAAATAATCTTGAAAAAGGAAAGATAAGGATACCCTGTAATCCTTTCTCCCAGAAGGAGCTCATTTTACTACTACCAAGTACATTCCAGCACACCAGTGTGGCCACATTGTCTCACCTGCCTCCCCCAGGCACCCCCAGCCTGTCCTTACAACTCTGCCCCCAGGTCACCCTGACTCCCTTGCACCTGTACCGGCCTCTGGTTCTGGAACCGCCCTCAGGGTCTGTCATCAGCCCTCCTCTGCTTGCACAGGGCCATCTTTGCCTCAACTCCTACTGTTCCTTTGAGGCTCACTTTAGCTTAGTCACTTCCTGAAGCCTCTAAGTTGTACTCCCCATATCCCCAAAACCCTGGAAGGGCCCTTTCTCCTTTTGGTCAGTGCAGAAGCAGAGGTACGTTATTTCTTGACCAAATGGTTGCCCTCCTGAAGTATCTTTGTCCCTCTAATGCCTGAGTGTCTCACGTCGCCGTGTCTCAGTCAAGGTATAGTGTCCGGCGCGCAGGCCCAAGCTTGCTTTATGACCAGGGGCAGTGAGCTCTTGCAGGACTGCAAAGACTAGACAGAGTCCCAAAGGCAAGGAAGGCCAGGTGGGAGGGAAGGGGAGCTCAGGGAGCCCGCAGTGCATCACCAGCAGGCCAGCTGGGCCGGGCGACTCAGGCATCCACAGGCTGCTGCAGGGACCTGGCAGGCAGAGGGAGCTAGGCTTCACAGAGTTTGGGTCTTCCCCACCCCACGGCAGCTCTCCTGGAGGCATGCCTCAGTTTCCCCCACCGTGTCTTCTCTGCATGCCGTGTGCAGGGCCACCTGGTCAGCCTGTGGAGTCAGACCGCCCGTGGGCCTTCACGGTTGTGTTGAAGAACAGGCTGGGTCCTAGGCAGGGTGGGTGCTGCCGGTGGGAGCCTCAGGTGGCCTTTGACCTCAGGATTTTACACTGTGGCATTTGGTTTTTTTTTTTCTTTTGAGATGGAGCCTCGCTCTGTCACCCAGGCTGGAGTGCAGTGGTGCGATCTCAGCTCACTGTAAGCTCCGCCTCCCGGGTTCACGCCATTCTCCTGCCTCAGCCTCCGGAGCAGCTGGGACTACAGGCGCCCGCCACCGCACCCGGCTACCTCCCTGGCCTCCCAAAGTGCTGGGATTACAGGCGTGAGCCACCGTGCCTGGCCGGTATTTGGGTTTAAGAAGTCAGTTGATGGTACCAAATCTGATGCCCTGAGAAGTGGTCTGGCTTCTGCCCTGAGGAGACTCCTGGGCCTGTGCAAAGAAGCTATAGCCATTGCTGAGGCACTGCCTGGCGCCCTGGGAGGGCACGGTGATAAGGTCAGGGGAAGCCGGGGCACAGGGGCCATGGGTTGGTTCTGAGCTCCAGCCCATTGTCACCTGCCGGCGTCTCTAGAGCCCACCTCTCCCACCCCTGCTTGTCCGCAGGGCTGGTCATTTGCCACCTCCTGATCCTAGACATGGAGAGCTGAGGGGACAAGGCAGCGGGGCCTCTGAGTGGAGGGCGCGCCTGCGGGCAGTGACTGGGACTCCAGAGCAGGCCGCGTCCCTCCTGGAGCCTCACACCCTGGGACACTTCCCATGACTCGGTTTCTCTAAACGGCAAGCACGTAGCCCATAAGCGAATGGGCACCAAGAGAGTCCGGGGGTTCCTCAAGATCAAATTGTTCTCGGGCCGGATGGAGCAGGCCTGCGTCCTGTTTTCACTGCTTGAGAGAGTGCAGTTGGCAGGAATGAGGATGGAGGCGAGGTGTGCAGACACTCAGCCAGAACCATCGGCTCCCATCTCTCCGCCTGCCTCCTCGGGTCAGCAAGGAGACTGTCCAGGCAGGCTACACCCGTGTTGGTGCAGGTGGCATTCTGCCAAGGGGTAAGCCGAGTCCAGGAGCCATGGGCCACATCCCCCCAGAGGGGGTTCCCTTTGCTGTTTGCACAGAGGCACCCTGGCCTTAGTACCTACGGGTAAGGGTGGCCCGGGGAACAGAGGCTGCGGAGGTCGGAGTGGATAGGCTCCTCTCAGAAGGTGTCCTCTGTTGTCCCGGCACAAGGCTGGGGAACAGTGTGTGTTTCTGGATGGCTGACTCCATTTTCTAGAGGAAGGGAGGTTGGCACCTCATCAGAGGGTAGGCTGGGAGTGCCTGCTAGGGAGTCACAGCTTCAAGTAAGTGCGGGCCCAGGGCCTGGCTCACCCAGGCCGCCTTGAAGATGCCTCCCTGGAAACTGTCGCTGAATGCCTAGGGATGGAGTAAGCCCCGCCCTGGCCTGCCATGCTGCCCTGGCGGAGTTAGAGAAGCAGCTCCCCCTGTGCTCTCCCTCCAGGCCTGCTACCTGTGCCACAGCCTTCTGACGCTGGCTGGGGTGGTTGTCAGCTGCCAGGACATCACTCCAGACCAGTGGGTGAGTCTCCCGAGGGCCGGGGTTGGGGTGGGGGTGCCCAGCTGTGTCTTCTCCCCCAAGCAGCGTGGGGTTGACTGGGATGGCGCCCAGCCCACTGTTAGGAACTGCAGAGGGCAGGAGGCTGAGAGAGAAGCCAGCCTGGGAGAGCCAGGGCCTCTTCCTCCCGACAGTGCCCCACCAGCCGAGCCACTCCCAAGGGACACTGACCAGAGCCCTAGCAGTTGTGCTGGCCCCATCCTCCTTTTCCTGCTCAGCTTCTGAACAGTCACTCACATGTGCCCCTTCCTTTGTCTGAATTTGTTCTCCTCCTGTCCTGCTTTGGATGTGCCTGGCTCATGCTACACTCGCCTCTCGGCCTCCCTCCGCCTCCGCAGGGCGAGCTGCAGCTGCTGTGCATGCAGTTGGATCGCCACATCAGCGCACAGATCCGGGAGAGCCCCCAGGCCACGCACCACACCATGCTCAAGGACCTGGCTACCCAGACCTACATCCGCTGGCAGGAGCTCCTGACCCACTGCCAGCCCCAGGTGGTGCCCCCTCAGCCCCCAGACCTGGGAGGGGCGGGAAGTGGTCAGGCAGAGCTGGCCAGAGCCACCAGCACAGCCACCCTCGCTGCAGCTGCTGAGCTCCTGGCAGGGACATGGGTGGAGCAGGCATGTGGGGGAAGGGTGGGGACGCCTTGAGGGGCCTTCATCATTCTTATCAAGAATCCAGTGCCAAAGGCTGGGCATGGTGGCTCACACCTGTAACCCCAGCACTTTGGGAGACCGAGGCGGGAGGATCACAAGGTCAGGAGACCAGCCTGGCCAACATGGTGAAACCCATCTCTACCAAAGATACAAAAAATTAGTCAGGCATGGTGGCGGGCGCCTGTAATCCCAGCTACTCTGGAGGTTGAGGCAGGAGAAATCGCTTGAACCCAGGAGGCAGAGGTTGCAGTGAGCCCAGATTGCGCCATTGCACCCCAGCCTGGGCAACAGGGCGAGACTCCATCTCAAAAAAAAAAAAAGAATCCAGTGCCCAGAGTAGGTGCAGAGGGAAGGGGACACAGAGAAGTGCAGTCCTCAGGAAATGCAAAGAAAAGTTGCCCTGGAGAGGGAAAAGTCTGGACCCAGAGTGCCCGTCTGTCATGAGCAGTGCCAGGAAGGGGCCCCAGCTGTTCACCTTCTGCCCACTTGTGCTGTGGGCCTGAGGCTGGCCTCCTGCTGTGTTAGGAGGAAGGCTCCCAGGCTGCCTGGGTCCTCTCCACTACACCCCCTGCCCACGCTGAGTCTTCTCAGAGCTTGTAGGTGTGATACTCACAGCTAGTGTTTCTTGAATGAAGATCTGCTTTATGAGAACCCACACAACCCCCATGAGGCAGGTGTTACCAGGAGCCCATTTTACAGAGGAGCAGACTAACCAGAGGCCTGAGAGGCTCAATGGCTTACCCCCATGATGCAGGCAGCTTATGTGAATGTCAGAATCAGGGCATGAGGCAGCCTGACTCCCAAGCCTCCGAGCTAACCAACTGCAGCGCCTGTGCTGGTGCCCTCCCTTCCAGCCCCATGTCTCCAAGCAGCACCCTGCTGGGCCGGCTTGGGGTCTCCCTGCCTGAGCCGCCAGCCCTCTGTGGAGGGGCGCAGGACCTGTGAGGACCACCTCCCACCCCACCACCAGTGCCCCTCCCCTTCTAGCCTGCCGCCTCTTGACTCCTCTCTCGTCCTTGCCCCATAACCTCTGACTTAGGGGTGACACATGGACCACAGCCTGTGGTTTGGGTCTCAAATTTCGCCAAGTCTCTGAGAAGGCTAGAGAACAAACCTCACCCTCACTCCCCAAGGAACTAGATCTCACCAGCCTCTGGTGGGAGCAGCGTGCTTGTCATGAGAAGGAGGAAAAGTGATTCAGGGCCTGGCAGAGGGGCCCTGGCAGACCACTTGTACAGTCACGTAGCCTGATGACCGCTGTGTCCTCGCCAGCACTGTGAACCCAGGCATCCTGCTCACTCGGTCCTTGGCATGAGCCTGCAATGGGTGCTGAATGGACACCGCCAGCCCGGGGAGCTGCAGGGCAGTGGGCAACACCTAGGCCGAGGCCCTCACAGCCTGCTTTTCTCCTCTCCGCAGGCCCAGTACTTCAGCCCCTGGAAAGACATCTAAAAGAGCAGGGTCAGGGCAGCCCAGGGCTCCTGGCTCCAGCAGGAAGTGAACAGGCTCAGGGAACTGGAGGAAGCGAAGCATCAAGGCCAGAGGCGGCCCCATACTGACCAGCCTGATGAAGCAAGAGCCTGCCTCTGCCACCGCCCCAACACCCTTTCCTCTCAGCAAGGGATGGGCTTCTCTGCCTCGCCCACCCCTCAGCCCTCTCCCAGCCGTCTCCTCTTCCCCAAGGCCTCTGTCTCCATAGCTCTGGTTTCCCTGGGCCTCCGTCCTCCCCACCCTCCTTCCTCTCTGTCCCTGTCACTAATGTGAGGTTTCTTTGTGCACATTGAAGTCTTTCAGCATCAGTGGTTTAGAACACTTCCTTCAGTCCCTGTCCCGAGGGCTCATGCCAGCGTCCAGTCTCCTGATGCTCCTGCCTGTGTTTCGCTGGGTTCTCAGCTCAACAGTTATAGCCCAGGCCCCGCCTGTAGCAGAGGGCTGTCTGCAAGTCCCCGGGGAGGGGCAGTGCTCCCTGCAGCCCACTGTGGCCCAAGAGCTGTCAGAAACCCAGGAACGGGACGTTTGTTTGGACCCAGTGTGGGACCACTCCCCATTCCCCGCCCCTGCTGAGGAGGCGGCACAGAGTGAAATGTGGATCAGGGCTGTAATTACACTTAATTCCATTTAGTGCTGAGCTCTGAAATCAACTCCCCAGCCTCAGGAGTGGGGGCGGTTCAGAAGCCACTTCCAGATGCTGCTTTTGCTTTTCCTCTGACTTGCCCCAGATGAGTTCATGGGACCTGATCCCTGCTAGGGTCCTAGGTAGTTTTGACCTGAACCCCTTGAGTGAGTGGCCCTTTGAGCTCCAGGATACCGCTGGAGATCTATTTTGCACACTCCTCCAACCCTGAGAATCCATGTTTAGTCCCTGGCCCCTCCTGACCCTTCCTAGGTTTGGATGGGGTTTTGCAGGTGACACGAGGTAGCTAGGCAGTGGTAGAGGACTGCCCCTGCCACACTGGACTGTGTCCACTCCTCAACCCTGGCTGGCTGCTAGCTCCCACGACGGCTGCGTACAATTCTTCTGCTTTTATGCGTCCCTCTCTCTGGCTTTCATGCACAGGGATAGGGAGGGCGGGCTAACTAGGAGAAAGATTCCCCCAAAATAAAGGACTTTCAGGCCAAGTGGCTCAATGTGCAGACCCCAAGTGGAGTTCACCAGCTCTGGGGCTGTTTCAGACACAGCTGCCTCGCTCACTTCGTCCCCGGAACGCTAGGAGCTGGAGGCATCTATTATTCAGGGGCACGGGCACAGCACAGTACTGGATACCACACAGGACGCCTTTCTGCCTAGCAGCCTTTGCCAAACGAGAGGTGGAAGAAACCCTCGGCCAGGGTGACTTAGGTGCCAGGTGACCTCCGTGAGAGTTCTGGTTTCTGTTCCCGGCCGTGTCACATGCCCCCATGGCCCGGGCACCACTGAAGCCCCGGCAGCATCAGGTCAACCTCAGATCGTCCAATGAGCGAGCAGGGACTCTAGTGAGCCAGCCTCCTTCACCCGCCCTCGGGGCTGCCCTGCTCCACACGGCATGCACTGACAGTTCATCTGTAACTATTCACTTTTCTCTGGAAACCTGGAAATCACCTTTGAAATTTCCCTTCTTTGTTCCTACTGCCAAGGGCAAAGAGGAAGCCTGAGAGGCTAAACAGGGGAGTTTCCAGTTCTGGAAGGTGGCCCTACCTGACTCTGAGAAGGAGCCGAGCTGTCCATCAGCATTGATAACTGGAGCCTTCCTCCCCAGTCCTGGCTCTTATCCACTGTCCCCTCCTCTCCTGCTCCCCAAACATACTCATACCCAAGATAGAAATAGATACCAAGGGGAGAGAAGGTGTCGGTGACGGCTCCGTCCCTCCAGAGACCTGGCTGTAACCCGAGCAGAGGTGTGCACTGTGAGGTCGCCAAAGGGCGTATGCTGTCCCCTGGGGTGTGTAATGGGCCCTCTCTGGGACTGGCTGGGAGCTGACCATATCTTCTAAAACTAGTCTGGGATCAGTTGGAGACTCAGCCTCCCCAAGGTCCAGATGTTTACAGTGGTGCTGGCACGATGACCACTTGCCCTCCAGATCTTTGACTTTTCCAGATCCCTAAGCCCTTGGGAAAAGGCTGGGGGATATCCTGATAGGAGCCAATGGAAAATCCGCATCCGGGGCTGTGATGACGGATGTTTTCCTGCTTCCTTTTGGTCCTGGTGACAGGGAGGGGCTGGGAAGGGAAAGGCGTCCCAGGTGGGCGGCTTTGATAACTCTCCTTTGGAGGAAGTAGGGAGGGAGAGTTCTTTTCCTATGCCTATGTCCCCAGTCACCTCGGTCCCCAGGCGCTCAGAAAGAGCCTTGAAGGGTAGCTGACCCAGGCTTGCTTGCTTCCCCATCTGGGGGATGACAGCAGTCCTGGCTGCCTTGGAAGTCCACCGGGCAGCGTTTACCAGAGAACCCAGTATCCACCCCGGGCGTCCCTCCAGCTGCCTCAGGAGAGCTGGCAGGCAAGTAGCTCAAATGAAGGGCAGTGTGGCCCACAACCAACATCAAGAGATGGGGAAGGGGACTTGCTTTTCAGGAGAGACTCCTAGGTCATCTCTAGGGGCTGGCCTGAGCTGCTGGGTGATCTCTGAAGACCCTTGAGAGGCATTTAGCACAATTTCAGTCTTTCCTTGACCACAAGCAGTTGTCACTGCCTGAGTCCCAAAGTGTGGATACCTTCCATAGAATATGCTAGGCCCTAGGGAGACTAGCCAGGTACATGCACCTCCCCACACCCCCAGTACATGGATTAGTAATTTTTGTCTTTTTTTTTTTTTTTTTTTTTGAGACGGAGTCTTGCTCTGTCGCCCAGGCTGGAGTGCAGTGGCCGGATCTCAGCTCACTGCAAGCTCCGCCTCCCGGGTTTACGCCATTCTCCTGCCTCAGCCTCCCGAGTAGCGGGGACTACAGGCGCCCGCCACCTCGCCCGGCTAGTTTTTTGTGTTTTTAGTAGAGACGGGGTTTCACTGTGTTAGCCAGGATGGTCTCGATCTCCTGACCTCGTGATCCGCCCGTCTCGGCCTCCCAAAGTGCTGGGATTACAGGCTTGAGCCACCGTGCCCGGCCGTAATTTTTGTCTTAATTGAAGACCCAGAAATCCTTTTATTCTGTCCGTTGTACTATCATTTAGAAGTATGAATCATGAGCAAGTAGCCATGCAGGAAATGGTATCCTCTGCCCACCCCCACAGAAAGGGCCAGTGCAGGAATGGACGGGATATAGCAGGAGGTCCCTGAAGGTGGAAAAGGGGAGGGACCTGGGAGCTTCTGAGACTGGGAGGATAAGCGCATGGAGTCTATTAGCTGGAGGCTTGCTACTGGAGGCTTGCTACATCCCTGGGCCTCCAGAACCCAAACGCCTGCCGCTGCCCTGCCAGTGAAACCAAACCGGTTGCCTTTTGAAACTTTCCACTGAGGCCACCTTGGAGTCAGAGCCGGAGAGCTCAGGTCTCTACCTGGCAACCTTCACACCTAGAGGTGGGGGGATGGGGGAGTAGTATTGAAGGTGAGGAAAAACAGCATGAAACGGAGCATTGTCAGGATAGATGGCGACTGTGGAAACACAGAATTGGGAGTCGCAAGACCTGATTTAAAAATCTGACCTTTCCAGTCTGAGCAATATAGTGAGACCCTGTCCCGTGTGTGATGGCATGCACCTGTAGCCTTGGGAGGCTGACGTGGGAGGACTGCCTGAGCCCAGGAGTTCGAGGTTACATTGAGCCATGACTGTGCCACTGCACTCCAGACTGGGCAACACAGCAAGACCCCATTTCTAAAAAAGAAATTCTGACCTTTTTATTTCCAGGACTTGGGGCCAGTTGTTTAATCTTTTTGACTCATCTCCAAAAGGGGAGTAACAATACTTATATTTTTGTTTTGTCAAGGCAGGGTCTCACTCTATAGGCTGGAGTGCAGTGGCACAATCACGGCTCACTGCAGCCTCAACCTCCTGGGCTCAAGCCACCCTCCCACCTCAGCCTCCTGAGCAGCTGGGACTTACAGATGCATGCCACCACGCCCCGCTAGTTTTTTGTTTGTTTTTGAGACGGAGTCTCACTCTGTCGCCCAGGCTGGAGTGCAGTGGTGAAATCTCGGCTTGCGGCAAGCTCTGCCTCCAGGGTTCATGCCATTCTCCTGCCTCAGCCTCCCAAGTAGCTGGGACTACAGGCACCCACCACCATGCCCGGCTAATTTTTTTGTATTTTTAGTAGAGACGGAGTTTCACCGTGTTAGCCAGGATGGTCTTGATCTCCTGACCTCGTGATCCACCCTCCTCGGCCTCCCAAAGTGCTGGGATTACAGGTGTGAGCCACCACACACAGCCACGCCCCGCTAGTTTTTTTTTTTTCTTTTAAATTTGGGGCTGGGTATAGTGGCTAACACCTGTAATCCCAGCACTTTGGGAGGCCTAAGCGGGTGGACCACCTGAGGTCAGGAGTTCGAGACCAGCCTGACCAACATGGCGAAGTCCCATCTCTACTAAAAATACAGAAATTAGCTGGGCATGGTGGCACATGCCTGGTCAACAAGGTGAAAACCGTCTCTACTAAAAATACAAAAATTAGCTGGGTGTGGTGGCAGGCACCTGTAATCCCAGCTACTTGGGAGGCTGAGGCAGGAGAATCACTTGAACCCAGGAGGTGGAGGTTGCCGTGAGCCGAGATTGTGCTACTGCACTCCAGCCTGGGCGACAGAGTGAGACTCTGTCTCAAAAAAAATAATAATTTCTTTTGTACAGACAGGGTCTCAGTATGTTGCCCTGGCTGGTCTTGAACTCCTGGGGTCAAGTGATCCTCCTGTCTCAGCCTTCCAAATTATTTACTTTTTAAAGAGTGGAGTAAGAAAATGTACATCAAGACAAGTTGCAAAAATCTAAAGTACAGAACACAAGTGAGGGCCCTTGCGTCTCAGTTTACCCCCCGCTTGAATAGATGGGAGTCTCTAATCAACACGAGGGTGACACAACTTCTCCCACCTTGTCAGCTGAAGCAGGAGGCCTTCCCTGCCCACCCCACGGTCATTATCTGCAGCATCTCCAAGACCACAGCGTTTGTCTTTTTCCTAGTGGAAAAGAGCTGGGAAACGTGGCCTTGGCCAGCAAGGGAGAAGGGGCCTTTATGTGTACCAGCAAAGACCCGATTGTTACTGAAACCAAACTGGGCTGCTTTTCTCAGTTATCTCCACCACTCTTCTGGTCTCCACTTTTCAGATGCCAAGTTTTAACCCAGAACAAAAGCTGCTGTCGGACTGATTTATAATCCAGATCTGCTGACGCGGCCTGAAGTGTTCCTCCCCTCCAGGACTGCACCCTGGCTTAACGTTACCGCCAAACCTCAGGGCCTCAAGTGCCTTCACCTCTGCCTTTTGCCCCTAGCCAGGAGGTAGCATCTGTCTCCAGGTGCCCGTGGGGTGTCCTCCATGAGGACCACCTCTTCTAACCACCTGCCCAGCTCAGAGGACCAGCTGGCAGGAAGGACGCTGCACCGCCCATGAGGCCAGAGCTACAAGTTGTTTCTAGGAGTGGCTGTGGGCGGAGGCTGGTGGTTCTGAAGGTGGCGGTGGTTCTGCAGCGTGGCTCCCCCCAGCCCCTTTCATCTGAACAGTAGGGCTCATGCCACTTGTTAATCAGCCTTCCAGTGGCACCAGGAGTCATTTTCTGGGGAGAGGCGCTTTGCCCAAAGCGTGAGAAGCAGGAGCAGACCCTTTCTGTGGATTGAAGAGTCTTCCTGGCTGGTGAAGCCCTTTCCAGACTTGAGGGCAGGGACCAGTGGTCCTCGGGGCCTAGAAGGAGGCAGAATTGGGGGCCAAAAGGCAGACCCCTCTGGTCCGCCCCAAGAGACGCCTCGGTTTCCCCACGTGCCTCCCCCGGATACTCGCCTCGACGTGGCTCGCCCGCGGTCGTTCCTGCAACTGCAGGGTCGGGAGTCCCTCTCCCCAGCCCAGCCCGCCGGGGGTCTTCGGGGGACACTTCGGAAAGACCGGGTGAGTGTGAGTCCCCGGTGGCCAGACCCGGAGTCCCTCCGCCGCCCCACCTCCCTCCGGGCGCTGTGGCGCAGCCCGCGACTCCGAGCCCCGGGGCGGCCGGACACCCGGCAGGGTTGAGGTCCGGGCACCCGGAGGGGCGGAGGTCCGAGCCCCCGGGCGGAGAGCGGGCGGGTCCACAGGTCGCTGCGGGTCGCAGCCCCCTCCTGAGCGAGCCTTCGCGGCCCGCCCCCGGCCTCCGCTCGACCCCCCCCAGCCTGACGTCAAGGGGAAGGGGGCGGAGAGCCGCGGCCGCGCTGGAGAAAGAGCCGGCGCCCGCCGTGGTGGCGCGGGGAGCCCGAGCCCAGGGACGCGGAGCCGGGCGGGGACGGAGGGGCGGTGGCAGAGGGGCCGCGGAGGACTGGCGGGCGCGCGCGGGCAGGCGGCGACGCGGGGCAGGGGCGGACGGCGGTCGGAGCCGAACGCGAGGGCGGCGCCCGGGGACTGGAGCTGCGCGCAAGAGGTGAGCGAGGCCGGGCTTGCGGGAGGCTGGAGCCGCGGGGCCCCGGAGCCGCCGCTTTGTCCCCTTGCGTGGGCAGGGGCTGCCGGATGCGGGAGGGACAGGGGCTGGGGCGCGGGGAGCCGCGGCGGCGGAGACTCCTGTCCGCGGGGATCCTTCCTGCGCCCCGCGCGGCTGCTTCGCAGGGTCCCGGGAGCGGGACGCACAGCGCCTGCAGCCCGCAGCCCCGGGGCCGGAGGGACGCGCCAGCGAGGGGCTACGGGCAGTGAGGGTTCCTCGCGCGGTCCGGTCCGCGGCCGGGATCCTCGCCAGGCTCCTGGACTGCCCTCGGCGCTCCCACCCCCGATGGAAAGTTTGGGGCGGGCTTGGAGCGAGGCCGATGTTGTGGGATCGGATTTCCCTGCCGCGGCCCCCCGCCCGCCCGCCCGTTCCGCTGGGGAGGCGGGTTGTCCCGGAAAGCCAGGCCCCCGGGCCGAGCCGGGCCGCGCTGTCCCCGGCTGGAGCGCTCGCCCTGCACGGAGCGCCGCGGTCCACGTCTGGCCGCTCGGGGTGGGCGAGGGTGTGGGGCGCCCCGCCTGGAGCCAGCACCCCTCCTCCCAGCCCCCTCCCCCAGGCTGCCCGTTTCCTCGCCCTGCGGGAGCTGCGGGTGGGAGCACGGCTGCCGGGCGTATCCTCGGAGCACGCCGCGGGGTGCAGCCCGATCCTCGGGTAAGGAGCCGAGATGGGGCCGGGGGCGTTTTGCGGGGCTGGGCTGGGGCGCAGCCCCCGCCCCCCGCCCTCCCGCGCCGGGGCTCTGGGCCGACAGGGGGCGTCCGCAGGCCGGGCTCGCCACGCTCCCCGCGCCGCCGCTTTGTTTGCGTTCAAATCCCTGGAGCTGGGGGAGGGGAGAACCCGGAGGGACCCGGGACGGGGTCTTGGCAGGGACCCTTTGTTTGGGGGTGAGCAGGTCCCCAGCTTCCGCGTCTCCGCCCCCGGCACGGGAAGGCTGGAGCGGGGGAAGCCAGTCCCGCTGGCCCGCCCAGGCCAGGGTCCCTGGGGCGCAGTCCCCGAGTTGGGAAGGTTCGTCAGAGCCGCGGGAGCGCAGCGGGTGCCGGCCGTGCGCGGCGTGTTGCCAGCAGCCGGGGTGGGGAAGCCCCTCACGTCCCTGCCCCTCCTTCCCCCCGTCGCCCGCGCGCGCCGCCGGAGTCCCCGACTCGACCCGAGCTCGCTGCCCCCGCCGCCCCTCCGCCAGAAGGCTGGTGTCTCGGAGGAGGCAGCGCGAGGAACAGGATGAGGCCCTGGTCATTTCCACGCCCATCCCACCCACTTCCTGCCTCCCTCTTGGGCAACAAAGGGGCCTCGGGAAGCTGGGCCCCTTCGCTCCCGGCCCTGCTCCCACTCCTGCCCTGCTGATGTGGAACGGGGTTTGGGTTCTGCCGGGCTATTGTCTGCGCTGGGGAAGGGGACAGGCCGGGACAGGGACCTCCGCCCGCAGCTGGCCGCACCAGGTTTCCCTGTGGGGCTTTCCCGACTGCCTACCCCACCGCATGCCCCCGTCGCCCTAAGGAGTTTTCCTCCCAGAGTTAGGTGTTGACGGGGTCCGGAGCCCCAGTGGCTGCAAGGCCTTCTGCCTGAGATTCTTTCAAGAAACTCTCAAATCTCTTAGGCCTGAGTGTGTATGTCGGGGGGGGGGTCCCCTTTTTTCTCAAATGACTTCCGGTTGTGCAGAGGTAGTGGGGGGTCTGGAGGCCAGGGAGGGCTTCCCGGAGCCTGTTGAGCCTGCAGCCGACTCAACTCCTCCCCGCTTCCCAGGGAGACCCGTGGTCTTTTAGGCAGAGGCCAAGTGTGGGGACTTAGGTCCACCTCCAAAGAGAAGGGGAAGGAGGGCACCAGTGCTCCTGGAAGGCCTGATGAGGAGTCCCGTGGCCTCTCCTGCTGCGGGCCCCTCTGGTTTGCTTTCTCTGGCTGTGATTTCTGACCATGTCTTTTCCCTCAGCAGGACAGCTGGCCTGAAGCTCAGAGCCGGGGCTTGCGCCATGGCCCCACACTGGGCTGTCTGGCTGCTGGCAGCAAGGCTGTGGGGCCTGGGCATTGGGGCTGAGGTGTGGTGGAACCTTGTGCCGCGGAAGACAGTGTCTTCTGGGGGTGAGTGCCTGGAGGGGTGAGGAGGAAGTGGGGACAGGCTGTTGAGGAGTTGCCCCCCTTTATTCTGATGTGTGTGGCACAGCTTTCTAAGAAACTCGAGTGACCCCAGGGTCCACGAACAGGCAGTGCAGGTTGGGACCTGGGGTTAGCCTCCTCTGGGGGAGCTCTGTCCAACTCCCCACCCCAGACTGCCTGCCCAGGTGTGCGAGGGAGAACTTTCTGCCTCGCCCTCTCCACACCTCACTTCTTGAATTGTCACTGGCGCTGGGAGCCTAAAGAGAAACTGGAACCGGGATAAATATAAACTGGAAGCTCTCTCCCCTGGCTCCCCAGGGCCCCCCTAAGACCTCCTACTGCCCTGTAGTCATCATACCCTCTGGTGGCCCTGGAAGGGTGTGTGTATGTGCACATGCTCACATGGTTTCCAGGGCACAGTGGGGACCCAGCAGTGTCCCGTGTGCACACACCCGTGTGAAAGGTGATGTCAGGTGTTTGTATCAGCCGTGCACTCTGGGGACCTGGGATGAGCTCACCTCCCACAGGCTCCACTCGGGTGCCAGTGAAGCCCTGCCATGCTGACCTGTGTCTGGAGCCATCATTGCCTCCAGAGACTAAGGCTGGTTTGGGGGGACCCTGAGGACAGGTCGGCAGCCATATTTGGCAGCTGATATAGGAATCACGTGACTATATAAATGTCATGGTGCCCTGAACGCCGGGTGGCAGCAAGACTTCCCAGGCCCCAGCCCCATCTCCGCTCTCTGAACCTCTAGTTTCTCCGGACCTCCCTGGCCTGGCTCACAGCCCAGCTCCCCTCCTGCCATCCCCGCCTGTCCTAGTGGCCTGCTGTGCTCACATCTCTGGCAGCCTGGATTGGGGTCCTCCTGGAGTGAAGGGTTTCCTGAGGCAGGGAGTACTCATAGCCATCTGTGCCTCTTCCCCTGCTGGACTCTTATCAGAGGCAGTGGGCAGCAGGGCAAAGAAGGAAGCAGCAGCCGAGGAAGTGAGGGTGGGGTGGGGGTGCCCAGCCCAGCCCTGTGGCCGGAGGTGCCATTGACCCTGAGAGCAAGAGCCATCAGTCTGATGGCTTCCTCTGGCCGGAAGCTGTGGCTGAGATATCCTTCCTTCCGCCCAGCAGCCTGGATTTGCCTCCTCCCAGCCTGGGAAAGGCTAGGGAGGCCCGGGTGGAGCTGTCAGGGCCAAAGTCTGTTTCAAAAGTGTCCTTTATTGCCAATCAGGGGGTTTGGCTGGCATCTGTTTGTGGCATGGGGTGCTGGCTCTCATGGAGGAAGACTGAGGGCTCTCGAGCCCCAGGGGTCCTGCCCATCAGCAGCCACGCTTACCCCTGCAGAGCTGGCCACGGTAGTGCGGCGGTTCTCCCAGACGGGCATCCAGGACTTCCTGACACTGACGCTGACGGAGCAGACTGGGCTTCTGTACGTGGGGGCCCGAGAGGCCCTGTTTGCTTTCAGCATGGAGGCCCTGGAGCTGCAAGGAGCGGTGAGAGGTGGGGCAGCGGGAGGCAGGCAGGCCTGCCAGAGGGCAAGGTGCAGAGGGGCTGTGCTTGGCCAGGTGGTCCCTCAGCCTGGCGGCCCCCACAGAAGTGCTGCTGCTGGGCATCCGGGACCTGCCCTCTGGTTGGGGTTAGCATGCGGCATTCCGCTCCTCTCTGGCACTTACTGAATTCTGTGTAGTGGGGTGGTTTGGGGCTTCCATTCTGTACTGAAGGAAGCCCCCACAGAATAGGGTCCATGCCTCTGCACTGGGCGTCCCTGTGTTGCTGCTGCAGGCTGTGCTTGTAACACGTGCTCAGTCCGTACCTGTGACGTGGCTGACGTCCCCTTCCCTGTCCCCAGATCTCCTGGGAGGCCCCTGCGGAGAAGAAGACTGAGTGTATCCAGAAAGGGAAGAACAACCAGGTGGGTGCTTGGACGCTGCTCCTGGTGCTGCCTTCACCCCAGGGCGTCTCCTCCCATTCTGGGCGTCACGCTCTCACTAACCGGATATCTTTCTGCCCCCAGACCGAGTGCTTCAACTTCATCCGCTTCCTGCAGCCCTACAACGCCTCCCACCTGTACGCCTGTGGCACCTATGCCTTCCAGCCCAAGTGCACCTACATTGTGAGTGCTGCCCTCCCATCTCGGTGTCCCCAGTCCCCCACCCTCCTCGCCCTTCTCTGGACTCTTGGATGTGGCCCCCAGGGCCCCGCCCTTGAGCATCTCCTCATCACCTCTCTCTCTGTCCCTAGAACATGCTCACCTTCACTTTGGAGCGGGGAGAGTTTGAAGATGGGAAGGGCAAGTGTCCCTATGACCCAGCTAAAGGCCACACTGGCCTCCTTGTGGGTGAGTGGCTGCCCCCCATGCAGGCTGGGTGAATCCTTGGGACTTGGTTCCACTTGGGGCTGTGTTGGCCGGATGTGTCCATATCTCATGTACGGTCTGTAGCTGACTGCTGTCTCCCATAGATGGTGAGCTATACTCGGCCACACTCAACAACTTCCTGGGCACGGAACCCATTATCCTGCGTAACATGGGGCCGCACCACTCCATGAAGACAGAGTACCTGGCCTTTTGGCTCAACGGTGAGCCCCCAGGGGGCCTGTGGGAGCCATGGGTGGGAGGCCCCCCAGGGCCCAGCACCTCCCTGCTGACCTCCTCCCCTTCCCACAGAACCTCACTTTGTAGGCTCTGCCTATGTACCTGAGAGTGTGGGCAGCTTCACGGGGGACGACGACAAGGTCTACTTCTTCTTCAGGGAGCGGGCAGTGGAGTCCGACTGCTATGCTGAGCAGGTGGTGGCTCGTGTGGCCCGCGTCTGCAAGGTACCAAGTCTCACAGCGGTGGGCCCTGGGAGCCCTGCTGGCCCGGCGGGGCTGACTGGCCGTGTCCCCTTGCCGTCTGCCAGGGTGATATGGGGGGCGCGCGGACCCTGCAGAAGAAGTGGACCACGTTCCTGAAGGCGCGGCTGGCGTGCTCTGCCCCGGACTGGCAGCTCTACTTCAACCAGCTGCAGGCGGTGCACACCCTGCAGGACACCTCCTGGCACAACACCACCTTCTTTGGGGTTTTTCAAGCGCGGTGGTGAGTTGGCTAGGGCTCCTGCAGAGTGGGGAGGAGCTGGGGTTCCGATCAGGGATGGTGCCTGGGTGGGAACCTGGACTGGGCCTCAGAGGCAGTCCAGGAAGCCAGGTGTCCAGAAGCCAAGGAGAATGCTGGCACCTGCCCCTTTCCGAGCTGCCTGTGAACAGGCAGGGTCCTATGCCAGGTGGCACTTTTGAGCTGCCAGGGCATTCTGGTACCCATGGCTGTTTTGTGCCGGGCCTTGCCTTCCTGCTGCTTGCCCTGAGCTGGGGTGGGAAGGGGATAAGGTGGGTACCTGACCCTGGGCTCCCTCTCACTGTGACAGGGGTGACATGTACCTGTCGGCCGTCTGTGAGTACCAGTTGGAAGAGATCCAGCGGGTGTTTGAGGGCCCCTACAAGGAGTACCGGGAGCAAGCCCAGAAGTGGGGCCGCTACACCGACCCTGTACCCAGCCCGCGGCCTGGCTCGGTGAGTGCTGGGGCAGGGATGCGTCTCCCCACCTAGCTGCGGTGCCATCCCACCCTGCTGATGGCCTGCCCCCCACATCCTGCCCCCAGTGCATTAACAACTGGCACCGGCGCCACGGCTACACCAGCTCCCTGGAGCTGCCCGACAACACCCTCAACTTCATCAAGAAGCACCCGCTGATGGAGGAGCAGGTGGGGCCTCGGTGGAGCCGCCCCCTGCTCGTGAAGAAGGGCACCAACTTCACCCACCTGGTGGCCGACCGGGTTACAGGACTTGATGGCGCCACCTATACGGTGCTGTTCATTGGCACAGGTGGGTGCATGGGTATGCGGGCATGGCTGCTCAAGGCTGGGCAGAAGCCTGTGTGCCCAGGGCAGGGAGATTTGGAGCTGCCCCACAGCCCTGTGCCCTGTCATTTACACCTGTCCGTCTGCACCCCTCAGGAGATGGCTGGCTGCTCAAGGCCGTGAGCCTGGGGCCCTGGGTTCACCTGATTGAAGAGCTGCAGCTGTTTGACCAGGAGCCCATGGGAAGCCTGGTGCTGTCTCAGAGCAAGGTAGTGAGTTGGGCCCTATCTGCCACTGTCCCCAGCACTGTCCTTCTCACTCTCTCTGTCTGGCTGCTTCTCCCAGTTGGGCCTACATGCTTGGCCAGTGCAGAGTTAGGAACACACACACGCATGGACGCACACCTTGCCTAACCTGGGGTGGGTTCCTGGAAACGAGAATGAAAACAGAATGGAATCTGCGCTGCACAGAGCCATTATATATAGCCAGGTCACGGGGCCGCACTGTCAGCATCAAGCCTTGGTAACTACTCCCATGTTTCCTTCAGACCCTCCAAGCTGTGCTGTGGTCCTGGCTCTGGCCTCTCCTCTGACCGTGCCCCTGTGACCAGACCTCCCAGGCTGTGAGATGTTTATGATGCTTTCACCATGGTGGTTTCCTTCCAGCCCCCAGCTGCTCTCTGGTCCCAGCCCTCCATGTCCATGACTGTTTTCCTGAAGTGCTTGCATTATATCCTTGTGCAATACTCCTTTTGGTTTTTTTTGAGACAGAGTCTCACTCTGTCACCCAGGCTGAAGTGCAGTGATGCGATCTCAGTTCACTGCAACCTCCACCTCCCAGGTTGAAGCTATTCTCCTGCCTCAGCCTCCTGAGTAGCTGGGATTACAGGTGCCTGCCACCACGCCCAGCTAAAGGTTTTTTGTTTTTGTTTTTGTTGAGATGGAGTCTCACTCTGTTGCCCAGGCTGGAGTGCAGTGGCATGATCTCAGCCGACTGTAACCTCCACCTCCCGGGTTCAAGCAATTCTGCCTCAGCCTCCCAAGTAACTGGGACTACAGGCACATGCCACCATGCCTGGCTCATTTTTGTATCTTTAGTAGAGACACGGTTTTACCATGTTGGCCAGACTGGTCTTGAACTCCTAACCTCAAGTTGGAGATTTGCCCACCTCAGCCTCCCAAAGTGCTTGGATTCCAGGCATGACCTGCTGTGCCCAGTTGCCTTGTGCAATACTCTTGTGGCATGTTTGCTACACCTCCTGAACTTTGATTTGTTTGCCTTTTACCACCTATTGTGACTCAAAATTGTCCCCCAGAACATGGAATAATGGCAGAAAGAAAGTGTGTGGTTGAAGAAACATACAGCTTGGCATCCACTGTTGAAACAGGAAAACATCTTATGCTATGCTGCTGCTGCTTTGAGGGCTGATGGGCCTTGAGAGAAATGTATTTCCCGCACTATGTGTGTGAGCGTGTGTGATTAAACTTTTTGGCCTCACAGCCCCATCATCCCTTTCTAATAAGGTCACGTCTCTAAGGGGCTTAGGATTGCATCTGGCCTGTGTAAGCCCTTTGAGTTCTGCAGTTCTTAGAGTTCCCTTTTCAGCACTACAGCTCTGCCTTGTTCCCTTGTTCCTCCTTCTGGTGCCCCATCCTGTGCCCCCTGCAGAAGTCCAAGCTGTCCCCGTGCTGCATTCTGGTCCGGCCGCCCTTCCCGCGGTGTGGCCCTGGCTGACCCTCTTTCTGCGCCCCGCTTCTCTCGCAGAAGCTGCTCTTTGCCGGCTCCCGCTCTCAGCTGGTGCAGCTGCCCCTGGCTGACTGCATGAAGTACCGCTCCTGTGCAGACTGTGTCCTCGCCCGGGACCCCTATTGCGCCTGGAGCGTCAACACCAGTCGCTGTGTGGCCGTGGGTGGCCACTCTGGGTGAGTTGGGCTCTACATAGACCAGGACCAGCAGGGACTCAGGGTGGTTGGAGCCAGGCTGCTGATGTACCCTACATCCCCTACCAGATCTCTGCTGATCCAGCATGTGATGATCTCGGACACTGCAGGCATCTGCAACCTCCGAGGCAGTAAGAAAGGTGAGCTTTTTCCTTCCCGTCGCATCGGGCTGAGCCCTGGACCAGAGCTGGAGTTTCTGTTCTCCTCTTCCCTAGCCCTGCTTTCCTGTACTAACATACACTCTCTTTTCTCTGCCACTACAGTCAGGCCCGCTCCCAAAAACATCACGGTGGTGGCGGGCACAGACCTGGTGCTGCCCTGCCACCTCTCCTCCAACTTGGCCCATGCCCGCTGGACCTTTGGGGGCCGGGACCTGCCTGCGGAACAGCCCGGCTCCTTCCTCTACGATGCCCGGCTCCAGGCCCTAGTTGTGATGGCTGCCCAGCCCCGCCACGCTGGAGCCTACCACTGCTTTTCAGAGGAGCAGGGGGCGCGGCTAGCCGCTGAAGGCTACCTTGTGGCTGTCGTGGCAGGCCCGTCGGTGACCTTGGAGGCCCGGGCCCCCCTGGAAAACCTGGGACTGGTGTGGCTGGCGGTGGTGGCCCTGGGGGCCGTGTGCCTGGTGCTGCTGCTGCTGGTGCTGTCACTGCGCCGGCGGCTGCGAGAAGAGCTGGAGAAAGGGGCCAAGGCTACTGAGAGGACCCTGGTGTACCCCCTGGAGCTGCCCAAGGAGCCCACCAGTCCCCCCTTCCGGCCCTGTCCTGAACCAGATGAGAAACTTTGGGATCCTGTCGGTTACTACTATTCAGATGGCTCCCTTAAGATAGTACCTGGGCATGCCCGGTGCCAGCCCGGCGGGGGGCCCCCTTCGCCACCTCCAGGCATCCCAGGCCAGCCTCTGCCTTCTCCAACTCGGCTTCACTTGGGGGGTGGGCGGAACTCAAATGCCAATGGTTACGTGCGCTTACAACTAGGAGGGGAGGACCGGGGAGGGCTCGGGCACCCCCTGCCTGAGCTTGCGGATGAACTGAGACGCAAACTGCAGCAACGCCAGCCACTGCCCGACTCCAACCCCGAGGAGTCATCAGTATGAGGGGAAACCCCCACCGCGTCGGCGGGAAGCGTGGGAGGTGTAGCTCCTACTTTTGCACAGGCACCAGCTACCTCAGGGACATGGCATGGGCACCTGCTCTGTCTGGGACGGATACTGCCCAGCACCCACCCGGCCACGAGGACCTGCTCTGCTCAGCACGGGCACTGCCACTTGGTGTGGCTCACCAGGGCACCAGCCTCGCAGGAGGCATCTTTCTCTCTGTGAATCACAGACACGTGGGACCCCAGCCGCCAAAACTTTTCAAGGCAGAAATGTCAAGATGTGTGTGTGTCTGTATTTGCACGTGTGTTTGTGTGTCTGTGTGTGTGTGTGTGTGTGTGCACGCGCGTGTGCGCTTGTGGCATAGCCTTCCTGTTTCTGTCAAGTCTTCCCTTGGCCTGGGTCCTCCTGGTGAGTCATTGGAGCTATGAAGGGGAAGGGGTCGTATCACTTTGCCTCTCCTACCCCCACTGTCCCGAATGTCGGGCAGCGATGTACATATGGGGGTGGGGTGGGCAGGGTGCTGTGCCCCTTCGGGGGGAGCGCAGGGCTCGGGGTGGGCCTAGTCCTGCTCCTAGGGCTGTGAATGTTTTCAGGGTGGGGGGAGGGAGATGGAGCCTCCTGTGTGTTTTGGGGGAAGGGTGGGTGGGGCCTCCTACTTGGCCCTGGGGTTCAGTGGTATTTTATACTTGCCTTCTTCCTGTACAGGGCTGGGAAAGGCTGTGTGAGGGGAGAGGGTGGGACTACTGTGGACAATGGCATACTCTCTTCCAGCCCTAGGAGGGGGCTCCCAACGATGTAACTTATTGTGTCCCCGCGTATTTATTTGTTGTAAATATTTGAGTATTTTTATATTGACAAATAAAATGGAGAAAATGAAACGATTTCTGTGATGGGGCTAAGATGTTTGGGCTAAAGCCCTTCTGGGTACCGAGAGGGAAAGCTCTCTGGGTGGACAGAGGCTGGATGGGGCCTCCCCCACAGTCCCGGGGCAGCCACCACTTTTGTAGTCCCTGCCTGCCTGTGGGAGGGAACAGCCCAGCTCCAGTGTTTTCCCACAGTGGTGGCTGCGGCGCTGGGAACCAGACCATGGCCACAGCCCCTTGGGAGCCAGCTTTGGCTTCTGGCCAGAAGGAGAAGTCAGGGCACTGGGAGTCCAGGGGAGAAGTGGAGTTGGGGGGCGGGGGTGCCTTCCCAGAACTCAGGACGGTTAGTGGGAGTGAGGGGCCAAAGGAGTTGAAGGTCGTGGAGATGAGATCGTTGTTTGTGTGAGGATGGGGTTCTCAACCCGCTTAGGGGAGGAGAAATGACTTCCAGCCTTCTACCCACCAGGAATGCTAGGGTCTTCAGTGCCCCAACTAGTGGGGGAAGGAATTTACACCCAGTGTGCACCAGACCACTGTCCTGGAGAGGGACTGGCACAGAACCCAGCCTGCATTCTGTTGTTCGTGCACCCTTTCTAAACCAGTCAGGCGGTGGAAGTGAGGTCTCCCCTGTACACTTGATCGTGGCTTGAGCAGGCAGCTGCCTGGGTTTTAACTGGGTATTGAGAAGGCTGGGGTCCGCTGAGGAGCACGCTGCGCGGGTGCACGGTCTGCAGACGGCCGCCCAGAGGGTTTTGATCGTGAAGACCGATTCGGTAAACTCGGCGCCCACTGTGGGACCAGGGGGTTCTACACAAACCAAGGCCCTGCCCCTGCCCTTGAGGTGGGGCTACAAGCAGGAGAAGTTGTGGCCACCTGCCCCTTGCTGGACTTGTAAGGAAGAGTGGGGTACGGGGACCAGGCCTTTCCAGCCGTCACTTTGCTGCTGCTTCGGGGGCAGTCGGCCTTGGCCCGGGGTGGTGCCAGGAAGAGGGGGTAAAGACCCTGGAGCGCGCCCCGGCGCGGTGGCTCACGCCTGTAATCCCAGCACTCTGGGAGGCCAAGGCGGGCGGATCACGAGGTCAAGAGATCGAGACCATCCTGGCTAACACGGTGAAACCCCGTCTCTACAAAAAATACAAAAAATTAGCCAGGCGTGGTGGCGGGCGCCTGTAGTCCCAGCTACTCAGGAGTCTGACGCAGGAGAATCGCTTGAACCCGGGAGGCGGAGGTTGCAGTGATCCGAGATCGCGCCACTGCACTCCAGCCTGGGTGACAGCGAGACTCGGTCTCAAAAAAAAAAAGAGACCGTGGAGCGTGTGGCACCTCCCTGCCCTAGCGGCCCGGCGGGACTAGGGGCGGTAAAGAGAGGAGCCAGAGAGGTCGCTGGAGGGCTGGGTCATGGCGAAGGTAACTGGAAAGCTCCTGACCGGACCCAGCCGCCTCCTCCCCACACCCGGCAAGGCCAGGCGGCCTAAAGGCCCTCCCGCGCCGCGCCGCTCCCGGAACCCAGCGCCTCCGCTTAGCCTCTGACGCCCTCGCGCGGCCGCCTCGGGGCATGGCCCGGCGCAACAAGCCCCGCCCTACCTCTGCAATTGGTTCTCGAGCTAAGGCCTAGGCGTTTGACTGGTCGGTTTTGGCGAGGAGGCGGGACTAGGACGACAGCCGCGGACGCCAAGCAGCCAGATCCGGGACGCGGGGCGGGCCCTGCGTCCGCCCCTCCCGCCGAGGCCGAGCGTGAGACCCGGGGCAGGTCGGCTGGTGCCGGGGCCGTGATGGCGACGCCGCGGCCCTGCGCGGATGGGCCCTGCTGCTCGCAGCCCAGCGCGGTGCTCGGCGTACAGCAGACGCTGGAGGAGATGGACTTCGAGAGGGGTGAGGCGGCCGCGCGGCCCAAGGAGGAGGCGCGGGGCCGAGGAGAGGCGGGTGAACTGGGCCCCGAGAGCTTGGGGCCTGGTGCGGGAGGGCGGGCGGGACTCGTGGTTCCCGCGTACTGAGAGCCTGCCAGGGCCTCTCACTAGCTCAGCCAGGAGACACCTGTTTCGCGGGCGGCGGGGAAGCCGAGACACTGGTTTCCATAACCCTCCCGAGTGGCGGGGGACGACCTCCCCTGGGAGACGCAAGCCTGCTCAGGTGTGGGAGAGAGGGGCCGGGGGGCAGAATCTGCACCTGGGGCATTGCACCCTCCCGAGGGGCTGCAGGCCGGGGGGCTGCGCGGTGAAGGAGGGCAATGGCCCTTGTTTGGCCCCGGGTGCCAGGCAGCCTGCATGCTTTACAGATGGCAAGAACTTCGCACGGGCAGCCTTCGAGGCAGGGCACGGTATCTCATCTGTGGGACCCAGAGAGGTAACACATTTGGCCCAGATTGTACAGAGATTATGGTGGCAATAGGAACAGAGGAAGGCGGGAAAGCAAGGTGCTTCTTCTGAATATTGGGAAGGATTTTGCTGCTGTACTGTGTCGTCTACCCGTGCGGATGCAGCCCTCGATTGCCACTGCTGTGCAAGCATTCTCATGGAACCCTTCCTTTACCGTGGTTCTGGCACCTGCCCACTTCCCTCCGCCCCTCCGACCACTGTCCTCTGCGCTGCTGAAGTGGTTGCCTCAGAGGGTCTTTTCGCTTCCACGATTGCCCTCCTACAGGCTTTTCTACTCTCACACAGCAGCCAGAGCGGCTTTTTGAAAATTAGAACTCAGATCATTCCCTGTTATGGCCTACAAAACTCTGTAGACCCGCCCCTGCCGCCTCTACTTCTCTCCCTCATTTTATTTCTCATGCTTTTCTTCTCCCAATCACTACGCCGCAGCCACACTGGTCTTGTTTTGGTGTCTCAAATATGCAAGACCTTTTCCTGAGTTAAGGCCATTGGACTTGCTGTCCCGTCTCCTTCGAATGAACTTCCTACAACCATTAAGCTAGCTGATGCTTTTCTTCAGATCCCAGCTCCAATGGCATCTCCTCAGAAACCCTCCCTAAACACCGTAGTTCTCAACTGGGGACAGTTCTGCCCTTTAAGGGACTTGGGGAATGTCTGGAGACGTTTTGGCTTGTCACAGTCGGGAGGGTGCTACAGGTGTGTAGTAGGTAGAGACAAGAGATGCTATATACATGGTACAACGCACAGGACAGCTCCCTACAGTAATCGTCCGGCCCATAAATGTCAATAGTGCTGTTAAGAAGTAAACATTGCATTATCCAAAGTTAGGCCAGTTACTCTGATGTATCCATCATCTTGCTTGTTTGTTTTGCTTTTTTGTTTTTTTAAGACAGAGTCTCCCTCTTTTGTTCAGGCTGGGGAGCAGTAGCGCAATCTTGGCTCACTGCAACCTCCGCCTCCTGGGTTCAAGCGATTCTTCTACTCTCCTGAGTATCTGGGATTACAGGCGTGTGCTACCATGCCCGGCTAGTTTTTGTATTTTTAGTAGAGACGGGTTTCACTATATTGGTCAGGCTGGTCTCAGAACTCCTGACCTCATGATCCACCCGCCCTGCCTCCCAAAGTGCTGGGATTACAGGCGTGAACTGCCACACCCGGCATCTTGCTTTCATAAAAACCAATTTTTACTGCAAACAATTTCCTCATTTTTTTGTGCAGACAAACAAATACATTCTTTAAAACATTAATGGGAAGAGTGTATTTGATAAGCCAATTTTAGCTACTTTTGTCACCAATGAAAGAAACTGTGAGATTTGTAGATCCACTTCACTATAGATTTGTTAATCTGCTTCACTGTAGTAACCCTTTTACTGCCCATATGTATATTTGTTAATCTGCTTCACTGTAGTAACCTTTTACTGCCCATATGATTTGTTAATCTGCTTCACTGTAGTAACCCTTTTACTGCCCATATGTATCCCATAACATTGTGTTGTAAAACTCATATATGCAATAAAATTTATTTTTGAAGTAAAAACAACAAAAACTATCTTAACAAAAGAAAAGGTACATGTTCTTGGTTGGGAAGACTTAATAACATAGGAATATCACCTCTCCTACAAATAATATTAACTTTAATACATTTTTTTTTTAATTTACTTTTTTTTTTTGAGACTGAGTTTTGCTCTTGTCACCCAGGCTGGAGTGCAGTGGCGCAATCTCAGCTCACTGCAATCTCTGCCTCCCAGGTTCAAGTGATTTTCCTCCCTCAGCCCCACCAAGTGGCTGGGATTACAGGTGCCTGCCACCATGCCCAGCTAATTTTTTATTTTTAGTAGAGACGAGGTTTCACCATGTTGGCCAGGCTGGTCTCAAACTCCTGACCTCAGGTGATCCGCCCACCTTGGCCTCCCAAAGTGCTGGGATTACAGGCGTGAGCCACTGTGCCCAGCCTTTACAATCTTACATTATTTTGTTTGCTTACTGATTTATTATCTATTTCCTACACGTGGAAAAGATCCTTATCTATTTTGTTTTGTGGACTTTTTTTATTTTTAATTTTTTTCAGAGACAAAGTCTCACTATGTTGCTTAGGCTGGTCTTGGATTCCTGGTCTCAAGCGATCCTCCTTCCTCAGCCTCCCAAAATGATGAGATTATAGGTGTGAGCCACCATGCCCAGCCTGTTGTGTGAATTTTTTTTTTTTTTTCAAGTCATACCGACTTTCTGGGTTTATTGTCCTTTCCATTTTATTGTGCCTGTATGTATTATGCCTCTTCTCCCATTGTATCCAGTTCCTCTCTCTTTTTTTTTTTTGTACCTTTTTTTTTTCTTTTGAGATGGAGTCTCAAGAAAAACAACCACTGCTTCCTGGGTTCAAGCAGTTCTGCCTCAGCTTCCCAAGTAGCTGGGATTACAGGCACTCACCACCATGCCCGGGTAATTTTTTTGTATATTTAGTAGAGATGGGGTTTACCATGTTCGCCAGGCTAGTCTTGAACTCCTGACCTCAAGTGATCTGCCCGCTTCGGCCTCCCAAAGTGCCGGGATTACAGGCGTGAGCCACCGTGCCCAGCCTTTTTTGAACTCGTATTAGATATATACTGGTGCATTGTCTTCCATAATTCTTTACCACTCTTTAATATTTTTCTGCAACACAACAAAAAAGAACCCATAGACCAATATCCCTAATGAACATAGATTTAAAAATCCTCAATAAAAATAGTATCAAACCGAATTTCGTGGCACATTAAAAGTATCATTCACTGGCCGGATGTGGTGGCTCACGCCTGTAATCCTAGCACTTTGGGAGGCTGAGGTGGGTTGATCACGAGGTCAGGAGTTTGAGACCAGCCTGACCAAGATGGTGAAACCCCGTCTCTACTAAAAATATAAAAATTATACAGGCTTGGGCCGGGCGCAGTGGCTCACGCCTGTAATCCCAGCACTTTGGGAGGCCGAGACGGGCGGATCACAAGGTGAGGAGATCAAGACTATCCTGACCAACATGGTGAAACTTCGTCTCTACTAAAAATACAAAAAAATTAGCCGGGCGTGGTGGCGGGCGCCTGTAATCCCAGCTACCAGTGAGGCAGTCCTGCTGAGGCAGGGGAATGGCGTGAACCCGGGAGGTGGAGCTTGCAGTGAGCTGAGACTGCGCCACTGCACTCCAGCCTGGGAGACAGAGTGAGACTCCACCTGAAAAAAAAAAAAAAAAAAAAAGATCCGGGCTTGGTGGCACGTGCCTGTAATCCCAGCTACTCGGGAGGTTAAGGCAGGACAATCGCTTGAACCTGGGAGGCGGAGCTTGCAGTGAGCCAAGATTGTGCCACTGCACTCCAGCCTGGCAACAGAGCGAGACTCCGTCTCAAAAAAGAAAAAGATATACATACACATATGTATATATAAGTCACCATAATATTTTTCTGTTTATCATTTTGTACTGCATTTTGGGTGAATTCCAAATCACGAATTCTCTTTGACTGGGTCTGCAGTACTCTTTGACCCATCTATTGTTGTTTTCTTTCAGTGAGTCTGTTTTTTAATTTATCAACTTTCCTGTTTCAGATCTGGCTGTTTTGTTTTTCCTCATGTTCTGTTGATGTGTGGATTCTATCCCTTTGTCTCTGTGAACGCCTTCAGTGTTGTTGTTTATAGGCCTTTTGTGGATTGTGCAGTAATGGCTCACTTTGGAGGCGTGTTCCCACTTGCACTTGCTCCTTGTTGTCTGTGGCCACGCTGGACTCCCTGCATCCCCTCATCTCACCTGTATTTGCTGTTGTCTCTTAGGGCAGCAGATGGCTTCTTGTTTTGCAACTTTCAGTCTTTGTGCTCACCAGGGAGATTCTCTTCTGTGGGAGATTGTCACACTGCCTCGGCAGCTTCTGGAGGCATCATTACATATATTTATTATTTTATTTTATTTATTTATTTATTTATTTATTTATTTATTTTTTTAATTTTTTTTTTGAGACGGAGTCTCGCTCTGTCACCCGGGCTGGAGTGCAGTGGCCGGATCTCAGCTCACTGCAAGCTCCGCCTCCCGGGTTCATGCCATTCTCCTGCCTCAGCCTCCTGAGTAGCTGGGACTACAGGCGCCCGCCACCTCGCCCGGCTAGTTTTTTTGTAGTTTTAGTAGAGATGGGGTTTCACCGTGTTAGCCAGGATGGTCTCGATCTTCTGACCTCGTGATCCGCCCACCTCGGCCTCCCAAAGTGCTGGGATTACAGGCTTGAGCCACCGCGCCCGGCCTATTTTATTTTATTTATTTATTTTTTTGAGACGGAGTCTCGCTCTGTCGCCCAGGCTGGAGTACAGTGGCGCAGTCTTGGCTCACTGCAAGCTCCGCCTCGCGGGTTCATGCCATTCTCCTGCCTCAGCCTCCCGAGTAGCTGGGACTACAGGTACCCGCCACCACGCCCGGCTAGTTTTTTGTATTTTTAGTAGAGATGGGGTTTCACCGTGTTAGCCAGGATGGTCTCGATCTCCTGACCTCATGATCCGCCCGCCTTGGCCTCCCAAAGTACTGGGATTACAGGTGTGAGCCACCGCGCCCGGCCTATATTTTTAAAAAGTTGTTTCTGGCTGGGCACGGTGGCTCACGCCTGTAATCTCAGCACTTTGGGAGGCCGAGGGAGGTGGATCACTTGAGGTCAGGAGTTCAAGACCAGCCTAACCAACATGGTGAAACCCTGTCTCTACCAAAAATACAAAAAATTAGCCGGGCATGGTGGTAGGTACCTGTAATCCCAGCCTGACCTGAATTTCACTCTAGATCCAAACATTTTAAACATTACTTCATCCAGCACTTCTGTGTTAGAAGTGGGATGGAGATGTCTGTGTCCACCCAGTTCTACTGTCCTAATGAGACGTGCCCCTATCTGTCTTGTTCACAGCTAAGTCACCAGCATTCAGAACAAACCTCAACACAGAAGAGGTGCTCGGTTGGTATTTGTTGAAGGAATGAATATTCTTCACTTTGTAGACAAGAAAACTGAGGTCATGAGGCAAAGCAAGCACTGAAACTCCCAGTCATCAGCGTCATAAAGTCCTTTGGTTGACTTTCCGCAGGAATCTGGTCGGCAGCCCTGAATGGAGACCTGGGCCGAGTGAAGCATTTAATCCAGAAGGCTGAGGACCCGAGTCAGCCCGACTCAGCCGGCTACACTGCACTGGTGAGCTAAGGAGGAGCACGGGGTCAGGAGACAGAAGCGTTAACTCAGGAGACACCTGCTCTATGAGGAGGGGGATTGATGGTTAATTTTACCTCCTCCCTCCCTTTCTTCTCTTCCAGCAAAATTTCTCTTTTTAAGCATCATATGAACCTGGATTTTTTAAATTAGTGTGAGAGCTTTACATCAGTGATTTAGGTTTGGTTTTGTTTTGTTTTGAGATGCAGTCTCGCTCTGTTACCCAGGCTGGAGTACAGTAACGCAATCTCAGCTCACTGCAACCTCCGCCTCCCAGGTTCAAGCGATTCTCCTGCCTTAGCCTCCCGAGTAGCTGGGACTACAGCTACGTGCCACCACATCCAGCTAAGTTTTGTATTTTTAGCACAGATGGGGTTTCACCATGTTGGCCAGGCTGGTCTCGAACTCCTGACTTCAGGTGATCCACCTGCCTCGGCCTCCCAAAGTGCTGGGATTATAGGTGTGAGCCACTGCACCCAGCCAATGATTTAGTTTTATTTTCGTAACAATTCTGTGAGATAGGAATGATCATTTTCCCCATTTTTCAGTTGAACAAACTCAGGTTAGGCATGCAGAAGCTTGCCCAGGTCACACGACTGCTGGGGGTGGAACCTGAGATGACTCCAGGCCCCTCGCTGCAGGGGGGGCATGCTCTCACCTCTCCACCACCCTTGTCCCCTGCCTGGCTTCTCCCATCTGACCTCGGTCTCTGTTCCGTGCAGCACTATGCCAGCCGCAATGGGCACTATGCTGTGTGCCAGTTCCTGCTGGAAAACGGAGCTAAGTGTGATGCCCAGACCCATGGGGGTGCCACTGCTCTGCACCGAGCCAGCTACTGTGGGCACACTGACATCGCGCGTCTCCTGCTATCACATGGGTCCAACCCCAGGGTGGTGGATGACGACGGCATGACCAGTCTGCATAAGGTGGGTCCGTTCCCCCTTCCAAAAATGTTGTTTCCTTGAAGTTATAACCTGTTCATGTAGAAAACATGGGGAAAACAGGAAATCAAAGAAGACAATTAAAATCATTTGTAATCCCCTTGCTCATCTGTCATCACTTTAGGACTAATGGATAATTCTCCAGCCTTTTTTCCCGAGCGTGTAAATTAAAATGTACCGTGGCGCTTTATTTTCTTTCCCTAGAGACATGGCATGCAGCCTTCTCCATACAGTTTTCTGAAACTTATGCATACTCTTGCCTGTCCCTGTAGTCCACTTGCTGTATGTTAGCTGGAGTGATCATTTAATTAAACTCTTTCTAGCTGGAAATACCTACACATGGTGAACAATCTGAAGAGTCAACAAGGGCATGCCATGAAAGCGAGTTTCCCTCCCACCCAGCTCCTCATCCCTCAGCCTTCTAGGCCCATCCTTTGAGGCATTCACTTTACCAATTGTTTTTCCTTTTTTGTAAGGAATGGGGTCTCACTGTGTTGCCCAGGCTGGTCTCAGACTCCTGGGCTCAATTGATCCTCCTGCCTCTACCTCCCTAAGTGCTGAGATTACAGGTGTGAGCTACCCTGCTCGGCCACTTTACTGAGTTTGCAGGCACCTTTGAGAGGCGGTCTATGCATGTGTGGCATATGTGTATAAATTATATGTGTGTGTAAATCTAGTCCCCTCTTGCCCCTTTTTTGATTTTCTCCTGGAGCGATGGTTTAAAGCAGTTCTGGTCATGCCACGCCCCCACTTGGAGTCCTTGAGGCTTTGCTTTTTCCAGGTCCGTGAGTTATTGTGAAGGTTTCCTGGGGTTCGCTCCTGCCCCCTTCTCCAGTTTTTTTTTTTTTTTTTTTTCCTTTTTTGTCTTTTTTCCCCACCCCTCCAGTTTTCTCCTGAGCTCTTATCCCCTGGTCTGTTACACTCAGAGGCCCTACTAATCATTTTTCTTTTTTCTTCTCTTTTTTTTTTTTTTGAGACAGGCGCTCGCTCTGTCACCCAGGTTGGAGTGCAGTGGCATGATTACAGCCCACTGCAGCCCCGACTTCCTGGGCTTGAGTGATCCTCCCACTTCAGCCTCCTGAGTAGTAGGACTATACATGCCTGCACCACCATGACTGGCTATTTTATTTTATTTTATTTTAGAGACAAGGTCTCACTTTTTCACCCAGGCTGGAGTACACTGGCATGATCACAGCTCACTTGTAGCCTCGACCTCCTGGGCTCAAGCAATGCTCCCACCTCAGCCTCCCAAGTAGCTGACACTACAGGCACATGCCACCATGCCTGGCTAATTTTTGTAAAAACAGCTTCACCACATTGCCCGGGCTTTTAAAATAATCATTATTAGTAGTAGAGACAGGGTCTGTCACTGTCCTCGACTCCTGAGCCCAAGCAGTCCTCCCAAAGTGTTGGGATTACAGGTGTGAGTTACCACATCCAGCCATTTTAATTTTCTGGAACCTACTACTCTGTCCCCCCAGAGCCATATATAATAAGTTATCCCTTGTCTGGGTACCTCTACCCTCGCGTTTTTAATCTGACTTGTTTCTACTCTTTTTTGTGGATCTCGGCTTACATATCACACCCCGCGAGAGCCCTTCCTGATCCCTAGACATGGTTAGCTCACTTGGATGTATGCCTAGCTGTACGTACCGTGGACTCAACTTTTCCTAATTCCTCTACCCCTGGAATTCCCTGTTTGGGGTCTGCGTGTCTCAGTAGAAACAGCTGGGGCTTTGCCCTGTTTAAATTACTGTAGCTGGGCTGGGCGCAAAGCTCACACCTGGAATCCCAGCACTTTGGGAGGCCACGGCAGGCCGACTGCTTGAGTCCAGGAGTTTGAGGCCAGCCTGGGCAACGTGGCAAAACCCATCTCTACTAACAATACAAAAATTAGGCCGGGCATGGTAGCTCACACCTGTAATCCCCGCACTTTGGGAGGCTGAGGCAGGCAGATCATCTGAGGTCAGGAGTTCAAGACCAGCATGGCCAACATGGAGAAATCCCGTCTCTACTAAAAATACAAAATTAGGCAGGTATGGTAGCACGTGCCTGTAATCACAGCTACTCGGGAGGCTGAAGCAGGAGAATCACTTGAACCCAGGAGGCGGAGGTTGCAGTGAGCCGAGACTGCACCCTTGCACTCCAGCCTGGGCAACAAGAGCAAAACTCCGTCCCAAAAAAAAAAAACAAAAATTAGCCAGGTGTGGTGGCATACACCTGTAATTCCAGCTACTTGGGAGACTGAGGCATGAGAATCACTTGAATCCGGGGGGTAGAGGCTCTAGTGAGCTGAGATCGTGCCACTGGGCTCCAGCCTGGGTGACACAGAGATATCCCGTCTCAAAAAAAACCCAAAAAAACATTGCAGGCTTAGCACTTAGCACAGGTGCCCAGTGAATACATGCTGAGTGAACAGCTGAATGTTGGGTTTTTAAAAAAATCCTTGCCAATTGGATAGACAGATTGTTTTTAATGATGTTGCTCAGACATTTTTTTTTTTTTTTGAGGCGGAGTTTCGCTCTGTGGCCCAGGCTGGAGTGCAGTGGCCGGATCTCAGCTCACTGCAAGCTCCGCCTCCCGGGTTCACGCCATTCTCCTGCCTCAGCCTCCCGAGTAACTGGGACTACAGGCGCCTGCCACCTCGCCCGGCTAGATTTTTGTATTTTTTAGTAGAGACGGGGTTTCACCGGGTTAGCCAGGATGGTCTTGATCTCCTGACCTCGTGATCCGCCCGTCTCGGCCTCCCAAAGTGCTGGGATTACAGGCTTGAGCCACCGCGCCCGGCCTTGCTCAGACATTTTACTGCTACAACTCACATGACGGATGTAAACAGCCAGGATGCTGTTGGGGGTATACCTGGCTGGTGTTACCATAGTTAGGTGCATCTCCGTCCCTTTTTCTGTCATGCAGATAATGCAAATGTGAGATATGTGCATTTTTCTTTATTGTGTTTTTGCTTTTGTTTTGTTCTGTTTTTTTGAGATAGAGTCTCATTCTGTTGCCCAGGCTGGAGTGCAGTGGCACAATCTCAGCTCACTGCAACCTCTGCCTCCCGGGTTCAGGCAATTCTCCTGCCTCAGCCTCTCAAGTAGCTGGGATTACAGGCACGCACCAACATGCTGGGTTAATTTTTTGTATTTTTAGTAGAGACAGAGTTTCACTGTATTGGCTAGGCTGGTCTCGAACTCCTGACCTCAGGTGATCCGCCTGCCTTGGCCTCCCAAAGTTCTGGGATTACAGGCATGAGCCACGGCACCCGGCCTGTCTATGTGTCTTTTAAAACGATTCGCAAACATTCGTATTTTGTTTTTTGTAAACATTATTTGGGATGCATCTCACAACTGCTGACAACATCCCACTGCCTGAATTAAGGCAGTGGAATTGAGAGCTTTGTGTCTACTCAGGAGGACCAGCTGAGTAAAGATTTGGATTCAAATTTGGGATGGTGGTTGCCACTAGTGTTCATTTTGATACCTCTCAAAAGCTCCTGGAGTCTACCAATTTGTCTGTTGGGAGGAGTAGGAAATAATAGTGGTTCACAGAGTTATTAAGAGTTCAGGCAGGCCGGGCGCGGTGGCTCAAGCCTGTAATCCCAGCACTTTGGGAGGCTGAGACGGGCGGATCATGAGGTCAGGAGATCGAGACCATCCTGGCTAACACGATGAAACCCCGTCTCTACTAAAAAATACAAAAAGAAAAACTAGCTGGGCGAGGTGGTGGGCGCCTGTAGTCCCAGCTACTCAGGAGGCTGAGGCAGGAGAATGGCGTAAACCTAGGAGGCGGAGCTTGCAATGAGCTGAGATCCGGCCACTGCACTCCAGCCTGGGCGACAGAGCGAGACTCCATCTCAAAAAAAAAAAAGAGTTCAGGCAAACCTGGTTTAGAATCCCAGGTGACCACGTTAGCCCTGTGACTTTGGGCAAGCCATTTATTAAGCCTAAATTTCTTCTTCTGTAAAATGGGAATAATGATGATTCTTGCCTGTGAGGGCTATTGTGAAAGTTAAATAAGATAATCTATGTAAATCAACTTAACTCTATTATTTTTTGGAGGAGGTAGGTTAGAAACTGGCATCCGGATTGGGGTTTCTACCTTAGAAGAAGAGAACACAGGGAACTAGGCCTCAGTCTTTCCCTGCCTGTCTCAGAGTTTCCTGTCCAGGAACTTTGGCTCATGCCTGTAGTCCCAGCACTTTGGGAGGCTGAGGTGGGAGGATAGCTTGAGTCCAGGAGCTCGAGACCAGCCTGGGCAACATGGCAAGACCCTGTCTCTTTTTATTTTTATTTTTTGAGATGGAGTCTCGCTTTGTCGCCCAGGCTGGAGTGCAGTGGCATGATCTTGGCTCACTGCAACCTCTGCCTCCCAGGTTCAAGCGATTCTCATGCCTCAGCCTCCCGAGTAGCTGGGATGACAAGCACATGCCACCACGCCTGGCTAATTTCTGTATTTTTAGTAGAGATGAGGTCTCACCATGTTGGCCAGGCTAGTCTCGAACTCCTGACCTCAAGTGATCTGCCCACCTCAGCCTCCCAAAGTGGGATTACAGGCATGAGCCACTGCACCCGTCTCTATTTTTAAAAATTCAAAATAAATAAATTTTTTTTTTTTTTTTTGAGACGGAGTCTTGCTCTTTCGCCCAGGCTGGGGTGCAGTGGCCGGATCTCAGCTCACTGCAAGCTCCGCCTCCCGGGTTTACGCCATTCTCCTGCCTCAGCCTCCCGAGTAGCTGGGACTACAGGCGCCCGCCACCTCGCCCGGCTAGTTTTTTGTATTTTTTTAGTAGAGATGGGGTTTCACCGGGTTAGCCAGGATGGTCTCGATCTCCTGACCTCGTGATCCACCCATCTCGGCCTCCCAAAGAAATTCAAAATAAATAAATTTTTTAAAAAAGTTTAGCTAAGTGTAGTGGTGCACGCCTGTAATCTCATGTAATCTCAGCTGCTTGGGAGGCTGGGGCAGGAGGATCGTTTGAGCTCAGGAGTTGCAGACTACAATGAGCTATAATGGCACTACTGAACTCCAGCCTGGCCAACAGAGTGAGACCCTGTCTCTCAAACGCGAACTACTGAACTCCAGCCTGGCCAACAGAGTGAGACCCTGTCTCTAAAACGCAAAGTAAAAATTTAAAAATACAAGAAAATAAATGAATAAAAGTTCCTAAAGGGTGGAGGCCATGTCTGGTGCCTCCTGTGCCCACAGTGCACAGCACCCTGTAGGTGATGTGTGCAGGCTTGTGAGCAATGCCTGGAGATACAAGGTGCTGTATTCGTTTTTAATGTGTAGGTCTGGCCAAAGACAGTTCGCAAAGGACACAAGAAAGAAAAACTCAGGCTAACTGTGAGAATGGCAGTGGGATACTCCACAGATCAGTATAAACTCATTGGGATTTGGTAGGAATTAGAAGAAATTACTCAAACAGCCGTGTCTCTATCTCCATGAGGCCCCCTTTTTTTTTTTTTTTTTTTTTGAGTTGGAGTCTCGCTCTGTTGGCCAGGCTGGAGTGTAATGGCGCGATCTCGGCTCACTGCAAACTCCACCTCCCAGGTTCAAGCGATTCTCTTGCCTCAGTCTCCTGAGTAGCTGGGATTACAGGCACGTGCCACCACACTCGGCTGATTTTTGTATTTTTAGTAAATATGGGGTTTCACCATGTCAGGCTGGTCTCGAACTCCTGACCTAGTGATCCGCCTACCTCGGCCTCCCAAAGTGCTGGGATTACAGGCATGAGCCACCATGCCCCAAGAGGCCTCTTTTTTAGAAGGAAGAAGCCCCTGAAAGTGGAACAAGAAAGAGCAGAGCCCAGTGCAGGGTATGCCCTTTGATTCCAGCCTCTCTCTCCACAGGCTGCTGAGAGGGGTCACGGGGACATCTGCTCCCTCCTCCTGCAACACAGCCCAGCCCTGAAGGCCGTCCGGGACCGAAAGGCACGGCTAGCATGTGACCTGCTGCCCTGCAACAGTGACCTGCGGGACCTGCTATCCAGCTGAGCCGCCACCCTGTCTCCAGCTGCCTTTAAAGGGTACACAGACCAGTTCTCCATGCCCCTGCCTTGGTCAGCATCCATGCTGCTGGGCAGGGAAATGAGGCCAGACAATCCAGGAAGAGCCCCAGTCTGGTCATTCTGGAAGCGAGGGAGTAGATCTGGTGTGGCTAAAAGTGTTTAAGCCCAGGCAGATGATCATATTCTAAATTAGTTCATATGAGACATCTATTCATTTGGAAAAAAATAAAGTTATATCCTTACCTCATCCCACACACAAAGATAAATTGCAAGATTAAATATCTAAATATAAAAACACAAAACTATGTAAGTATTAGAAGAAAATAGGGACTATGTGAGAAGCTGCTTTCTAGCTGAATGTCCTTGGGAAAAGTCACTTTAGCTGTCTGCCCCTCTGTTTCCTCTTCTGTACAGGGAGTGGTTATCACAGGGCCGGCCTCACAGTCATTGTGGGACGCGGTGAGTGCGCGCTGGGAGAGCCCTCGAGAGAGGGCCTGGCACGTGGCAGGCAGCCTGAGGGAGGCCCGCTTCCCCAGCGCCTCATCAGCACTTTGCTCATGATTCCATTCATTGCAACAGTCCAACAGGAGAAAAGTGCTGTTTCGTTTTTCATTGCTGGCTACAGTGAGGTTGAGCGCCTGTGTCTGCTGTGAGCCACCTACCCATGCCAGTTTCAGAAATGCTGCTTAGTCACAGGAGTGTTTCTATTCTAGATCCTGATCCTTTGTTCTATAGATGTACATTTAATTTTTTCCCTTTTTGTCTTTTATGCTCTCTGTTTCTTTTTTTTTTTTTTTTTTTTTGAGACAGAGTCTTGCTCTGCTGCCCAGGCTGGAGTGCAGTGGCCAGATCTCAGCTCACTGCAAGCTCCACCTCCCAGGTTTACACCATTCTCCTGCCTCAGCCTCTTGAGTAGCTGGGACTACAGGTGCCCGCCACCTCGCCCAGCTAATTTTTTGTATTTTTTAGTAGAGACGGGGTTTCACCGTGTTAGCCAGGATGGTCTTGATCTCCTGACCTCGTGATCCTCCCGTCTCCGCCTCCCAAAGTGCTGGGATTACAGGCTTGAGCCACCGCTCCCGGCCTCTCTTTGTTTCTTGATGTCCATTCATGGGAATTGGTAGTCACTGTAGATGGCAGTTTGACAGTATCTATTTAAACTTAAATGAGCAGAGCCAATAATTTGATTTTTCTGTAGCTATGTAGAGAGATGTTCTTCCATGGTTACAAAGATGTTTATTTACAGGAGCATTTACAAATATGTGCATTGGAGCATGGAGTGCAACGTTAAAAAAGAGAGAACCGCTGGGCGCAGTGGCTCACGCCTGTAATCCCAGCACTTTGGGAGGCCGAGGTGGGTGGATCACGAGGTCAGGAGATCGAGACCATCCTGGCTAACACGGTAAAACCCCGTCTCTACTAAAAATACAGAAAAATTAGCCGGGCGAGGTGGCGGCGCCTGTAGTCCCAGCTACTCGGGAGGCTGAGGCAGGAGAATGGCGGGAACCCGGCAGGCAGAGCTTGCAGTGAGCCGAGATCGCGCCACTGTACTCCAGCCTGGGCGACAGAGCGAGACTCCGTCTCAAAAAAAAAAAGAAAAGAGAGAGAACCGACTCCTCCTGATAGGGAGGGTGGAGTTCTGCAGATCCAAGGTCTCTGCCGTGCAGCAGCGCACAGTGTGCTGACAGGAGAGTGCTGCTTGTGTCCACAGTGCTTCACACAGAACATGTCCGTAGAATGTGATCGCCTCTCAGCCTTTTGGCTACGATCAGGTATAAATGTATGGATCTATAAGTGGATGTAGGCCAGGAGCGATGGCTCACACCTGTAAGCCCAGCACTTTGGGAGGCTGAGGCAGGAGGATCACCTAAGGTCAGGAGTTCCAGACCATCCTGGTTAACACAGTAAAACCCTGTCTCTACTAAAAATACAAAAAATAGCTGGATGCAGTGGCAGGTGCCTGTAATCCCAACTACTCTGGAGGCTGAGGCAGGAGAATCGCTTGAACCAGGGAGGTGGAGGTTGCAGTGAGCTGAGATTGCACCATTGCACTCCAGCCTGGGCAACAGAGTGAGACCCTGTCTCAAAAGAAAAATGTGAATGTGCATCCACAAAACGCACAGAGCAGAAGCAGGAGGGTGGCTGTTAAACCGCCAGCCGTGGTTTCTCCTGGGCCATGTGGCAAGAGAGGGAGTCAAGGAGGTCCTGAGCCTTCTATTTATGTTTGAACTTTTTATAAGGAATCTTTTTTCCTTTCTTGTTCAACATACTGTTTCTGGCTTTTTTTCTTTATTTCTTTCTTTTCTTTTTTTTTTTTTTTTTTGAGACGGAGTCTCGCTCTTTCCCCCAGGCTGGAGTGCAGTGGCGCGATCTCAGCTCACTGCAAGCTCGCCTCCTGGGTTCACGCCATTCTCCTGCCTCAGCCTCCAGCTCTTGGGATACAGGAGCCCGCCACCGCGCCCGGCTGGTTTTTGTGTTTGTAGTAGAGACGGGGTTTCACCGTGAAGTGTTGATCTCCTGACCTTGTGATCCCGCCTGCCTCGGCCTCTAAAGTCTTTCTTTTCTTTTAAATCAGAGTTAATACCAGTCATATGAGACAGCCAGTGGGTTTTCTACTGAGAATTTCCTGAAGCGAGACAACCAATGGGTTTTCTACTGAGAATTTCCCTGAAGCTTGTGGGTGTAAAACGACGCTCCTCCAGTGCCACGGGCTGAGGGGCGTTTGTGAGTTGGAGTGGACAGTGGTGGCCAGCCTTACTTTTTCTTGTTTTTTTTAACTCATTTTACTTTTTTTTGAGACCGAGTCTCACTCTGTCATCCAGGCTGGAGTGTAGTGGTGTGATTTTGGCTCACCACAGCCTCCACCTTCTGGGATCAAGTGATTCTCGTGCTTCAGCCTCCCGAGTAGCTGGGACTACAGGCATCCGGCTAATTTTTATATTTTTAGTAGAGACAGGGTTTCACCATGTTGGCCAGGCTGGTTTCGAACTCTTGACCTCAGGTGATCTGCCCGCCTCAGCCTCCTAGAGTACTGGCATTACAGGCGTGAGCCACCACGCCCAGCCCCTTTGCCCTCATTTTAGATGACTCTTTTCCTCATAACCAAAAGCGAGGAAGAGGCTGGGCGTCACCTGAGGTCAGGAGTTCAAGACCAGCCTGACCAACATGGAGAAACCCCATCTCTACTAAAAATACAAAATTAGCCAGGGTGGTGGCACTCGCCTGTAACCCCAACTACTTGGGAGGCTGGGGCAGGAGAATCACTTGAACCCGGGAGGTGGAAGTTGCAGTGAGCCAAGATCGTGCCATTGCACTCCAGCCTGGGCAACAAGAGCGAAACTCCATCTCAAAGAGGAAAAAAAAAGCAAGGAACACCTTTGTCTGAGAAAAGCACCCGAAATTTAGCCTAAAAACTAAGTTTTTGGCTGGGCGCGATGGCCCAAGCCTGTAATCCCAGCACTTTGGGAGGCTGAGGCGGGTGAATCATGAGGTCAGGAGTTCAAGACCAGCCTGGCCAACATGGCGAAACCCCGTCTCTACTAAAAATATAAAAAATTAGCTGGGCATAGTGGCGGGTGCCTGTAATCCAGCTACTCGGGAGGCTGAGGCAGGAGAATTGCTTGAACCCTGGAGGCGGAGGTTGCAGTGAGCCGAGATCGCGCCACTGCACTCTAGCCTGGGCGACAGAATGAGATTCCAGCTAAAAAAAAAAAAAAAAGAAAAAAGAAAAATAACTGAGTTTTCTTTTCTTTTTTGTTTTTTTTCTTCAGACAGAGTCTCACTGTGTCGCCAGGCTGGAGTGCAGTGGCGTGATCTCAGCTCACTGCAACCTCCGCCTCCCGGGTTCATGCCATTCTCCTGCCTCAGCCTCCCAAGTAGCTGGGACTACAGGTGCCCGCCACCACGCCCAGCTACTTTTTGTATTTTTAGTAGAGACGGAGTTTCACCATGTGGGCCAGGATGGTCTCGATCTCTTGACCTCGTGATCCGCCCACTTCGGCCTCCCAAAGTGCTGGGATTACAGGCTTGGGCCATCGCGCCGGGTCAAGAACTAAGTTTTCTAAGAAAGCTCTGCCTTTCCCTGAGTTCTCTGAAGATGTGGAAGCCCTTCCCAGAGGCCAGTTCTTTGGGAGCTGGGCAGCCATCTGGGGCCTGTGGCCGTCCTTGGCCGCGGTTCTCCGTCCCATGCCCTGGTCATCTCTGCTCAGGCTGCTGTGATTCTGGGGTCTTCTTTACTGGCTGATTTCCTTGCAAAGGCCAAGGTGGAGTTCAGGGTCCAGCTGGGTGAAGGGCATGCCTGGCTTCCTGAGAATTAGAAATGGTGGCTGGTGACTTGAGGCACATTGCTCTGCGGCTGGATTTCATGGTTACTGTTCCATCCCGGGACCTGGCGCGGCTCAGTCTCCCCTTTCCTGTGGCTGGAAGGGCATGCTCCGTCCCTGGAGAGCGTCTGGTAGGGGCCTGTGGAGGGGCGCGGAGGACTTCCAGAGGCCGGAGGACAGGTGCCAGGCTTGAATCCAGGGCTGGGGCAGCTGCCATGTGCTCTCAGAGCGTTGGGGGAGGAGCGGGGGAGCCCGAGGGCAACAAACCCACAGCACAGGGAAGGGCAGCCTTGAAACTGCAAGTTGGGAGATGACGGTTTCCTGGCGTGGCCACCATGAGGGCTGAGGCTGGAGGCTGGCCGCTCCTGACCCCCCCTTCAGGTTTCCAGTCTCCTTGCTCAGCCACCCAGGCTGGGCTTTCAGGTTCACAGGCAGCCAGCCCTACAACACAGAGGCCAGGCTGGGCTTGCTTCAGGAGTGGCATCTAAACTTAGGAGAGGGGAACACATTGCACCCCAATCTGCGCTAGCGGCGTGTTGGTTAAATGGCCCGAGTAGGTGTGGGGCATGGCAGAGGTGCAGGAGCGGGTGTCCGAGAATGTAGCCAACTCATCTCCAAACAGCTCCTTTTCCTTTTCCCTAGTGGGCTGCATTCCCAGACTGGTATTTTGGTTGGTGTGACAGAGTCCCAGAGTCATCCGGCCCAGGTGCAAGCCCCTGGGCCAGTCCTTCTCTGTCCACCCCTGCCCACCCCCAGACGCTCCTATAAAGGGCTGAGCAGTTCGGCTCTTCTCACTGGGGGGTGTAAGGAACAGGGGGGACCATGGACTTCATCAGCATTCAGCGGTTGGTAAGGATGTGGGACGGAGGTGGGAGGCACCCTGGGACTGGCTGGACAGGAGGAGACTGGCTAGAGGAGGGCTGGCAGCTGCTTTCTGTGGTGTGAGGGTCAAGTCTTAGGTGCAAGGAAGCATGCATTTCTTTTATAAAAATCGGTATTTTTTGAAATGGAGTCTTGCTAGGTTTCCCAGGCTGGCCTCGAAGTCCCAGGCTCAAGCGATCCTCCCACCAGGGCCTCCCGAGTAGCTGGGACTCCAGCCGTGTCCCACCACAGCCGGCTGGGCGCGCGGTTCTTTCTGGTGTGTCTGCTCGGTTCTCATGGGATGAGGCCGGGGATAGGGAACAAGAGAGGGACGTCAGTGGGAAAGAAGACATGAAAATCCTTGAGTTCAGTGAGTTTTGCCCTGGATGGTGATGGCCAAAGAGGAACAGGAAATGCAGGTTACTTTGGAAGATGCGAGTGTAGCCGTGGTGGTCGCCGTGGTGGTTGTAGTTCAGCTTAAGCACCATGATAGTTGTTGCTCTGGAAATGGCCAGAGGGCCTGGCTGCCTTGGGATGGGGAAGGTGCTCTTGCGCTCCCTGGGCAGTGAGAGACAGTGATGCTTAGGGATGTCGGTTTGGGTGAGGAGGGGCCTGGAGGGTGTGAGGCCCAGCAAGCCCCTCTGGGCTGGAGGCCCCAGCGTAGTGCAGCCTCTGCTGGGAGGCAAATGGCAGGGAAGTGTTAGGTTGCTAGAGTTCCTTAGAAGGAATATGGTTCTACCTGGCTGGAAAGTCCTAGGATCTGTTACCCTATCATTCCAGCCTGTTCTTTCCCCACAACATGCTCATTCCTCCCGAACTCCTGAGGTGGGGCGGTGGGAGGAAGCATGGATGTGTGCTACAGGCTTTGCCCCAGGCACAGGCCCCAATAACTCACAACCTTCCCAGCTCATTAGGCAAGTGCCTAAAAGTGTTTGAGCTTAAATGTAGCTTCAAAAGGAGCTGAGAACTGAACCCAGGCATTTAGAATTTTACCCGGCGGGGGCTTCTCCTCTGTCCCTCTGAGCTTGGAGTCAGGTGGCAGTCAGTATGATCTGGTAGGAATCTTAAGGACAACAACATGGGGGAAGCTAAGGTGTCATCTGCCCTGAGGCTACCTGGGCACACACCCAGCAGTATAAATAGATTGTGGCCTCATGTCCCCCCAGCTGTGTTCCTGCTGACAGGAGCAGGGTAGGCGGGGATTTGCTGACACGGTGTCAGCCGATGCCATGGTTGCAGAACAAGCAGCACCCACGGGGTGAGGGAGCTGGCCGGCACTCTGGACCACTGGGGCTTTGAGGCCGACTCCCACCCCGGGCAGCAGCCTTGTGACATTCGCCCTTAGCAGACAGCTCCCTGGTACTCCACAGCTCTGCTTTCTAACGGCTCCTCCAATTTTCCCAACTCGGTACTCATATCCTGTTCCTACAGGTAAGTGGAGAAAGAGTTGAAGGGAAGGTGTTGGGATTTGGACATGGACTTCCTGACCCTGGAGCCTGGCCTACTGACTGGAGGAGGGGCCCCCAAGAGGCTGTGGCCCGGGAGAAGCTGAAATTGGAAGAAGAGAAGAAGAAGAAAGTGAGAGAGGGGCAGGGGCGGGGGCTAATCCCTGAGGCTGGCTGAGCAGTGAGGCCTGGAGGGACTCTGGTGGGGCAGCCTGAGCAGCTGGTGTCTCCTATCGGCAGGGCAGAGAGATCTTGACCAGCGGCTGGTGACTGGCATGGTCTTGTCTCTGCCCCAGCTTGAAAGATTTAACAGTTCCAGATTTAATCTGGATAACCTGGCTGACTTGGAAAACTTGGTTCAAAGACGGAAAAAGCGACTGAGACATAGAGTCCCCCCCAGGAAACCCGAGCCCCTGGTTAAGGTGAGTGGGAGGTCGGGGCTGGGGCATGCCAACGCCAGGGCTCCAGTTCCAGAGGAAGGGCTTGGGGAGGAGTGGGCACTGCAGGCCAGGACCACATAGCCGGCACCTGGGGAGCCCATGAAATCCATTCCAGAGCCCCCGGGGATGTGTCCGCCAGGGCTGTCACAACAAAGTCCCACAGCCCGGACAGCCTCAACAGCAGGCGTGTGTCACCTCGCAGTCCTGGGGGCTGGAAGGCTGAGAGGAAGGTGTTGGCGAGGCTGGTTCCCTCTGAGGGCAGTGAGGGAGAATCCCTTCGTGCCTCTCGGCTTCTGGTGGATGCTGGCGGTCTTTGGCGTCGTAGACTCTTGTCTTCACGTTCGCTGGGTGTTCTACCCGTGTGCATGCCTGTGTCCATGTGTCCCCCCACCCCTTTTTTGTTGTTGTTGAGACGGAGTCTCGCTCTGTCGCCCAGGCTGGAGCACAGTGGCCGGATCTCGGCTCACTGCAAGCTCCGCCTCCCGGGTTCACACCATTCTCCTGCCTCAGCCTCCCAAGTAGCTGGGACTACAGATGCCCGCCACAAAGCACAGCTAATTTTTTGTATTTTTTAGTAGAGATGGGGTTTCACCGTGTTAGCCAGGATGGTCTCGATCTCCTGACCTCATGATCAGGAGGTGATTAGCCGGGCATGGCGGCGGGCACCTGTAGTCCCAGCTACTTGGGAGGCTGAGGCAGGAGAATGGCGTGCACCTGGGAGGCAGAGCTTGCAATGAGCCGAGATTGTGCCACTGCGCTCCAACCTTGGCCTCCCAAAGTGCTGGGATTACAGCCGTGAGCCACTGCACGCGGCCCACATGTCCCCTTTCATGACACCAGTCACACTGGATTAGAGCCCACCTTAACACAAGTCGTACCAGTGAGGGACTCACTGTACCCCGGCGTGACCTCATCTTGAACTAATTCCATCCTCAGTGACTGTTTCCAAATAAGGTCACATTCTGAGGTACCTGGGGTTAGGACTTCACATGAATCTTGGGGAGATACAAGTCAATCCATCACACACACACACTCTCTCTCTCTCTATTCAATCTCCTGGGGTGGGATTAGAATAAGAAACCGCATTAGTACAAGCCAGCAGTGTTCCTCGGTCGGCTGCGTGGGACCCGTGGGCCGGGCTGGTGGAGCTGTGACGTCTTGGGCACCTGCGGCCTTCGGGAGTGATTTGGTCTTGTCTTCAACTGACCCAGCCGCAGCCCCAGGCCCAGGTGGAGCCTGTGGACCTGGAGATGTTCCTGAAGGCAGCTGCTGAGAACCAGGAGTCCCTGATTGACAAGTACCTGACAGACGGAGGGGACCCCAGTGCCCATGACAAGGTAGCACAGGTGGGGTGAGTCGGCTGGCAGCAGCTGCAGCTGCAGGAGCGCTGCCTTCATTGTGTTCAAGTCCTGGCCTAGGAGGCTGCAGGGATTTTCACTTTCATGGGCATGAATCCAGTGATGCCTCCAGAGGGAAGGGAAGAAGTGGCAATTCCATTCAGGAACCTGGCCCTGGGAAGTGGACAGCGTGGGGTCTCCAGGGTTAGCTGCACTCCCTCTGCCTAATCTCCCATCTCTGCCCCCAGCTCCACCGCACCGCCTTGCACTGGGCCTGTCTGAAGGGTCACAGCCAGCTGGTGAACAAGCTGCTGGCAGCAGGTGCCACCGTGGACGCGCGGGACTTGGTGAGGATGGGGAAAGGCCCAGCCTCTGGTCCACGCCCAGTTTCGCATCCCAGCAGCTCTGAGTGCTTGGGTGCTTTTGTTTTGCAGCTGGACAGGACACCCGTGTTCTGGGCCTGCCGCGGAGGACATCTGGACATCCTCAAACAGTTGCTTAACCAGGGAGCCCGGGTCAACGCCCGGGACAAGGTGAGGGGGACGGTGTTTTGGGGGCCCGTCCGGAACACAGGAGCAGATGCTGTTCCTGGAGAAGAGCACGTGTAGTCCCGTGGGTTGGGGAGGGCTCACCAATCCACACCCAGCACTGACCCCCACTTCTCTCAGATTGGGAGCACCCCCCTGCATGTGGCAGTGCGCACCCGGCACCCCGACTGCCTGGAGCACCTCATCGAGTGTGGCGCCCAGCTGAACGCACAGGATAAGGTAAGGCAGGCGCTTGGTCTTTTCGCGCTTGGGCAGCTCCAGAGGGGCAGGGACTGAGGAGCCCTAGCCGGGACCAGAGGTGCTGTGTGCTTGGTGACGCCAGCCCTGACCTTCCCGCATGAGGAGGGCAGCACGCAGAGGCAGGAGCTTGACCGCCTGCCTTCTCAGCAGGAAGGGGACACGGCTCTGCACGAGGCCGTGCGGCATGGCAGCTACAAAGCCATGAAGCTGCTGCTGCTCTACGGGGCCGAGCTGGGGGTGCGGAACGCGGTGAGTGTGGGCGCAGCCCTGGCTCCTGTCCTGAGGGCGGGTGGAGCGCCTGCAGGGGACTGACCCACACCGTTGTTCCCAGGCCTCCGTGACCCCGGTGCAGCTGGCTCGAGACTGGCAGCGCGGCATCCGGGAGGCCCTGCAGGCCCACGTGGCGCATCCCCGCACCCGGTGCTGACCGCAGCCCCGCGCCTTGCGCACCTGCCACCATTCCATCCCGTGCCCCGCCCCCGCGCCTCTGCGGTTCCTGCCCTCAGCCCCGGTTCCTGCCTCTCGGGGCTGCGCCTCCTCAGCAGCCCTTGCAGAACTGAGGAGTGGCACTGGGTCCAGCAGGCAGAGAGAGGGGCCTCCCTGGCTGTCAGGGGAGCCGCGTTCCCTCCCAGGGCTGGAGCAGAGGACCACGAGGCAGCGGAAAGCGCCGGTCCAGAGGGCCAGGAAGGGGAGGAGAGTGAGGGCCAAGAACGGAGCCCAAAGGGAGCAGTCCCAGGCTGGAGCCACCTGGGGCTGGGTCTGGGAATCCTCAGTGTCCACTGGTCCCACGTTAGGGGCTTGCCTTGCTCTCCCCAGGGCCAGTCGCTGCGGGTGGGGACTCAGCCTGGGGCTGGCAGATGCCATCCAGGATGTACAAGGGGCAGCCAAGGCAGGCCGTGCAGGGGTAGGGCCTGTCTGCAGCTGGTGGATGCCCATGGGCAAGGCTTTCTCTGGGGATCCCATTCCTGTCAGTAGCAACCCTGGCAGTGTCTGGAGCAGCTCCAGACAACGTTGGTCGTAGGGACTCTGGAGGTGGGTTCTGACCGTCTGAGGTCTCAACAGGTTTGAGGCCCCACGGCGACAGAAGTCCAGGACCCACTAGGTTGCCTCAGAAGTCCTAAGACTGATGAGCTGGAGCACGTATTTGAGAAGCCTTGCACCCACTGGGCACTGGCCCTGCTCAGGCCAGCCTGGCACACTGTCGCCGCTGGCGGCGCTCATGGGGAAGTGCCTGGGCACTGGGGATTGCTTGTGGCCCACTCAACTCTTGGGGCGGTGGCCCGTAACCCGTTTGCCTGAGGCTCTTACATCCCTGGTACTGGAGCTTGAGCTCTTGCCTGGAAGCCTGCAGCTGCACCCACCCTGCTTGATCCCACCTGAGAGGCCAGGACACTGAGGGGCTCTGAACCCAGCCCACAGGGAAGCAGGGGAAGGTGAGGCCCTCCCCCTGCCCCGCGCGGCCCTTCCCATCCCTTCCCTGCTCTCTGGTGGTCTAAGGACCCAAGCTCCCTAGACTTCTTCCTTTTCCACTGTCTGTATGTTTCAGATTACACTGGTGTAGACATGTACTGCTGGCGGGGCTGGGCCCCTGAACGCCACAAAGTGAATCTTAACAAGCTCTGCCCTAAACTGAGAACCACGTGCTGAGGGAAGGGCTGAAAGGTGAAGGCTCAGCCTCCCTCACATGGGTCCTGGGTTACATTAGGTACCGGGCTAATAGACATTTGGCCATGCTTCTTTTTAGTCTGCCTTTGGTGGCCTTCTCAGGCCCACAACAAGGCTGCTGTTACGAAGTGGAAAAGCTGACCAGTGCTCCACACTCGGGACACACACCTTTCCATGGGCAGCTCCTGCCCTGTGGCGACAGAGCCAGCGTGCACCAGACGCTGGTGCTACGGCGAAGCAGGCGTTCAAGACCATGGAGAAGACAAATCCTCATCTAGAAATGAGGACACCTCAGTGACAAACACACCTTTTTATACCCATCAGTATCTTCTGTTCATTAAAACGGGCTATCCATCACAGCCTAGTTGTCTTTCCTGGGCTGAGAGGAGCCCATGCTTCAATCACCAGGGACTGTCTGCGAGGGCCCAGGCCTGTTAGCCATGCCGGCCGGCAGCAAGACAGGCCGAGTGCAGAGTGGGCAGGATGCGGGGTCCTAGCACTAAGCTCTTGTGCTTAAGGCATCTCCGCTCGCTGATGACAAGGTCAGAGAGCAGTGGTTCTCCACCTCAGCTGCTCGTCAGAATCACCAGGAAGGTTTAAAAAGTCCTGATGTCCACACCCTAAGTCAGAAGCCCTGAGGGGAGGATCCAGGTATTCTCATGCAGAGGCCATGCCTGTCTATGTGGGAAATCCTACGCATCTATAGAAAGCAGACACCTAGGGAGTCCAGCAAATCTCGGGTGCAAGATAAACACACAAAAACCTGTTTCCACCTCCTGGAAATTAACATATAGACACAAAAGTTAAAAATATGTACTGTTAACAATGGCTTAAAAAGTGAAATACTTAGGTTTAAATCTAACAAAATAGGCAAGGACTTGTATGCTGAAAATTACAAAACATGATGAAATCAAAGATTTAAATAGACATGCCATGTTCACAGATTGTTAGACACAATAAAGATATCAATTCTCCTCAGATTAACATACAGGTTGAATGCAGTTCCTATCAAAATCCTCAAAGATATTTTGTAGATGTAGACAAGGTTATTCTAAAATCCATATAAAAATTTATAGCAAAAATATTTTGAAAAAGAATAAAGTGAGAAGAGGACTCTGTCCACCTGATTTCAAGATCTACTATATAGCTATGTGAACCAAGAGTGCAATGCTGGCAGAGGGACAGACACACAGACTGACAGAGCCGAGAACACCATGGGAACAGGACCACACAAATATGCCCAGCTGACTTTAAGGTGCAAAAGTAATTCAATGGAGGAAGGACAACCTTTCAACAAACGGTGCTGGAGCAGCTGGACAGCGATACGCTAAAAAAAAGAACTTTAGCCTAAGTCTTACACATTATACAAAAACTAACGTGGCTCACATACATACTTAAATGTAAAACTATAAAACTTTTAGGAAAGAACAGACCACCTTTGGGATCTAAGACTACGTAGAGTTTTTAAATGCGACACTAAAAGCAAGAGTCTATAAAGGAAAAATCAGTAAAGTGGACTTTATCAAAACTGAAAACTTTTGCTCTGTAAAAAACCCCAAGAGGGTGAAAAGATGGCCGGGCACAGTGGCCCACATCTGTAATTGTAATTTGGGAGGCTGAGGCAGGCAGATCACTTGAGCTCATGAGTTCGAGACCAGGTGTGGGCAACATGGTGAAACCCCATCTCTATAAAAAATTAGCTGGGCGTAGGCCAGGCATGGTGGCTCACACCTGTAATCTCAACACTTTGGTAGGCTGAGGCAGGCGGATCATCTGAGGTCAGGAGTTTTGAGACCAGCCTGACCAACGTGGAGAAACCTCGTCTCTACTGAAAATACAAAATTAGCTGGGTGTGGTGGTGCATACCTGTAATCCCAGCTACTCAGGAGGCTAAGGCAGGAGAATCGCTTGAACCCGAGAGGCGGAGGTTGCAGTGAGCCGAGATTGTGCCATTGAACTCCAGCCAGGGCAACAAGAGCAAAACTCCATCGCAAAAAATAAATAAATAAATAAATATAAATTTAGCTGGTCGTGGTGATAGTCCCATCTACTTGGAGAGCTAAAGCGGGAGAACTGCCTGAGTCCAGGAGTCAAGTACACAGCGAGCCAAGACTGTGCCACTGCACTCCACCCTGGGTGACAAAGTGAGACTCTGTCTCAGAAAAAAAAAGGGGGGCGGGTAGGGATGAAAAAGATAAGCTACAGACCAATGCAAACCAAAAATCCCATAAAGTAATCTCAAAACAACTCTCAAAACTCAACAGAAAAAACAATCCAATCAGAAAAGGGTGAAAGACAGGGATATTCCACTGCAGGGGAACACAGGAGGTGTCCATCACTGGGAAACACAAATGAAAAACCACCGTGAGGCATCACGACACACCTGTCGGAGTGGCTGAAGTAAAACCACGACACCACCAAGTGCTGTGGAGGATTCGGGGAAACTGACCGTCCTAGGTTGCTGGTGAGGACGTAAGGGTTTGACGGTTTAAAAAACGAAACATGCAACAACCCTATGGCCGAGCATTTACACTCCTGGAAAACTAATCTTTACACAGAAACCTGTACATCAACAGTCGTAGCAGCTTTATTTGGAACAGCCCCAAACTGGAAACATCCCAGGTGTCCTTCATGGGAGCAATGTGTACACCACGGAATACCACTCAGCAACAAAAAGGAGGAAACTGTTGACACACACATACAACGCCTGGATGATCTCCCGAGAAGGACACTGAGTGGAAAAAGACAATCCCACCAGGCGCGGTGGCTCACGCCTGTAATCCCAGCACTCTGGGAGGCCGAGGCAGGAGGATCACGAGGTCAGGAGATCGAGACCATCCTGGCTAACACGGTGAAACCCCGTCTCTACTAAAAAATACAAAAAAACTAGCTGGGCGAGGTGGTGGGCGCCTGTAGTCCCAGCTACTCGGGAGGCTGAGGCAGGAGAATGGCGTGAACCCGGGAGGCAGAGCTTGCAGTGAGCTGATATCGCGCCACTGCACTCCAGCCTGGGCAACAGAGCAAGACTCTGTCTCAAAAAAAAAAAAAAAATCCCAAGTGCTTACACACTATGCTCCCATTTATACAACATTCTTGACATGACAAAATAAGAGATGGAATGATTAGTGGTTGCCAGGAGTTAGGGGTGGCGGGAAGGGAGATCCCTGTGGGGATGGGACTTCTTTATCGTGATTGCAGTGGCAGTTACACAGATGTACATATGACACATGATTTGGGACTGTCCACCCACACTGCACCAGTGTCAAAGTCTTGCTTGGAATACTGCATTACAATCACGTAAGATGTAACCACGGAGGGAAACCAGATGAAGGCTGTGTGAGGCCCTTATCTTTACAACTTCCTATATTCTGAAATTAGTTCAAAATATAAAGTTAGGAAAAAAGAAAGCAACAGCTCTAAGTGCAGCATGACATCCTGGATTGGCTGCTACAGCAGAAAAAGGACATTGGGGAAAAATGGTAAAATCCAAATAAACTCTAATAGTACAATTGCACCAATGTTAATTTTTTAGTTTTGTTGAATGTACCAAGGTTATATGTAAGATGTTAACATTAGGGGAACCTGGGTGAAAGGTGTATGAACCTCTTCTGTGAACCTGGGCATGGTGGCTCACGCCTATAACCTCAACACCTTGGGAGGCCGAGGCAGGAGGATGGCTTGAGCCTAGGAGTTCGAGACTAGCCCAGGCAACATAATGAGACCCTAGCTCTACAAAAGATTAAAAGAATTAGCTGGGTGTGGTGGTGCATACCTGCAGTCCCAGCTACTCAGGAGGGTGAGGTGGCAGGATGGCCTGAACCAGGGAGGTCGAGGCTGCAGCAAGCTGTAATCACACCACTGCACTCCAGTCTGGGTGACCGAGCAAGATCTTGTCTCAAAAAATAAAAATAAAAAATAAAATAAATAAAAAATTGCAAACTCTGATGCCCAGACTCTGATTAAATCACAAGCTTTGGTGACAGGTCCAGGTATTTTTAATTTGCCAGATGATTCTGATGTGCAGCCAAGGTTAAGAATCACTGTTCTTAGCTCACACCTGTAATCCCAGCACTTTGGGAGGCCAAGGCGGGCAGATCACCTGAGGTCAGTTCGAGACCAGCCTGGCCAACATGGTGAAACCCTGTCTCTACTAAAAATACAAAACTTAGCTGGGTGTGGTGGTGGGCACCTGTAATCCTAGCTACTCAGGGGGCTGAAACAGGAGAATGGCTTGAACCTGGGAGGTGGAGGTTGCAATGGGCCAAGATCGCGCCACTGCACTCCAGCCTGAGCGACAGAGTGAGACTCCGTCTCAAACAAACAAAAAAATAATTTTCTGGAGACAGGATTTTAATGCATCCGTTTCCAAACTGGGCTTGCTCTCACAGTTGATTCCTTGAGGACAATTTCTAAGCAAGCATACCACTGTTCTTTTGACCTTCAGTCCCATTTTTAAGGGTCCAAATTCCTTTGAGAAAAGTTCCAGAAATCCTCCTCCCTCCCTACCCAATCTATGATCCTATGTCCTGTGATGCCCGTTTCCACACAGCTGAAGAACTACGGAAGGAAAATGTAGTAAATTAGAAGAAAAAGACAAATGCCTTCCTGTTCCCACTTCTCTAAAACCCCACAGCTAGGAACAGAAAAAAACGAAAAGACTTGAAATGTTCTAAAGATATAACAAAAACTGATTTTTTTTTTTTTTAAAAGAGGATCCACCTGGTTCCTAAACCCTCCCTCGCTGCTCTCTGCACATCACAGCCGCACAGCACCTGCAGGGAGGCCGTGGCGAGGTGCGGAGCAGGTGCAACAGGCAGCTACACTCCCGGGGGCCACACAGTGGAGAGAAGATTCGATGCAGCATGACGATCCCTTCCTCCCAGGCGTGACCTCTTCTCAGAACACAGGAACTGACAACGCTGTGGGTGGCAACTCAGCAGGTGGGCAGAGAAGCAGAAAGGAGCCCTCAGCACCGGCCAGCTCTCAGGATCAGAAGAGCAGCCTCCAGGGAGGGTGCAGGGCTACAGGGACAGCCTATGGGCAGCGGAGCTTCTGGTTTGGCACATGGGAAAGGCTGGGGCACATGCTCTGAAACATGACACTGTTAGGGAAGCCAGAAAGGACGCCATGGACAAGGCCATCGATTTGAACCCCCAGCCAAAATGGGTGCGCTCGGCCTGCTCAAAAAGTGCTGCCAGCAGCGACAGGTTGGCAAATTAAAAGCAAACGAGTACAGGTCACGGCCACATAAAGGCAGTAACTGCACTCACAAGGTGGCTCGGCCCGAAGAGGTCTGAATCTGAATACGCCACACGGTCCCAGCCTCGGGGGAGAAGGGGAAGGCTGGGCCCTGGGGACTAGAGATGATGGCATTCCTTTCCTTCCTTCGTGACGCGGGCCTGGAGGGCTGTGCCCTGGTGACTCCTGTCTCCTAAAGGAGGGCAGGACCGGCTGAACGATCCAGGCACTGATGTCTAGTTCTGAGGACACCCAGGACCCGCATCTACAAGGGCCATCTAAAACGTGGCCTGGAGGAGATGGGGGCAGGCGGGCACGAAGCTTCTGCTCAGCTCAGTCCAGCTCCCCACGTGCTCATCTGTTCCCCAGATCTGGGGCTGCCTAGTGAGCAGTTAAACACCTGGGTTCCGCCCGGGGCTGCCTTCCACCGGGATGCCGGGCCTGCTGTGGCTGGACCCTACAGAAGACAAGGGAAGGAAAATTCACATCAAAGCTGGTAAAGGGACCTGTCAAAACCAAGTGCCAAATCCTGTGTGGGACAGGAAGGGGCAGCTAAGACAGGGGCTTCAGGAGGCCTTGGGAGGTATCAGAGCAGAGCCAGGAGCGATCGGTTAGCAGATGGTCAGCCAACAGATGCCTTCCCTGGGACATGGGGGAAGCTGGGGCTGTGGATTTCTTGCCCCAGGGGGTCCCAGGTCATTATACTAAACAAGAGGCACCTTCCCGGGACAACACAGCACCCCGTGCTGGAAGGAAGCACCATTTTCCACAGTGGAAGAGTCTCGTGACCCCTCCTGTCTTCCAGAAGGATGGAAGGGAGCACCCACCCCGCACCCCTGGAGAAAAAAGGCCCCCAGCCCGGGGAGCCGTGGGCTCTGCTCCTCTCATAGCTAAAGAGCCAGGAGAGGAAAGTGAAGGGGCAGGGAGAGGGAAGATATTTACCTTGGGTGTGCTCTGAAAACAAAAAACGCGCACTAGTCCACAGTCATTTATCAACTGCAGTTTCCAACTGTGCCAAAGAGGGAAAGGTCTACTGGGAAGGCTAAAGAGAGCAGAGAGAGAAAGAAGAGGAGAAGCTATTGAGCAGAAATGGCTGTGCCTCTTGGCTCCAGGCAGCACCATGGAGAGGGCCGATTCCCCAAGCAGGGGAAGCCAAGGGGGAGCGGGCAGCTGCAGTGCTGGCGCTGAACTGCCCCACAGCCTGCGGCTCAGGACGGCCGGCTGAGGGAGCGGGCAGCACAGCATGGAGGGCTCACAGCATGGGGGCCGCCTTTCCCTCGGCGATACAGTTCCACAGAGAACTGATGCGGAGGACCTACCCAGGGTTTGAAATGGTAGGTCAGGGGTCAGACAACCTTTTCTGTAAAAGGCCGATATTTCTAGTTTTTGTGGGTTATATGGTCTCTGTCACAGCTACTCAGCTCCACTGCTGTAACTCAAAGGCAGCCACAGCAATCCACAAACCGATGTGTGGGTTCTCACAAAACTTCATTCTCAAAAATAGGCTGCTGGCCAGATGTGACCCTTGTACCACCATTTGCCAACCCCTGCTGTGGGCAATTTAAAATTATTGTGTCTTCCAAGTCTCAAAAAAGGCACTTCTCTGTTGGGCGTCTAGTGCCAAGGTCCCCAGAAACTGGTTCTCATCTGCACAATTTAAGCAGTGCCCCACCGAAATCTCCAGGTGTGCAGCGGCCCTACGCTCCTCTGGACAGTCAAGTGCCAAGCTCACAGGACAAAACGCAGGACAAGCCGAGTTCAGGCAAGAAACAGAAAGACAGCAGGCCAGCCTCACTGGAGCAACTGTCAGGTTGTACTTAGGTGAAAATAACCAACATTGTGTCTAGAGAATAATAATCTATTACCAAGAGGAAATGCCCCACAAAGCCACTATAAACTCTTCTCTTACAGGACGGCCCAGTGAAGATTTTTTAAAAATCTCTGGGTATATGATATGATGCAATGACGGGAAAAGCATTATTCTGGGATTAGGTCTGTATCTTCAATACAACATGTGCAGTCTGGGCGGCAGTGAGCCAGAAAGGCTCACGTGGGAAAACCAAAACCAAAAGGCTCACACTGTGGAAAACACGCCGCCCCGGCCTCTGAGACTCCAGTGTGACGGGACAGTGTGAACTTCTGTAGAAGGGGCACCCCATACAATAAGAAACCATCGCCGTGGGTAAACACAGAAGCTTCAGCAACCCCAGAAGGTGGGGCACTAGCTGCTCATCCAGCTACTTTGGAGGCTGAGGCAGGAGGATCACCTGAGTCCCCAGTATGAGGCCAGCCTGGGCAACATGGCAAGATCTTATCTCTGAACAAAAAGTACGGCACCATCCTTAGAGAGATCTCTTGAGAAAGAGATGCAGCCCATCCCCAGATCCAAGACTGAAGCAGCACGGCCTCCCCTGCTGCCTTTTTGCCAGCACCGGGATCTGGAGCCCCCAGGGGCTAAGGCATCCACGTGGCCCAGGGTGGGATTTCTGTCCCCTGCATGTCACCTCACAATTCAGAAAGGACTATTAGAAAAACATGTTTGTGCTCTCAAGTGTGGGTCTGAGTAGCCAGAGCGGCTCATGGGAGGCCTACCGGAAGCAGGTCAGAGTGCCTGGGCCTTCCCTCTGGCTCTCATCCCTGCCCTGTAGAACGGGCAGAAGAGCTAGCACCCCTCCGGCCACAGGGAGGTGAGCAGAGTTAGACATGGAAGCTCCTAGCGCAGTGCCCTGGCAGGGGAAGCGTTGATAAGAGCTTATCTTCCTCACGGTGGGGTAGGTGGGGGTGGGAGGAAGCAAGCCTGTAGCTCCCTCCACAGCCTCTCTGGAAGCCCCACCGGCTCTTCCAGGAATCTCAAGTTCAGGCATATCTCTGACCCCAGCGTTAGGAACGCAATCAGAATTAAAGTACCTTCTTGAAAAACAAGAAACCCTTCACCACTCCTACCCACAGCCTACACTTCAGACTCTTTCACCTCCCTCCTTGCAGTGGGGGGATGGGGTTTCATATCCCACAACCTCTACTTCCATTTGCAAAATTTCTTCCAACACAATCTTCCTGCTTGCAGTGGAGCCCTGGATGGGCCACGCTTAAATATTAGTATGAACTGACCAAACTCCTCACAAATGTCCTTCTAGTGTCTAGGATGGTGTCTGCCAGCCACACACCCTCTAAGCCAGGGCCACTGCTGACTCCAAGTGACCTAAGCTTAATCTTAAACGGCCAAAAGAGTGTCTGAACTAAAACTTATTCCCACTTCCCAACAATTCTCTGATTAAGTCAATCCATTCTAAGAGATCCTTGAGAGAAAATATTGACTTAACTATACTCTACTTTAAATACCAGTTAGTCTATAGTTTGGCGTCATCCATGCTATTAAAAATAGCAAGAAGTTCAAGTTGAATAATGACGAATTAAAAAAACAAAAGCAAGAAGGGGGTTGGGCACAGTGGCTCATGCCTATAATCCCAGCACTTTGGGAAGCTGAGGCAGGTGGATCATCTGAGGTCAGGAGTTCAAGACCAGCCTGGCCAACATGGTGAAACCCCATCTCTACTAAAAATACAAAAATTGGCCAGGCGTGGTGGCTCACACCTGTAATCCCAGCTACTCAGGAGTCTGAGACAGGAGAATTGCTTGAACCCAGGAGCCAGAGGTTGCAGTGAGCCGAGATCACACCATTGTACTCCAGCCTGGGTAACAGAGCAACAGAGTAAGACTCCATCTCAAAAAAAAAAAAAGAAGGGAAAAGGATGGGGAGAAAAGAGAGAAAAAAGACAGAGGGCAGGGTAAGCGGCGAAAGTGCAAGTCTGTGTGTGTGAGCTCACGGCCCTTAGGTCCAGACACCGCGCGCGGCGTGCCACTCGGCGCTCACCTGCCGCTGTGGCGGTCTTCTCACCAAGGAGCCTGGTCTGGCTGCCTGGCATAACCTGCAGGTCGGTGTTCTCAGGGGACTGTGGCAGGTTCTGGGCTCGGGTAGCCAGGAGTGCGTTGAGGTACTGCAGCCGCGTAACCTGGAGGATGACAGTGTTACTGGCGGACCCCACTGGTGAAGCGAGACGCAGAAGGTAGGCAGGAAAGGTCACGCCATGCCAGAAGAGGGCAGAGGCACAAGTTTCAGCGAGTTAAGGGAAGAGAAGAGTAACTGAGTCAAGTGTTTTTAAGATTTCGCAGGGAAACTGGGTGCAAAGGTCTGTGTCCCTCAGGATGAGCGGAAGGCCCTGCTCCGGGCCGTCTCAGACCAGCTGATCTAGCCCCCAGTGACACAAAGTCGGCTAAAGTCAGCACCCACGAGCAGCCCAGGCAGTCACCTTGATGAGCTGCAGGTCAGAGAGCGCCCTCACGGTGTAGTCGGGACAATAGGCAGATGAACGAGTGCTGTCACCTGGGTCGGGCTGCAGGTCATGGCGGATGGGCTGGAGCGAGGACACCGGGGACTGGTGAACTATCAAAGGAACAATCAGTGATGGCAGAAGCCAGTGCTGGCAGCTGGGAGCCCCCTCCCCTGGAGGGGACAACTGCACAGCTTCGAAGAGCCACCCCACCAATCGCCCTGGAGAGGTGATGTGTGTGGGAAGCGGGGAGAGGAGAATGAGCACAGGAGGGAAAGGGTTTGCAGGGGTGGAGTGAGCCGCAAAGTCGAGCGAGGAAGAATGCTGCCCTCCCGCCCGGAAGCCCAGGGGCCACACCACCTTGCGGGGCAGTGGGCTCTGGTGGAAGGGAGGCGAGGAGGGGCACTGAGGGCCCAAGCGACAATGGGGGACAGGCTCTGCAGCCTCAACCCTGACCCTCAGCGCCAGCAGGGCCATGGCTTACCTGAGGATGGCACAGTTAGCGCCGACACTCCATAGTACGTGAAAGCCCCATTCTCGAACTTCAGACCCTCCTTCCCGATCTCCACTTCAACCCTGCCCTGGGAGGAGTGGCAAGGAGAGAAACAGGTGCAGCCAGATCAGCTTTCCCGTCAGAAGACAGCGAAGGAGAAACCCACCACCTCCACTGTTCGGGGCGGGAGGGCGCGTATCTGCACGCCCCTGCTCCCCTCTTCTCCTAGACCCTGCCCTGGCCTGAGGAAGCAGGAGGGGCTCCAGGCCTGGGACGCACAGCTACCTGCAGGATGAGAATGAAGTAATCCACCGGCTGGCTGCGCTGGTAGAGGTAGTGGTGCGCGGCCAGGCGGTTGCTCTCGTCAAACCTCACTTCCTGGTTGACGCTGGGATGCTTCAGCAGGTGCAGCAGGACCTTCTCAGAGACGCGCAGTGGGCTGAACACATCCACTTCTGCCCGGAGGACAAAAGGGACAGTGTCCACTGGGGCCTAGTGGCCGGTGGAACCACACCCAACGCTGCAGGCGATTTAAAGTTATTCTGCCCAGCAGGGCTCTCCTGAGTGGCCTGTGAGCAGCTGCCCCCACACCTCAACACGAGAGAACTGGGCAGGGGCCAGGTGCGGTGGCTCACGCCTGCAATCCCAGCACTTTGGGAGGCTGAGGCAGGTGGATCACCTGCGGTCAGAAGTTCGAGACCAGCCTGACCAACATGGCAAAATCCTGCCTCTACTAAAAATACAAAAATGAGCTGGGTATGGTGATGCACGCCTGTAAGCCCAGCTACCTGGGAGGCTGAGGCAGGAGAATTGCTTGAACCCGGGAGGCGGAGGTTGCAGTGAGCCAAGATCGTGCCACTGCACTCCAGCCTGGCTGACAGAGCGAGACCCTGTCTTTTTTTTAAAAAAAAAAAAAAAAGAACTGGGCAGGGCACCCCACACCTGCCCAGCTGAGAGCTGAGGCCCCTGGCTGTGGCGCACCAGGCATGGCACTGGCCTGGCCCTGCTGTTGGTCGTCTGGCAGAGAGGAGCTGTCTCTCCCATGACCCAAGACGCTGGCAGGGCTGCAGAGAACACACAAGTCCTCAAGACGCGCCGCTTGCTAGGAGTGGGGAGCAGAGTCAGTGTTGGCCCTGGGCGGCCTCCTGACCCATAGGACGGTGAGGAGAGCAGGGGGGGTGGACCACCCTCCCGCCTCACCTCGGGACAGGAAGCGCTGGGTGGCCAAGAGCAGCTGAGGCGAGATTTTTACTTTATATTCATCATCAGACACCTTGAACAAGGAGAACTCCTCCTTCCGCTTGAGAGGGGCCATCAGAGAAGCAGGCTTCCTCCTCACCACAGTGTCTCCTAAGATGGAAGAGGGCGAGCTCAGGCATCAGCCACCTGTCAGGCAACACCACCACACCAAGGGACTGCATCGCCTGCTCCTTCCTACTGAGGCCAGGGGGTCCTCGACGGAGCAGCATCAGAGCCCCAAGGACATGTCTTCAGCACCACTCCCTCCACGGGGCCTGCTCCCACCCCAACCACACAGAGCGAGGGGTGGCTCCCTGCCTTGGAGCTGGCTGAAGAGAACGCTGATATGGTAACAAAGCAGCTCTTATAAAATAGCAGGCATCCCTGACAGGTCACTGGATGTGGACTCTTTTTTTTTTAAATTTAGGCCAGATGTAGTGATTCACACCTGTAACCCCAGCACTTCAGGAGGCCGAGGCGGGAGGATCACTTAAGGCCAGAAGTTCACCACCAGCCTGGCAACACAGAGGCCGTGTCTTTACAAAAAATAAAATAATTAGATAGGTGTGGTGGCATGCGCCTGCAGTCCCAACTGCTCAGGAGGCTGCAGTGGGAGGAAAGCTTGAGCCTGGGAAGTTGAGGCTGCAGTGAGCCATGACTGCACCACTGCACTCCAGCCTAGATGACAGAGCAAGACCATCTCAAAAAAAAAAATTAAAATTAAAATTAAAAAATAGTAACAGGCCTCTCTGGCCACTGAGAAACTTCTCACTAGAAAGCATGTATTCAAGGATGACCAGTGCAAAAGGGCCGCAATTAACCTGGAGACCCCAGGCCTGTGGCAGTCTCAGGAATGGAACCAGAGATGCTATGTTTGAAAATCGACACATGAGTAAAGCAGTATTTCTGGAAGCATGCGGGACAGGGGGCCCAGCCATGAAGCACGGGCTCTGTGCAGCCCTGCAGACCTCAGCCACCATCCTAACAGGCAGACACTTTTACCGTGAAATCAAGGGCCCGGGATCAGCTGCTTTGGGAAGACTTATTTCCACCCCCTCCCAGTGTCTCAGCCTGGAGTGCAGTGGCACGATCTCGACTCACTGCAACCTCTGCCTCCTGGGTTCAAGCGATTCTTCTGCCTCAGCCTCCTGAGTATCTGGGACTATAGGCGCACATCACCACACCCAGCTAATGCTTGTATTTTTAGTAGAGACGGAGTTTCACTATATTGGCCAGGCTGGTCTTGAACTCCCGACCTCGTGATCTGCCCACCTCCACCTCCCAAAGAGCTGAGATTACAGGCATGAGCCACTGCATCCAGCTGGGAAGACTCTCTTCGTGGCAAAGAATGGGTTCTTTCAGAGGACATTTCTGTAATGTACAAAAGAACCTGCAAAAGCAAAAGCACCTAGGGAGACAGAAGACTGGGAAAGGCCCATGAAGGGCAGAGCTCACTCAGTAATGGAGGAATCTAACAGGACTGCTGCTAACAGAGCCCCAGGCGAGCCCTCCTGCAAGGCGGCTCCCTGCCAGCGCCCAGGCAGGGCTGAGAAGGGGCCTGGCTGTGGATCTTGCTGGGTTTCAGCAGCACAGAGGCCCACTGGCCTCTGACGCAACATACACCTGGGGAAGTGCGCGGGCCCAGCGGAGACGTAACTGCCAAGAGTCTGGACTCACGGTAGTCTTCAGACTCGTCCAGGATCTCGGACCTGATGATCTCCTCGATCACGTCCTCCAGGGTGACCAGGCCCAGGACCTCGTAGAAAGGGTCGCCCTCACCCTCGTTGTTCACCTTCTGCACGATGGCCAGGTGGGACTTCCCTGTAGGGGGAGGACACTCATGGAATAGCTTGCTGGGCCCCCGCATTTTGATTCATCTCCCTCGGGGCCCAAAAGGACATGGTTAACGTTCATGTTCCTACAGCGGGTCAGGCACAGAGCCAGACTCTTTTCTAGGTTTTTACTTAAGACGCCCAGCATGACTATGAGGACTGGCCTTATTTTCACACAGGTTGAAAATGAAGCCCTGGGCTCATGCTTGCTCATCTGCACAAGGCCCCCCAGGCAGAGGTGGCAGAGCTGGGATCCAGCTCCAGGTCTGTGCGCCTCCATGCCATGGATGCAGTTCAGACAAGGATGCATCCAGTCGAGAACACAAACGCCGCACACAGCAGCCAGCCTGCACATGCCGGCTAACAAGGGCATGACTCCGGAAACGCAGGCTCTCCGCGACTGTCCACATGGGGCAGCTGAGTGAGGCCACCCAGCCTGACTCTCCTCGGGAGGTTTTCCTTTTTTTTTTTTTTTTTTTTTTCCAGTAAATATATACGCTGTCCATCCTACATAAATGTGAACTGCTTCTTGTCCTTATGATAGAAATGAAAGAGAGATAGAAAGATAGATAGACTGTGTGTATGTGTGTGCGTGTGCGTCTGTGTATCTTTTCCTTTTCCTAATTCTTAGAGCTGCCCATTAGGGTCTGTGAACCAGGGGATGAGACGCGTGGCAGCTGACCACTCAGGAGTCAAGCTGTGCAGGGGGAGGAGCACCAGGCTGATCTTCCGCCTTACCCTGTATGTCTTTCTCAGGTTAGCTTCCTGTTTGGTTTGTCTGCTTAGTGAGGGAATGTAAACTTGGAAAAAAGCCCAAGTCTCAGAGTGTTGGGGAATGCTGGGGAGGCTTCAGGAATTTACTGTGTCAGGTAAGTGCTTTTCATCCACACTACTTTAGACCCGTCTGAAAAAACCAGAACGCAAGCCACCTAAGTAATTTAAAATCTGAACGGCTGCGTTAGAAAAGTCAAAACAAATACATAAAATTAAGTTTTATGTTGTAAGTAACCCAATATAGTTAAAATAGCATTTCAACATGTAATCAATCCAAAAAATAAACAGACATTTCGTCTATTTTGCACTCTCTGAATCTGGTGTGTTTTATGCTCACAGCACATCGCAACTCAGACTCCACCTTTAGGTACCATAGCCCCAGGTGGAGGGGGCTGCCGGCCTGGACTGCACAGGGCTAGGACAGGGGGATGGGAGCAATTCATCCAGCCAGGCCCTCCTTTGTCACTAACGGAAACACTGAGGGAAACTGGCCTGGACCTGCCTGTGACGGGGACCTGCTTCAAGACTCTTTTGGGAAATCAAAAAGTCAAGTTGACGTTGTGTGGATCATACTTTACATCCCGTGGGCTTGATTTAAAAAAGCACAGTTCCCCAGGATGCTTGCATTCGCCGGGACAAAAAGTTGGAAATGGCGACACGAGTCGTCTCCCCGCTTTCCGGGAGGAAAGGCTAGGGCCCCTGGAGATGGCCACTCAGCCCTGCTGAACCGCATTTCTAGATACCACCTAACCCTCGGTGCTTGTGCTGGGTGCCGTCTCTATGTGGGCCACGGCTGCCCCGCCAGAGTACAAACCTGTCAGGCCAGGCCAGGAAGGCCACGTGCGACTTGTGGTTTTGGTTAATGTCTTGGATTCCAGCACCAAAGCCCAGGATCTAAATGGCCACCTCAGCCCAGAGAGGCCTCATCTCGACTCCCTTCTCCCAGGAAGCCAGCCCCTTTGACAGGTTTCCTACAGAAAGGGACTCACTCCTTTGCTTTCAAACTTCTCTAGAACAAGGCACACGATTCTCCATTTCCTGCCACAGTGGGATGATTCTACCACGAACAGAAGAAAGCAGGCCCTGGAAGATCCCCCGGAACAGTGGTTGTGTGACTGAATCCCAAGAAGAACGTCTCAGAGGTCTAGATGGCAGCCAAAGATGGCAGCAGGGGGACAGAGCAAGGGCAGCTGGAGGGACTCAAGGTCACCTCTCATGTGCTGAGCCACCAGAGTGGAACCACTCACACCGACACCGGCCCGCGGGCCAGCTCCACGGGGCCACGCACACCGACGCCCTCCCGCGGGCCAGCTCCACGGGGCCACGCACACCGACGCCCGCCCACGGGCCAGCTCCACGGGGCCACTCACACCGACGCCCGCCCACAGGCCAGCTCCACGGGGCCACTCACACCGACGCCCACCCGCGGGCCAGCTCCATGGAGCCACAAGCACTGATGCCCGCCCACAGGCCAGCTCCACGGAGCCACGAGCAGCTGTGACAGTGTGTCTTGCCAACATCAAGCAGAAAGTCCTGGAAAAGTTTCAAGTGTAATTTTAGTTAGCAGGCTCCAGGGTATCCCAGTTATTTCAATGCCAAAGTACCCTTTCATAATGCCCAATTTCTATGATGTTAATAACAGTTGGAGTGTAAGTTCCTCCACCCTCTCTCTTCTGTTTTCTAAAGCACCTGGGTGAATGAATGAATACTGTGAGAAAGACAAACGTAGCGTGCTGACGCTCCTCACGCTGTCGGAGCTGCTCAGACTCTTTTCAGCATCCTGGCAATCATCTGGCTCCCGACAGGAAACCAGAGCTCGGTTCCTTTAAAGCAGAGACTGCAGCCGAGCATGGTGGCGCACACCTGTAATCCCATCTCTTTGGGAGGCTGAGCTGGGAGGATCGCTTGAGGCCAGGAGTTCGAGACCAGCCTGGGCAACAGAGGGAGACCCCAATCGCTACATAAAATTAAAAAATAGCTGGGTATGGTGGTGCTCACCTGTGGCCCCAGCTTACTCAGGAGGCTGAGGTGGGGGGATTGCTTGAGTCCAGGAGGCACAGGCTACAGTGAGCCACGATCACATCACTGCACTCCAACTTGGGTGACAGAGCAAGACTCTGTCTCAAAAATAATAATAATAACGTTCTTGGCCAGACGCGGTGGCTCACACCTGTAATCCCAGCACTTTGGGAGGCCAAGGTGGGCAGATCACAAGGTCAAGAGATCGAGACTATCCTGGCCAACACGGTGAAACTCTGTCTCTACTAAAAACACAAAAAAATTAGCTGGGCGAGGTGGTGGCGCCTGTAGTCCCAGCTACTCAGGAGGCTGAGGCAGGAGAATCACTTGAACCCAGGAAGCAGAGGTTGCAGTGAGCCGAGATTGTGCCATTGCACTCCAGCCTGGCAATAGAGCAAGACTCCATCTCAAAATAATAATAATAATAATGTTCTTTTGTACATTAAGGTCCCTGACTTAACCATGGTTCAAATTACAATTTTTCAAATTTGATGGTTCAAAAGCAATATGTATTCAGTAGAAACTGTACTTCAAACACATATAACCATTCTGCTTTCACTTTCAGTACAACAGTCAATAAATTACATGTGATACTCAACACTTCATTTTTTTTTTTTTTTTTTTTTTTTTGAGACGGAGTCTTGCTCTGTCGCCCAGGCTGGAGTGCAGTGGCCGGATCTCAGCTCACTGCAAGCTCCGCCTCCCGGGTTTACGCCATTCTCCTGCCTCAGCCTCCCGAGTAGCGGGGACTACAGGCGCCCGCCACCTCGCCCGGCTAGTTTTTTGTGTTTTTAGTAGAGACGGGGTTTCACCGTGTTAGCCAGGATGGTCTCGTTCTCCTGACCTCGTGATCCGCCCGTCTCGACCTCCCAAAGTGCTGGGATTACAGGCTTGAGCCACCGCGCCCGGCCAACACTTCATTTTAAAATAGCTTTGTGTTAGCTGACTTTGCCCAACTGCAGGCTAAAGTAAGCGTTCTGGGCATGTTCAAGGTGTGCCAGGCTGAACTATTTTGTTTGGTAGGTTAGAGGTATCAAACACATTTTTGACTTAAGGTATTTTCAACGTACAGTGGGTTTATCGGGACATAACCCCATTTGTAAGTCAAGGAGCAGCTGTCCAAGTTATTTATTACTGCTCCGAAGCACTCACTCTTCCTGGTGACGTCTGCACAAAATAATCAGCATGTCATCTCAAGTTGGCACTGACTGAGGGGCGCCTTGCTGGGGAGGTTACCTCGCCCCCAGACTGAAGTTCCCTAGCAGACGGAGCAAAAGAAACAAGAGCTGGAATGAAAGCTGCCAAGATGGCAGGGACTCCAGCTCCAGGAAATTCAAAGGCTCATACGCTTGGCAGAGAGACGGGAAGGGAATCGATTTTTAAAACTTCACACACCACAAAAGCTGCAATATGCTCTTTGTTCCTAAGCCGAGGAATGCCTAAGAAGGTTAGGAAGGACAAAAAGGACTTTAACACAGAAAAAATATATTTGCCAAAGGACTGCACTGAACTAGAGAAGCAGAGAAAAAAGCTCTGGGATGTCACCAGAAAGACATGGCCGTTCTGCCCAGGAATGGCCCTCACTCACCACAGGAGAGGGGAAGTCAAGGGGGATTAAAAAGCTCCTCATTCAACTTCCAGGTTCCAAAAACCTCCCCCATTGTCTTCCAAGGGGATCCTGTTCAGCGTGCTGTCAGGCAGCTTTTAGAAAGGTCTGTTTCAAGCAGAGGGACTCATCCCCAAATCCTCCTGCACCGGGCTGCTTGTGACCCGCCTGCAGGCCACCCAGCCCAGAACAGGAGCAGCCTGGACCCTGGCCTTTCTAATTTCCTTCCTAGCTACATTTCCACCTGCACTTCAATCTGAACCTGCTCCACTTGCCCATCTTAAAACCAAACAGCAGAGGGCCTCCTCCCCTGCCCCAGTCCTCTGCCGGTCACTGCTCTCTGCAGCCACGCTCTGTGGAGGGCTGTCTACATTGGTTCTGGTACCTTTCCACACCTCATTCATTCCCCAAATGGCTCCCTTGCCGCGGCACCAAATCTGCTCTTGCAGAGGTCAACGGTATCCTGTTTGCTGGCCTCCTCTCCTGTCATTCCCGTTCCCTGCGAAAGGGGTCTCTTCCCTTAGCTTCCAGGACATTCCACATCTCGGGCTCTTCTCTTTCCTTGGTCTGGCCTCCTCCTGGCCAACTTCCCCTGGGCTTTGCTTGCCCGGACACACCTGTGCTCCTGGGAGGCTGAGGCTCTCTGCCTGCCTCCCGTGACTGGAGAGAGACTCCTATTCTGCCTCCCGCTTGCAGTTCACATCAACCGCCTGCTAGGAGTTTGCCTCTTGGGACGTTGCACTGACACAAATTCAACGGCCAAAACCTGCTCCCCACGCCTGGCCCTTAGTGAAGGTGCACCGCCACCACACAGCCAGAAATCCGGGCCTCATCCTCAGCTGCTGCTCCTTGTTGACAGCCCCGCTGCCAGACACCAATCTTCCTAATTCCATCTCTGCTGCCCTCTTGGGGCTCCTCTCCAGGCCTGCCATGCACCTTGTTCAGGTTATCATCCCCTCTCACCTGGATCCCTCACACCGCTGGTCTCCACAATCATCACTGATCTGTAAAAATAACTGACGCTGGCCGGGCGCGGTGGCTCACGCCTGTAATCCCAGCACTTTGGGAGGCCGAGGCGGGTAGGTCACGAGGTCAGGAGATCAAGACCATCCTGGCGAACACGGTGAAACCCTGTCTCTACTAAAAATACAAAAAAATTAGCTGGGCGTGGTGGCGGGCACCTGTAGTCCCAGCTTCTCGGGAGGCTGAGGCAGGAGAATGGCGTGAACCCGGGAGGCGGCAGAGCTTGCAGTGAGCGGAGATCGCGCCACTGCACTCCAGCCCTGGGTGACAGAGCGAGACTCCGTTTCAAAAAAAAAAAAACTGAGGCTGCTACTTGATGCTCCTGGCCCTGGTGATCAAGTCCAAGCTCCTTACACAGCACACAACCCCACCCCACCCCCACCCCCGCCAGGGGACATCCTGCCTCTAGGCTCCTTCCCAATGAACAGGAACATTTTCGATTCTTCCCCAAGTGGAATCCCCAACCACCCTGGACCAAGCTCATCCACTGCATCTGAAAGACAAGACCACGGCAGCCAAGATCCTGACCCTGAGGGTTTGGAAAATGAAAGACCACTTTCACCAGCCTCATCCTGAGCATCACGACCAACTACGGAAGTCGCCTTTAGTTCTGAATGGAGCAACCCTTCCATCTCCACTGCCCCAAATCTCTGCTTGGTGACTGCTCAACTGTTGAAAGCAGCAGCTGGCTGAAGCCAGACACAGAGTGAGCGTTTTCTTAAAGAATCTAGAAACGTGAGGGCTTAGAACACCAAAGGGACAGCTACAATCTTCCACGTTTTCCCTAAAAAGAAGGAAGTCTGGTGACCTGCCTGGAAGAAACGGAAATCTGCACTTCCAGGTTCACCCCTTGCTCCTGGACTGGCAAACGGCTCACCTACCAGCAGAGCCTGCTAACGCCAAGCACACAGCATGTGCATGCCAGGCACTGGCCAAAGTGCTTGAAGAGTCTCCGCCACTCTTACCCACTCTTATCACTAACAGCAGAGGACCCTGTGCTACAAGAGGCTGAGCAGCCTTCCGGGGCCTGGGAGCAGGCAAGGGCAGGATGGAACCTACTCCGTTGAGTCCAGGGTTGCACTGTTGGCCACCACACCAGGAGAACCACCCCTGCCTCGGGCTCCGGCAGCCCACATGGAGTACTTACCACCACGAGGCTCTGTCTGGACCCAAGCCCAGGCTCCCTCCCCAGGGCAGGGTGGCATGGCCATGTTCTAGGGACACAGCCAGGAGCACCCAACAGTCTCAGAGAATAGTTAGAACTGCCCACCCAGGCCTCCCACCACCCTTCCTGAGCTACAGTCACGACAGTAACTTAGCACCCAGGCCTCCTGCAAGGAGTAAGGGACGAGATGACAGAGAGTGCCCATCAGCTCCTGGCACACAGCAGCGCTCAGTCAGGAGTAGCAGTCATTACCACAAAGCCTGGTCTCCTGCACCGACAGGCCAGGGGCGCTCGACAGACAGTGCCAGAGACGTCCTGCCACAAATACCAGGAGGCTTTGCCACTTCTTGGTCTCACAGCAGACAGCCTTTAGGGTCAAGCCCATCCACCACCCTGGGGTGCCCCCACCCTCACCCTACAGGAGTGCAGGTGTGAGAAGCATGGCTGTTGGCCAAGGTGTGAGCACCAAACTCTGGGGAGCACCCCTAAGGATGACGCTGGGGAGGACTACAGAGGAAACCACACCTTCACATCTGGAGAGAATTGGTTTTACCTTCAATCTCCGAACTGCTCAGATAAAACACAGTGAAAGGAGGGATGAAAATGTGGAGTGGGCCGGGCGCGATGGCTCACGCCTGTAATCCCAGCACTTTGGGAGGCCGAGACCGGCAGATCACGAGGTCAGGAGATCGAGACCATCCTGGCTAACACGGTGAAACCCCGTCTCTACTAAAAAATCCAAAAAACTAGCCGGGCGAGGTGGCAGGCGCCTGTAGTCCCAGCTACTCAGGAGGCTGAGGCCGGAGAATGGCGTGAACCCGGGAGGCGGAGCTTGTAGTGAGCTGAGATTCAGCCACTGCACTCCAGCCTGGGCGACAGAGCGAGACTCCGTCTCAAAAAAAGAAACAAAAAAAAAACAACAAAAAAAGAATGCTCTGAAGGAAACATCACATGTTCAGTCAATTTGATGTTACATGTGTGCGGGCCACAACGTGCCAGATACCTGGAGACTACCCTCTTCTCTGTGTTCTTCGATTTTTATTTTTATTTTTATTTTTTTTGAGACGGAGTCTCACTCTGTCGCCCAGGCTGGAGTGCAGTGGCCGGATCTCAGCTCATTGCAAGCTCCGCCTTTCAGGTTCACGCCATTCTCCTGCCTCAGCCTCCGGAGTAGCGGGACTACAGGCGCCCGCCACCTCGCCCGGCTAGTTTTTTGTATTTTTTAGTAGAGACGGGGTTTCACTGGGTTAGCCAGGATGGTCTCGATCTCCTGACCTTGTGATCTGCCCGTCTCGGCCTCCCAAAGTGCTGGGATTACAGGCTTGAGCCACCGCGCCCGGCCTCTAGTTTCTATCCAAACATTTGGACCTGCTACAAAGACAAGCACACAGAAACACTGGGAGAGGGGAAGAGCTGGCGGATTACAGCCAAGCGGACATACCCCTCCCTGCAAATAGGATGTGTGTAGGGGTGCCATCCTGACGCGGGGGTTAAAGTGTTCGCTGTCTGCAGGATTCCTCCCACTCTGATGGATGGCCTTTAAGTATTTCAAAAGGTGATTCCAACCTGCAAGGCCAATACCGTCTTGAAAAGGGACCTTAGAGGTCTCACCACTCGCCACGGGGGTGAGACCCTTTCCTGAAGGCTTTCATAACTCTCCATCCCTTTTCAGGGAGAGGGCACTGGCACAGGCGTCCCCTGCACCATGCCTGGGATGTTACCTCGCTTGAACTCCTCCAGGACAGCGTCCAGCTTGGTGTCGTTGAAGACGAAGTGGAGCGGATGGTTGTAGAAACGAGTGATGGTGCTGAGCGGCGTGCAGTCTTCGGGATCCACGAAGGCCAAGTCCTTGAGGTAGAGCATGTCCACGATGTTGGAGCGCTCCTCCTCGTACACGGGAATGCGCGTGTGGCCGCTCTGCATGATGCTGGCCAGGACGCCGAAGTCCAGCACGGTGCTGGCGTCCAGCATGAAGCAGTCTTCGAGGGGCGTGAGCACGTCCTCCACGGTCCGGCAGCGCAGCACGCCCTTGCTGAGATCGCTGTAGGGGTCACCACCACCGCGCGCCAGCTCCAGCACCCGTTCCCGCAGCCGCCCGGGCCGCGCTGCCAGCTCCAGCAGCTGCCCCACGGGCAGCGCCACGGGCAGAGTGAGCAGGACGGCCAGGCGGCTGAGGCCAAGCGCGCGCGGCGCCAGCACCAGCGTCCAGCGACCGCTCACGGCGGCCGGCACCACCTCGCCCACCAGGAACACGAGCCCCGCGCTGCCCAGCACAGCAGGCACCGCACGCTGGCCGGCCGCGCGGTACAGCAGCACCGCCAGCGCCGCCTGCGCCAGGCTGGCCAGCAGCAGCAGCGCGCCCAAGGCGCAGCCGGCCCAGCGCCGCGCGGGCTCCAAGCGCCGCGCCGCCGCACGCTCCGCCTCCGAGCCGCTCTCGCGCAGCACCTGCACCTCCGCCGGCGCCAGCGCCAGCGCGCTCAGCTGCAGGCCGCGCGCCAACGCTGCCAGCGCCAGCAGCCCGGCCGCCCCCAGGCCCAGAGCCCAGGGAGGCGCCGCCTCCTCGGCCGCCCCGCCACCCGGCTCCACGCGCACCGCCAGCAGCGCCGAGTGCGGGCGCACGGCCTCGGCCCGCAGGCGCAAGCGCAGCAGCGCCCGCCACTCGCCCGCGGGGGCGGCCGCCTCCTCCCGGCAGCCCGCCCCCTCGGGGGCCACCCAGGACCAAGAGCTGTTGGCGAAGCCCGGGCCGAAGAGGCGCAGGAGGAAGGTGGCGTCCGGCGTGTCCCGCGCCGCCCCTCCGCGTACCCACCCCGCGCCCGCCGTTCCATCCTCCTCCAGACAGAAGCCCAGCACTCGCGGGCCCGGCGCGGCGTCCCCCGCGGCGTCGCCCAGGCAGAGCGCGGCGAACAACCAGCCTAACAGACCCGCCGCCGCTGCCGCCGCCGCCATCGCCTGCCGCCCCCTCTCGGCCTCTCGCGCAGCCTACCCCGCTCGCCCCGCGCCTTCCCGGGCCAATCGTTGCCGGTCTTCGCGCTTCCTCGGCCAATAGGCGGTGGGCGGGGGCGGGCCCCAGGGTCGGACTAGGCTGCGCCGGGGAGTAAACAAGCGGCCGCTAGGGGCGGGCCGGGGGCGTGGGGCTCTGGGCCGGGCCGGGTCTGCGGCAGCTCCGGATGCGCGCGGTGGCCGTGGCCGGGGGAACGCGGGGCGGCGGGCAGGGCCTCCCCAGCCCGGCTGTCCTCGGCCCGCGCGCGGCGCCCGGAGTCCCATCCTCCCGAGGCTGTCCCCCGCGCCAGGAGGCCGCGCCAATGCTCTGGGAAGTGCCCGGCTCGGGAGCCGAGCTGCCGCTCGGAAGAACCTCGGGTCCTGGCGCGCCTGAAGTTAAAGAGCAGACGGAGAGTTAAATGTGCGAGAGATGTGCCTTTTTCTTAGGAAAGACCCCCGGGTGCCAGAAAGGTTTTGGACGCGCCGACCTATGGGGCTAAGAGGGCTGAAGTGAGAACCAGTGACCGAGCGCCCGGAGGTGAAGTTGATGGAAGATGTTCATCGCTCCGGACCCTGCTGGAGGTGTGGGGACGTCGGACACAGCCCCTGCGGTCCCGCCGCGGACCCCGCGATAAATACGCGGACACACAAAATCACTACCGCCTTGAGTCTGGACAGCTACCTCAGGTTGTTAGTATCTTACAGGAGCAGAGTGGAGCTCGGACCGACTTAGCGTGCGTGCTGGGTTCCGGCGCCCCCGGCCTGCCACCCAGGTCAGCATCCCAGCCACGCAGGGAGGCGGCAGTTCTGTCTACAGAATGACTACATCTGGTGATTCCACTTCTCATAGCTCGCCGCTGGGAGGAAAATACCACCTCGGGACTCACAAGATCTATTCCAGAGGATCCGCACTGCTGAATTGATTTTAGAAGACGGTGTGGTCTGTTGACAGTATGGAAGGTTCTTTACCCATTAGATATGATCTGTCTGTGATTGGAAGGAAACAGACCAGCTGCTAACACTTCTCTGTAGATGTTCAGATTCAGTAATTTTTGTATTTTTCTCTACGCTTTTGTTTTTTCAAATTTCCTAGCACAGGAAGACTTTGACTTACTGCGCATGTCATTTTAAATGACCTTTATAAAGACTATAGAAACAATTTGCTATGTCATGAAAGTAACAATCAAATAAAGTATGCACATTGTGGCCACAAAGTAAAACTTGTGTGGAAGGTAATGTACAAAAAAAAAAAAAAAAAAAAAAAAATGAGTAAGCTGGTGGCGAATGGCCAAAGGAAAAGACTGTAAAAAACTTTTTAAAAGATGGTACTAGTGGGCCAGGTGCGGTGGCTCACGCCTGTAATCTCAGCACTTTGGGAGGCCGAGGCGGGCGGATCACAAGGTCAGGAGATCGAGACCATCCTGGCTAACACGGTGAAACCCCGTCTCTACTAAAAATACAAAAAATTAGCCAGGCGTGGTGGCGGGCGCCTGTAGTCCCAGCTACTCGGGAGGCTGAGGCAGGAGAATGGCATGAACCCGGGAGGCAGAGGTTGTGGTGAGCCAAGATCGCGCCACTGCACTCTGGCCTGGGCGACAGAGCGAGACTCCGTCTCAAAAAAAAAAAAAAAAAAAAGATAATAGTGTATTTTTAGAAGATGGTAATAGTGTCTCTTCTGCATTGTAAACCCAGAGCTGTGACCAGGCCAATGGGGCATCTCCGTGTGCTCCAGTTTTCATTATCCAGATGATGTTCTGTGCCCTTTGAGTTTACCTTATTTTTGCAGATGACAGAGTAAAGCCGCCAGCAGAAGCAATGAAGACATTACTGGGCCTTTCCACTGGATCATCATCATGCCTCTGAAGAAAAAAAAAAGTGCAAACATCACAATAGATTCAGCTCCTTTAGTTCTCACTTCTGTCTGCAAGTCAAGATAAAATACTGACATTGAAAGAGTAGATGACATGCTTGAAATGAGTCATGTTGGCCGGGCGCGGTGGCTCTCGCCTGTAATCCCAGCACTTTGGGAGGCCGAGAAGGGCGGATCACAAGGTCAGGAGATGGAGACCATCCTGGCTAACATGGGGAAACACCGTGTCTACTAAAAAATACAAAAAACTAGCCGGGTGAGGTGGCGCCCGCCTGTAATGCCAGCTACTCGGGAGGCTGAGGCAGGAGAATGGCGTGAACCTGGGAGGCGGAGCTTGCAGTGAGCTGAGATCCGGCCACTGCACTCCAGCCTGGGCGACAGAGCGAGACTCCGTCTCAAAACAAAAAAAAAAAAGAAATGAGTCATGTACCTGAAGAGTCATTAACAAAGAACAGTTCCAGAGGAAAGCCAGGAGAAACTCCCCATGGATTTAGAGACAGAGCTGTCATCTTTGACGTGTTACTTTTTCCTTGTCTCAGGCTTCCTTGGAAAACCACCAACCTATAACTTTCCAGGAGTAAAGCTTCAGGTAGAAGAAAATTGGATCAAACCTGGAAAACATAAGTGGTCGTTTAAATTGTCAGTACACGAAGATACAAAACAATCCAGTATGGGGCACGCAAACCTGCTCCTGGAGTGGTTTTCCATTTGCAGCAGAGGCCTCGGCAGTCCTTCACCAGCTTCTCCTGTGGCTGTGCCATTCTTTACCCCACCCCTGGTTGGCATCAATGGAGACATAGCCGCTTGACCTTCAGACCATTGTTGGCCCTCGCTGGGCCATTTTCCTTAGTGTTCTTTTGGATCAAGACATTTCCATGTTACATCTAAATATTTATTCTTTAGTTTTAAACCCACTGGCTACTTCCTGCTTATCTCTCAAGCCTTGGCTCATATGCTGCTCCCGCCGAGTGATCTTCCTTGACCTTCTTGACTAGGTTGGTTCAAGGTTAATCGAGCTATGTGCTCTCCCCACATCATCCAGTACATCCCCTATTGTAACATGTACTCACTTATTCATTCAACGAGTATTTCCCGCATTGACTCCCTGCAGTGTACCAGGTACTGTTCTAGTATCGGGACTGTAGTGGGAATAAAATTAAGTCCCTACCCTTGTGGGGATAGATTCTAGTGCAAGGACAATAGGAAATACCAACGTCTATATTTTAATATCGAGTAGTAAGTGCTATGGAGGGAAAAAGGCAAGATAAAGAGACAGATGCTGGGGTGATGGTGACTGAGACGGGCTAATCAGGGAAGGCTTCTCAAGGAGATGGCATTTGAACTGAGGCTTAAATGAAATAAGGGGTGAGCCTCATCAAGACTTAGGAGATGCGTCCCAGGTCAGGGAGACAGCAAATGTCCCCCTTGGGGTGGTGGGGAGGTTCTTCACTAAATTCACATGGGTTGGTAGTACCTGGCGTGCGATAGGGGCTTTAACATGTGGAACAGATGGATGAAGATAATTTACAAATCTTGCCCTATACACAAACGTTTGCCTGTGTACCCCTTTTATCTGGAATATCCTCTTTTCTTTGTTGCCTACCTAGATGTTGCCTACCTAGACCCCAGTCTGTCTACTCCATTAAACTTTGCATGCTTGGAGCCCCTGGTCTCAGCACACTCAGTCGCACAAGCCAGCCTGCAGCACCTCTACAGCACCACAGGAGTCCCCTGCAGAGCTGCGACTTCGAGTGGGTATAGTGACAGAACTCAGGTCCCTCAAGGGATGAGCACTCCAACTTTGAAACCACAAGCAGCCTGTAAGTGTGGACGAAAAGGCAGCTGCATGTTATAAAACAGTATTACTCATACTTTCGAATCAAGCTTCTTTCAGTCCTATGGGTAGGAAGGAGGGGCAATTTGCTGAAGCCCACTGCCCTTCCAGTACTCACAAGCCAAGGGCCCGGGGGGTCTGTTTCACAGGACTCATGCTCATGGCAGCTGAGCACATCTGTCCTGTATGTCTGCCACCAGCCACGACCCTCTCCTGTGATGACAGCCTTGACTCTATTTAGAGACTCCATTTCCGACTGCATCTCACTGCTGAATGGTCCTGGAATCCTTTATTGCCCCTTGCCCCATCACAAGAGACAGCCAGCCACGGCCACTTTTATCTCGACAACACACTACATAGCGACAGAACAAACAGGCAAGTTGTAGACTCACCAGGATTTATACATATTTCATTTTTTATTACCAATCAAAAATAAATTCCATATATCCTTTAGCAAATATTATCATTGTTTTGTGACAAAAGACACAAGAGTCATAACAACAAAACTCCCCGAGAGTCAAACTCATAACGCCAAAGTAAATCACAAAAATATACAAATTAAAATATTATGCAAAATAAATACGGCGGCTGTGACCTGCCTACCCATTTGGATGCCATTTGCAAAGGTCTCCCTTACATGGAAGACACAGCGGGCGGGACAGTTCCAGGGTATGGCTCATCCCAGGAACCAGAGGTTGAAATAGGAAGTGAAAAATTGCACTGGGAGGAGGAAGTCATCAGACCAACAATATTTGGAAATAATGATGACCCTCTGTGAGAAGGGATGATCAATGGGCCAGGGAAGAGGGTGGTCAGCCAGTTGGCGGTAACCGTGTGCACAGAGGTCACTGTGGAGGTGTGTACACCTGCCCCTTTTGCTTCCCACACCCCCACCAACGTCTTTTGCTCCACCTGGCAGTCAGGCTGTCAGGAGTACAGCTCTTCCAGCTTCCAAAAGGACTTGGGAGCAAGCTGCTCCTGGAGAAGACTAAGGGCTTTCCCCCAATAGGGAACAAAAGTCTGGTGTCTTTTTTCCTTACAGTTGAGAACCCACGGGTGTCACCACCTTCTCTCCAGGCTTCCAGGAGTCAGTTCTATGGCTAGGAGACCTCAGACTGGCCAGGGGTAGGCATACTTGGTGCAAGATAATCCCTGGTCCTAAGAGTTAGGATTCTCTAGGCACCTGGGGAGCAGGGCACTTGGGGTGAGGAAAGGAGTGAATAAATAATACTCAGGCAGAAAGCCTGCAGTTTCACCGGCCAGGCTCTCAGGACCCAGCTCCTGCTGCACTCAGCAGAAGGGCCAACAGGGACCTTGGTCCCACAGCCTCCCCGACTCTGGGAAACCTGGAGTTCTGCAGCAGGGCCTGATTCAGCCCCAGGGAAGAGGCACCAGGGCAGCAATTCACATGGGGGCAGAGCTCTTGGTACAGTACTACTAACTTCAGCAAGGGCAGAACGACCTCTCACACTAGGATCACGCCTGTGAGAAAGCAGGGTTGCAAGCTGCATGCCTTTAGGAGGAGCTGTCCTCTCCTGAGGTTCCATAAGTGGGTGGATAAGGCCAGGTGAGCCTTGCCAGCCACAGAGGAAAGGACATAAAGAACCTGCTTCCGTGGCTTCCCACACGTCCTCTTGTCCCCATCCCCAAGAGGGACTGAGGCTTGGGGATTCGAAATAAGGAATCTGGGAAAAAGGCTTCAGTCAACAAGTCAGCCTTGACTCTCATTGTGGGGCGGGGGTGGTACTGACTGCTAACAACGCAGATGCCGATGACTGACAGTTCCTTCCGGAACCAAAAGGAAGAACCCAGACAAGTCACCTCCAACGTAGATGCCCTCCTGCCGATGGGGAACCTTTGGTAAAAGTGAGGGCAGGGCCTGGGGAGCAGGGGTGAGCAATCGAAGGCCTGAGACCCTGCCTAACACTTGAGTCTGCCCCGTCACGAAGGGGCCAGTTGTCCAAAGGGCTGGATGGCAGGCAGGGTGGGGATGTGTCTGTCCTCAGCCGAGTCCTGACTCACCAGGAGAGGCTGTCGGCAGAGTTCTAGGAGATTTCTGGGTACAGCGGTTGACAGCAGATGTGCTCCTCTCCATAGCTTGGATTATCATGTCCCTGATCACAGCTACCCAGGAGCTCCTGGCCTCAGCATTGTCAGACAAGCTACGGCGCAGGTGCCCAGGCAGCTGATCTCCATACCAGTTGGTTCTCTGCTTCCTGTGAAGAGCTGTCTTCCTTCCAAGAGACAAGCCTCCACCGGCAGGCTCTGGAATCGCACCTCCGGAGGAGGAAGAGGAGGTGGAAGGGAGAGCTCCCGCAATCAGGGACACAAGCTGGAAGGCCATGGCTGGGAGCAGATCATATCCATTGCTTCCCAGGACAAGAAACCCTTCTTCTTTTATAGTTTTTAGGGAAAAAAAAAATTTTAAATAAAGTTCCTTAACCCTGTCTTCCCTTCCCAAAATGATATTTAAAAAGAAGAGCGATGAGCCTAGTTTAGAAATACTCTCAGTAAAAAACAGCCTTTGCTCATGGTAGCTGGCCCACTGCCCCACCTATCCAGGGCTGGACAGTGCCACCTCAGAGCTACTCAGAGGTCCCTGGCAGAGGCCAGATCCCCCACAGGCTGGGGGCCATCTGGTTGCTCAGTCAGACAGGCTATCTATCTGCAACCTTTCTGGACTAACAGGTTCCCTCTCTTCATGTGGGCCCACTGGGGAGGCCCCCGCAGGGTAGGCGGAGGGCCCCGGGCCCTCCTGTCAGATGGCACTCTCGTGGGAGGCTTTGTGTAGCAAGGAGTTACGCTCGTTGAGAAGAGTCGTGGTCTCATCCACCACGGGCAGCTCAGACTTCTCGGCCAAGTTCTCCATGTGGGTGGTGCACCCGTCTATGGGAAACTGAGGGCTGTTCTCCATGCGTGAGGCCAGCAGCCCGTTCTGGTACTGCTGCCGAGTGACCTGCATGAGGAAGGGATGAGTTCATGGAGAGAGGGGCTGGGAGGCAGACCCTATCACCAGGCCTGGAGAAACAGGGCCAGGATTGAGGCTGTGAGTTGAGAGAGAACATGACCAGTCAGGGTCTCTGGAAGCCCTTCCAAAGAACAAGGTGCACGAACAAGAGGAGAAAGCACCTCAGGGCTGGGCATGGTGGCTCATACCTGTAATCCCAGTGCTTTGGGAGGCTGAGGCGGGTGGATTGCTTGAGCCCAGGAGTCTAAAGCCAACCTGGGCAACACAGTGAGACCCCATCTCTATAAGGAAAAAAAAACCCAAAGCCACATGCACCCCTGTAGTCCCAGCTACTCAGGAGGATGAGGTGGGAGGAATCCTTCAGCCCAAGAGTTCAAGGCTGGAGTAGGCTATGATCACACCACCGCATTCCAGCCTGGGCAACAGAGCCAGATCCTGTCTCCAGAAGAAAAAGGCATCTCGGGTTTGGGCCCACTATGTTGGGTTTTGTGGATGAAAGAAGTAGCTGATTCCTAAGCAGAAGATGGCACTGCCCAGACAAGGCGGTGGGGCACTCACCTTGATGTACTGCAAGTCCACAAGGGCCCGGACGCTGAAGTCAGAGATGTACTGGCCCAGGACAGAGCTGCCGAACTGGTTGCTGCTGCCTGCCAAGGCTGATGCAGTTGAGATGTCCGTGCGGTCTGGGTAACTGAGGGAGGCTGAGCGGCTGAGTGGGGTGGGGTGGGCTGGGGAACGGTCTGCAGGGAGAGCAGAGGTTGTCATGCCAAAGGCCACTCTGGTGCCCACTTTCACCCTCCTGTCTGACCTCATCCCATGGAAGCCCAGGGACACCCCACCCAGGAATAGGAAGTCATTCGTAGGGACAAACAGAAGCATGTAGAAAGTCTGACTGCATAAGGTCTGACTTCGTTAAAGCAAATGAATTAGTTTGTTTAGAACTTTTGTGCAACAAGTATTAAAAAGTCTACCAAAACAAATCAACCACACAGAAAATAAAAACCACAGACACAGAAAGTTTACGGCTACAGAATCTCTTGTTTCCCACAACAACCAATCAGTCAAGGCAACACAATGATCACCCTAGCAGGACAGACAAACTGCCATCCTTAGGCTAGGCACAGTGGTTCACATTTGTAATCCCAGCACTTTGGGAGGCTGAGGCAGGAGGATCACCTGAGGTCAGGAGTTGGAGACCAGGCTGGCCAACATGGTGAAACCCTGTCTCTACTAAAAATACAGAAATTGGCCAGGCGTGGTGGCGGGCGCCTGTAATCCCAGCTAGTTGGGAGGCTGAGGCAGGAGAATTGCTTGAACCTGGGAGGTGGATGTTTTAGCGAGCCAAGCTCACACCACTGCACTCCAGCTTGGGTGTCAGAGCGAGACTCTGTCTCAAAACAAGCAGACTGCCATCCTTGTCTCAATACCAGTTTATATCAAGTGACATAAACTGCATACTTTTAAATTAAAAGATACATTGAAAGGAAGAATGTATAATTTGCACTCTCTCATGGTGAATACACACCCCACACATAAGATAGATGCCCTGTCACACCTTTTTTTTTTTGAGACAGTCTCGCTCTGTCACCCAGGCTGGAGTGCAGTGGCACGATCTTGGCTCACTGCAACCTCCGCCTCCCAGGTTCAAGCGATTCTACTGCCTTAGCCTCCTGAGTAGCTGGGATTATAGGCACCCACCGCCATGCCTGGATTATTGTTTTTTCTTTCTTTTCTTTTTTTTTTTTTGAGACAGAGTCTCGCTCTGTCGCCCAGGCGCGTGCCACCATGCCCAGCTAATGTTTTTTGTATTTTTAGTAGAGACGGGGTTTCACTGTTAGCCAGGATGGTCTCGATCTCCTGACTGCCGGTGATCCATCTGCCTCAACCTCCCAAAGTGCTGGAATTACAGGTGTGAGCCACTACACCCTGCCAGCCCTGTCACTTCTTAAAATGCTCTTATTGGGGGCTGGGCGAGGTGGTTCACATCTGTAAGCACTTTAGGAAGCCGACGTGGGGAGATTGGATTGCTTGAGCCTGAGTTCAAGACCAGCCTGGGCAACACAGCAAAACCCCATCTCTACAAAAAAGAAAAATCAGCCAGGCGTGGTGGCTCTTGCCTGTGGCCCCAGCTCCTTGGGCGGCTGATCGGGGAGGGTCACCTGAGCCTGGGAGGCAGAGGTGGTAATGAGCCGAGATTGCACCACTACGCTCTGTCCCCCCCGAGCCCCCCCCAAGAAAAGAAAATGCTTTTATGGAGTCAAAAGTGTGTTTTGCACATAACCTACTCAGCATGAAACACAGCCCTACCCACTTCCACCTGCCACCCAGCCCACCTGGCCCGTGGGGGTGGCAGGCACTTCCCTCTCATGACGCAGAGTTGTAACAATCTCCAATAAGGAAGAACGGGCTTCTTATTTTGAAAAACAAACTGCTCGTTCAAATGATATACGTTACTGTATATCATTAACTTGTTTTTGAGAACACTTAGGAAACCTTGAGATGCACAAAGAAGTTAATTGTGAAGGCATGCAGGATCGTTTTAAACCAACAGGAAGCCAACTAAGCTGATTCGCTTTGTTAACTACTAAGTTACTAAGTTAGCCATTCTAACAAATTGCCAAGTGAAGAGAACAAACATACTGGATCTAGTGACTCAATGACCAATACAATTTTTAACTAAGTGAGACTAAACTGAGTAATACTCTATATCTTTGTGCTTAAGCTTTAATTTTTATATATAGTTTCTCCGGAAACTGGCCATTCTATGATGAGGTTGTGGTATTCCAATGTAGGAACAGGAAATATTTTAGAGGATCATTAGAGGATCATGTGCAAGCATCTAACGAGTAACACCTCTGATTAGGTTCTAGGAAAAGCAGAAATACTAGGGGTATTACTTAATACTTCACATTAGCTATCTGAATGATGGAATGCTTTTAATTAATGCTTCCTAACACTCTAGAAACAGGAATTTTATTTTTAAAATAAACTATTTTCTTTTTAAACTGAATTTATTTTATTATTATTATTATTTTTTAAAGGGTCTCGCTATGTTACCTAGGCTGGTCTCAAACTCCTGGGCTCAAGTGATCCTCCTGCCTCAGCCTCCCAAAGTGCTAGGATTATAGGAATGAGCCACCAAGCCTGGCCAAGAAACTGAATTTAAAACCAACACAAATTAGTGACAAGGGCCGAGTGTGATGGCTCACACCCATAATCCCAGCACTTTGGGAGGCCAAGGCAGGCGGATCACCTGATGTCAGGAGTTTAAGACCAGCCTGGCCAATATGGCAAAACCCTGTCTCTACTAAAAATACAAAATTTGGCCAGGCGCAGTGGCTCACGCCTACAACCCCAGCAGGTTGGGAGGCCGAGGCAGGTAGATCACGAGGTCAGGAGTTCAAGACCAGCCTGGCCAACATGGTGAAACCTCATCTCTACTAAAGATACAAAAAATTAGCCAGGGGTGGTGGTGCATGCCTATAATCCCAGCTACTCGGGAGGCTGAGGCAGGAAAGTCGCTTGAACCCGGGAGGTGGAGGTTGCAGGGAGCCAAAATCGTGCCATTGCACTCTAGCCTGGGCAACAGGGCCAAGACTCCACCTCAAAAAAAAAAAAAAAAAAAAAAAAAAAAAGCCGGGAGTGGTGACACACACCTGTAGTCCCAGCTACTTGGGAAGCTGAGGCGGGAGAATCACTTGAACCTGGGAAGTGAAGGTTGCAGTGAGCCAAGATCACACCACTGCACTCCAGCCTGGGCATTGCAAGACTCCATATCAAAAAAAAAAAAAGGGCCGGGAGCGGTGGCTCAAGCCTGTAATCCCAGCACTTTCGGAGGCCGAGACGGGCGGATCACAAGGTCAGGAGATCGAGACCATCCTGGCTAACACAGTGAAATCCCGTCTCTACTAAAAAATACAAAAAACTAGCCGGGCAAGGTGGCGGGCGTCTGTAGTCCCAGCTACTCGGGAGGCTGAGGCAGGAGAATGGCATAAACCCAGGAGGCAGAGCTTGCAGTGAGCTGAGATCGCACCACTGCACTCCAGCCTGGGCCACAGAGCGAGACTCCGTCTCAAAAAAAAAAAGAAAAAAATTAGTGACGTGACCTATTAAGATTAGAGGTCTGGCCAGGTGCAGTGGTTCATGCCTGTAATCCCAGTGCTTTGAGAGGCTGAGGTGGGGGGAGTCTAGGAGTTTGAGACTAGCCTGGACAACATAGTGAGACCCCCATCTCTACAAAAAGGTAAAAAAAAAAAAATTGCCCAGCATGGTGGCACCTGCCTGTAGTCCCAGCTACTTGGGAGGCTGAGGTGGGAGGGTTGCTTGAGCCCGTGAGGTTGAGGCTGCAGTGAGCTATGACTGCACCACTGTTTGCTCTCCAGCCTGGGTGACAGAGAAAGAGCGTGTCTCTTAACACAAACAAACAAAAAAACAGAGGTCCTAGAAAAAATTCGCCAAAATCCATTTTGTCTCTGAGTGATGAAATTGTGATGCTTTTTAATTTTTTCAAGACTTTTTTCTATTTTCCCAATAAGCTACCTTACTTTTATGAGTAAAACAAAAAATAAGTAAAACAAAAACTGCAAGGTTTTGACCTGGTAATTTTATTGTTGAAAGGATATCCTAAGGACATAACCTTAAACACACGGAAAGCTTTTTGCTTTTTTGCGTAAAAAAGTTTATATTGGGCGCGGTGGCTCAAGCCTGTAATCCCAGCACTTTGGGAGGCCGAGGCAGGCGGATCACGAAGTCAGGAGATTGAGACCATCCTGGCTAACACAGTGAAACCCCGTCTCTACTAAAAATACAAAAAAAAACCAAATTAGCCGGGCATGGTGGCGGCGCCTGTAGTCCCAGCTACTCCGGAGGCTGAGGCGGGAGAATGGCGTGAACCTGGGAAGTGGAGCTTGCAGTGAGCCGAGATCGCGCCACTGGGGGCAACAGAGCGAGACCCCGTCTCAAAAAAAAAAAAAAAAAGTTTATATCGTGGTGTTATTTACAATAAAGACCCCCAGGAATATACATGAGGTGGAGAATTAATCAATGAGGGCACATCTGCTCTCAGGATTCACATCACGGGTGCATCACCTCCCGGTCATCCATGAAACCAGAGTGAGCCCAGAGGAGGGGAAGGAGGCTGAGGTCACACTGGGGAGGTTTGAAAGGGACAGGGAGTAACTGCTTCTAAGTTACCTTTTCATCTACTTATTTATCTATTAAACAGAGGGCCAAAATAGCAGACTGCCTTGGAACAGTTCAGACGGAAGAAGGCCCAGCTGTACGAATGTAAAATGGAAATCCCCGGGCTGAGGTGATGGGTTTTTAGGGCTGTCAGGGTGTGAGGAGCTGAAAGATGCTGGTGCTGCTCCTGATGGGCACAGGCCACACCTGGCGAGACCAGCACCGTCCCGTGCCCTCTGTGGCCTGGGTGCACACGGGAATCCCAGCAAGCCTCAAGACGAATGAGTCTGACCCTATCCCCACCGACTCCCCGGACGGGCGTCAGGAGCGTGACACGTCCGGGGCCAGAAGCAGCATACGGCGCTGGCCTTTCCTGAAAGCCTCTCTGGTTGGAACACCACATTTTCATTGTAATCAGGAAAAAACAGAAATAATAATGATTGAGCTCTAACGCAACATTTTACATCAATTCTCTCACGTACTCTCCTGATAACTCTTACGAAGGGGGTCCATGCATTGTTCCCATTTCACAGAGGGGAAAGCAGGGACAGAGACGATTGTTTAGCCAGCAACTGTGGAGGTGGCTCTTGAGTGGGCAGTCTGACCCGGGGCCATGCCCCTCATGGCCTCGCACTTGCCTACTGGGCCAGCAGCTGAACGGGAAGCAAAGCTTATGTAGAAAGTTGGAAAGTCTTTTAGAGAAAGCTGATGAGATGACAAGTCACCCTGCCATGGTGTGTGGGTGGCCTGGAACAGGAAGTGCTTACCGCTGGGGTGCATCTGCTCTTGGCCGTGGAGGGCAGCAGGCTGGCCGGCGCTCATTTGGCTGGGCCAGGAGCAACCCTCCACTCCCAGCCTATCCTCTGTGTGTGTATGTGTGTGTGTCTGTGGGTGTGTTTCTGTGTGTGGTATCTCTGTGTGTCTGTGGATGTGTGTATGTGTGTCTGTGTGTGGTATCTGTGCGTCTCTGTGTTTGTGCGTCTATAGGTGTATCTGTGTATATATACCTGTGTGTGTGTGTGTATGCCTATGGGTGGGTGTTTCTGTGTGTGTCTGTATGTCCATGGGTGTGTGTATCTGTGTTTGTCTCTTTGTGTGTGTGCCTATGGGTGTGTGTTTCTGTGTGTGTATGTGTATCCTGGTGTGTCTATGGGTGTGTGTCTGTGGTTGTGTGTATCTGCGTGTGTGTTTCTATATGGGGTGTCTCTGTGTTTATGTGTGTCTGTAGTATCTCTGTGTCTCTGTGTGTGTGTCTATGGGTATGTGTCTCTGTGTGGTATCTGTGTGTGTCTGTGGGTGTGTGTGGTATCTCTGTCTCTCTGGGTATGTGTATCTCTGTGTGTCTCTGTGTGTATGTATCTATGGGTGTATGTATCTGTGTCTCTGTGTGTGGTATCTCACTGTGTGTCTCTGTGTATGTGTGTCTGTGTGTGTGTGACTCTGTGGTATCTCACTGTGTGTCTCTGTGTGTGTATGTCTGTGGGTGTGTATATCTGTGTGTGGCATCTCACTGTGTGTCTCTGTGTGTGTCTGTGGGTGTGTATATCTGTGTGTGGTATCTGTGTGTCTCTGTGTGTGTGTCTGTGGGTGTATATATCTGCGTGTGGTATCTCTCTGTGTCTGTATGTCTGTCTGTGGTGTGTATATCTGTGTGTGAGTATCTCTGTGTGTGTCTCTGTGTGTCTCTGTGTATGTGTGTCTGTGGGTGTGTATATCTGTGTGTGGTATCTCTGTGTGTGTCTGTGTGTGTGTGTCTGTGGGTGTGTATATGTGTGTGTGGTATCTGTGTGTCTCTGTGTGTACTGTGTCTGTGGGTGTGTATATCTGTGTGTGTAGTATCTGTGTCATCTCTGTGTATGTGTCTGTGGGTGTGTATATCTGTGTGTGGTATCTGTGTGTCTCTGTGTTTGTGTGTCTGTGGGTGTGTATATCTGTGTGTGGTATCTGTGTGTCTCTGTGTTTGTGTGTCTGTGGGTGTGTATATCTGTGTGTGGTATCTCTCCGTGTGTCTCTGTGTGTATGTGTCTATGGGTGTGTGATCTCAAGGACTAAGAGACCTTTGGGGGCCCCTTCTAGAGCTGAGGCAGCAAAGCTGCCCAGAAATTGGGCCCCAGCCAAGCAGAGCCACTGAGGTCGGAGCCACCGAGGTCGGGCGGCCAACACTGAACAGGTGGGCGCCCGGGGCCCTGTGCGGAGGTTAATGCAGCCGCAGTGTGCAGGCTCAGGCAGCAGGTGGCAGCGTGACCCTCAGCCATGCCACGTTACCTGTGAGCCAGCAGAGCAGGGAGTTCCGCTTGCCAGGCGGACACCCGACCTGGACTGAAGGCACTGGAGCAAAAGAGAAGGTCAGTGATGGGCACAGTCAGGAGACAGGACACGGAGCCACAGGCACAGGACAGAGGCAGACCTGACGGGGCCAGGCTGCTTTGGGCAGAGACGGGCCCAGTGGAGAAAGGGACGGGGCTCTGATGGGAAGGGTGCTCAGGGCACAGCAATGAGCCCTGTGCGGAGATGGGCAGAAGCTGGCTGAGTATGCCCAGTCATCTCCCCTCCCTTCTGGCCACACTAAGTGGGAACAGAGAAGTGACTACGGGTGGAGGGACCAGGCCTCTGAGGCTTCGTTGCACAAGCAGTGCCTGGGGGAGGCCTCCCGTGCCTGCCCGCCCTTCTGAACGAGATTTCCTCAAGCTGAACAGAGAACAGCTGCTCTTGGAGGCACAGGAAGTCCTCCCCAGGCCTCAGGCATCTGGCAGGGTCCACCTGCTCAGAGCCCCTCTCTGGGGCCCTGTCTGTCCCCTGCCCAGGGAGCCTGCCATGCCCCACTCATCTGGTGGAGGGGCCGACGACATGGTGGATAAGCTGAGCTGGGTGTCAATATTCATGGGTGCCCTACCGCCATGCCCCCTCGGGGTCCTTTCTGTCAAAGGACAATGAGAGGCACAGCACAGAGCTGCTCTGGGAACTGCAGCACGTACCCCACTGGCGTGGCCTGTTCTCTAGCACCAAAGTGGACTTTCTCTCTCTACCCTGCAGCAACCTCGCCCCAGGACCGAAGGCTGGAGAGGAGCAAGGAGATGAGCTGGCGAGACCTGGGCCTGCAGGGCCTTGTCTGCAGGGCTCTGCGGAGAAAGCCTGAGCCACTCAGCACCGGAGAGGGCACTGGGGCGGCCAGAGCGGCGCATCCCCACACCTTCCATCACACCTCTCGGGGTGTCCAGTCTCCCTTCTGTCTGTCCCCAAGGCCCTTTATTCCATCGGAGCTGACGTCTAACCAAAACCCAGTAGCCGTGTCCCTCGGAAAGCCAAACCCATCTGTAGCCTGCCCTGACAAACAGGCCCTCGCCTGGCTCCTGACCTCAGGCACTTCGGACGCACAGACTCCCCTCCTGTCCTCAGGAGCAGGGCCCTGGGCCTTCCTCCCCACAGGCCTCCTCCCCAGGCAGGCTGGTCTCCTCACCACCTCTGGACATGCCCTCCGCTGCCTCCCGGCCTTTGCTCTAAAATCCCTCTCTCCTCTCTTCCCCTCCAGTTTCTGGACCTCATCCAAAGGGGCAGCTCCCTCTGCTCCTCCACACCACCCGCTCCGGGCCCTGGCGGTCCCACCTCACAAGCCTCCCTCTGCCCCAGCCAACTGGCTATGAGCTCTCGGCCCACCCTCGGTTCTGGTGTCTGTCCACGGCTCCCCAGCTGCAGGGGGCCAGAGTGCAGCACAGACCCTGCCCAACCACTCACCGGAGGGGACCGAGGTCAGGGCCATAGTCCCATAGTAGGAAAAGGCGCCCGTCTCAAACTTCATGTTCTCCTTCCCTGCCTCCACCTCCACCTTCCCCTGAAAACACACAGGGCTGGGGTTAGAGACAGAGTGAGGGAGGAAAGAAAGGATGAGGCAGGAGGGGGAGTGAGGAAGAAGGGATGGTGGGGCAGGAGGAAGGGCCGGTACTGGAGCCCTGGAGAGCTCAGGGGCCTGACCTGTGAGATTAAGGGAGAGCACAGCCCCTCCTTCATCCTCTCAGGGAGAGGACAGTCACGTGGGGCAGGCGGGGCTCGGGGCAGGTGGCAGGCTCCCCAGGCCGGGAAGCCATGTACCTCCGCAGCAGGTGGGAAAGAGGGCCCGAGGGGTGCTGCGGTGCCAGGGGGAGCAGGCGGCAGGCCCAGGGCTGAGTGGGCTCACCTGCAGGATGAGGATGAAGTAGTCGGCCGGCTTATTTCGGGTGTACAGGTAATGGCGGGCGTAGTACTTATTATGCTCATCAAACTTGAGTTCCTGAATGACATCTGGGTACTTGAGCAGCCGCAGCAGGATCTTCTCTGATATCAGGGAGGGGCTAAACTGGGGAACCTCTGTAGGAGGACAGAGAGGAGACCTTACACGGGGCTGGCCAGGTGACCCTAAAGCTCGATCACCGCTGTGCGTCTACCCCAACCACAGTAGCCGCGCTGTGGTCAGACTCCCTCCCTGCTCGGCCGGCCCTCAGTTCTGTACCTCCCTGGGGAGGGAGCACGCTTGGCTTCTGACTGGTTGACCCGAGGCTGCCTGCCTGCCCGGGCTTGAACAGTGGCTCCTGCAAGAACAGCACGTGACCTTGGGCAAATTACATAACCCGCACCTCAGTTTCCTCATCTGTAATATGGGGGTAAGAGCTTCACAGGGTGGTTGTGGGGGCGAATGGGATGGCACATGGACAGCGCTTGGTATATGTGACTATAATTATTGCATCAGCATCGATATCCCACAGGAAAAATAATGGAGAGGGAATTACCATCCCTTTAGCAAGGAGTGGGAAGGAAGATGAATTGGGTGGGGTGGGGGAGGGGGCAGAGCGGGCAGAACAGAACCTGTCACCCAAGTCCCCAAAGAGCTTTGAATCAGGGCTGAAAAGAGAAATGTCTCGGAACTAGAGGTGAATTCCTGCAGGAACCAGCACACGTCTGCAGAGGGGAGGGCTGGAGAGATGAGAGCAGAGCTGGACGCAAGCTCCTCAGAGTGGGTGAGCGCACGAGGGGTTCAGCCGCACCCAGCAAGCCTGCAGAAGGGGAAGGATCCCTTCTTCCCATTCCACAAGCCCTGATGGGCCTGGCCAGCCCAGGGGCCCCCCTCAGTGGTTATTTTCTTTTTTGTTGTTTTTGAGGCAGAATCTTGTTCTGTGGCCCAGGCTGAGTGCAGTGGCGCATTCAGAACTCACTGCAGCTTCAAACTCCTGGGCTCAAGCGGTCCTCCCACCTCAGCCTCCTGAGTAGCTGGGACCACAGGCATGCAACTGTCCCATCTCACAGCCTCCTGAGTAGCTGGGACTACAGGAGGGCACCACCATGCCTGGCTTTTGTATTTTTTGTGGAGATGGGGTCTTGCCATGTTGCTTAGGCTGGTCTTGAACTCCTGGGCTCATGCAATCCTCCTGCCTTGGCCTCCCAAAGTGCTGGGATTACAGGTGTGAGCCATAGTGCCTAGTCATTATTTCCCAAACTATTAACTATAATAACTGGGATACTTCCTAGAAGTTTGCAGTAGCCGCCCATTAATGGCAAACGAATCACAGGGAGATCCCTGGGGGTGGAGTAGGCACCTGGCCCCTTCCAGGGGTGGCTGTGTTGTCTCTGCACCCCTCACCTGCTGCAGCCCTCATCCTACGGGGGGAAAGTAGCCAGAGACCCAGGACTTCTCCCCCTGTGACCGTATTTCCACCAAGACCGGAAGGTCCTCCCCCCGCTCCTACCTGTGGCTAGGAAGCGATGAGCAGCCAGGAGGAGCTGCGGGGAGATTTTCACTTTGAGCTCACTGTCCGTATCCTTGAAGGCGGAGAAGTCGCGCTTGTTCTTCTCGGACACCCGCTTCCGGCTTCGGTTGTCGGCTGCCAGAGGAAGAGCGTGGAATTGAGAACACAGACCCTGGAGGACTCAGGAAGAGACCCGCCCCGCAGCTCCTGCTCTCCAGCCCCTAGTCCCACACAGGAGCAGCGGGCTCTGGCTGGTAGGATCCCAGGGTGACGCCAAGGCACAGAGGCCGAGGGTGAAGGCAGCCTCCGGGCAATGCTCTCAGTAACCTGCTCCCTGCTCACCGCGGCCAGTGCAGGGCACCTGGCCACCGGGCCTTGGGATGCTAGGCCTCCTGTGTCCTGCACTATGGCCCTTCCAGCGAGGGACACCAGGTTTCGATCCAAGCAGGAAAGGGGTCCTGAGCCCCGTGGAGGGCTGGACTCACTGTACATGTCGGACTCATCCAGGATCTCTGACTTGATGATCTCCTCGATCACGTCCTCCAGGGTGACCAGGCCCAGGACCTCGTAGAAGGGGTCACCCTCACCCTCGTTGTTTACCTTCTGCACGATGGCCAGGTGGGACTTCCCTGTGGGACAAAGAAGCAGGTCAGGCAAGAGTCCAGAGGCCAGTCATGAGACTCCCTCAACCAAAACATTAACTCTAGATGTAGGGTCATAAGTCACCAGGATGGGGTCATGGAGGTTTTTCTCTTTTGCAACTTTCCTGACATTTCTACTACAAACAGACATTGCTTTTATGAAAAGGAAAACTAGAAGTAATTTTTAAAAGCATTTCGTTAAGGACCCCTTTTTTGTTTTTGTGGGGGAAGGACAGGGTCTAGCTCTGTTACCCAGGTTGGAGTGCAGTGGCACAATCATAGCTCACTGCAGCCTCCAACTCCTGGGCTCAAGAGATCCTCCCACCTCAGCCTTCCGAGTAGCTGAGACCACAGGTGTGCTCCACCATGCCTGGCTAACTCTTTTATTTTTTGTAGAAATGGGTCTCACTATGTTGCTCTGCCTGGTCTCAAACTCCTGGCTCAAGCAGTCCTCCCGTCTCAGCCTCCCAATGTGCTGGGGATACAGGCATGAGCCACCATGCCAGGCCAGGACTACTTGTTTAAATAGGATAAAAATGAGGGCCGGGCATGGTGGTTCAAGCCTATAATCCCAGGACTTTGGGAGGCCGAGGCGGGCGCATCATGAGGTTAGGAGACCGAGACCATCCTGGTTAACATAGTGAAACCCTGCTCTACTAAAAAAAAAAAAATACAAAAATTAGCTGGGTGTGGTGGCGGCGCCTGTAGTCCCAGCTACTCGGGAGGCTGAGGCACGAGAATGGCGTGAACCCGGGAGGTGGAGCTTGCAGTGAGCCAATATTGCGTCACTGCACTCCAGCCTGGGTGACAGAGTGAGACTCCATCTCAAAAATAAATAAATAGGCCGGGCGCGGTGGCTCACGCCTGTAATCCCAGCACTTTGGGAGGCCGAGACGGGCGGATCACAAGGTCAGGAGATCGAGACCATCCTGGCGAACACGGTGAAACCCCGTCTCTACTAAAAAAATACAAAAAAATAGCCGGGCGAGGTGGCGGGCGCCTGTAGTCCCAGCACTTTGGGAGGCCGAGGCGGGCGGATCACAAGGTTAGGAGATCGAGACCATGGTGAAACCCCGTCTCTACTAAAAATAGAAAAAATTAGCCGGGCACAGTGGCGGGCGCCTGTAGTCCCAGCTCCTCGGGAGGCTGAGGCAGGAGAATGGCGTGAACCCGGGAGGCGGAGCTTGCAGTGAGCTGAGATTGCGCCACTGCACTCCAGCCTGGGCGACAGAGGGAGACTCCGTCTCAAAAAAAAATAAATAAATAAATAAATAAATAGGATAAAAATGGCAACACTGGGAGCGGTGGCTCACACCTGTAATCCCAGCCCCTTGCAGGGCTGAAGCAGGCAGATTGCTTGAGGTCAGGAGTTTGAGAGCAGCCTGGACAACATGGTTGTCTCTACTCAAAATACAAAAATTAGCCAGGCAAGGGAGTACACACCTGTAGTCCCAGCTACTCGGGAGGCGAGGCAGGAGAATTGCTTGAACCCAGGAGGCAGAGGTTGCAGCGAGCCGAGATCGTGCCACCGCACTCCAGCCTGGGCAACAGAGCAAGACTCTGTCTCATAAAAAAAAAAAAAAAAAAGGAAAAAAGAGAAAAAGACCCTGCCTGGTGCCACTTATCAGGGGCTTCTGGGACCCTGGGGAGGGGAAAGACCCAAACTGACAAAGGCCCAGAGTGGCCAAGCACTGTGATTAGGCGGGGCAGAGACTACAGTCAGAGAGGGGCCGCCCCCTCAACCCAAAGGGAGGGAAGGAGGCTGAGGTGGGGCAGGACCCTCCACTGAAACCTTGTGGGGTGGTGGGTCTTCCCAGACCCGTTTTTGAAGGCCACACCCTGCTCTTATGGCCCCAGCCCCAGCGAGTGGCAACAGGGGCCAGCCAAGAAGGGCCGGGTCCACAGTCTAGGTGGGATGAATCCTGTGTGCCGTGCCCTACTCACAGGAACACGGGTTTGGAGCAGCCTAGGAAGAAAGGCCCCCGGAAATCTGGGAAGGTCAAGTCAGGGTCTTCTGCATGGCTTCCCCTTCACAATCCAAGGGCCTCGCTCTGGGGACTAAAGAACTCATCCTAAATACCCTCGGTGGAGGATGTTTTCCAGGTCTTCAAGGCCACAGAAAATCCCCCAGCCCAAGATGGGCTGTCAGAACTTCTAAGGGCCTCTTAGGGAAAACAGAGAGAATCCAAGGTCTCACGACTAAAGTACAGATTCTCACAATACACCCCATGTGCCGGGGCCGAGTACGGCATTGTGAAAGCTTTTCACACACATGCCGGGGCAATGATATATGTATTTCCCACTACAGGTTCTGGTCGAAAAACGTTTAGTGTATTGCCAGAGTCGTGGCTGGACTCGACTGAAAATTCCCCAGTATCGGCCGGTCGCCGTGGCTCATGCCTGTAATCCCAGCACTTTGGGAGGCCGAGGCGGGCGGATCACGAGGTCAGGAGATCGAGACCATCCTGGCTAACACGGTGAAACCCCGTCTCTACTAAAAAATACAAAAAAACTAGCCGGGCGAGGTGGCGGGCGCCTGTAGTCCCAGCTACTTGGGAGGCTGAGGCAGGAGAATGGCGTGAACCCGGGAGGCGGAGCTTGCAGTGAGCCGGGATCGCGCCACTGCACTCCAGCCTGGGTGACAGAGCGAGACTCCGTCCCAAAAAAAAAAAAAAAAAAAAAAAGGAAAAAAGAAAATTCCCCAGTATCTTCCTAGAGATGAGCCAACGAGTTCATGAGATCTGTGAGGCCCTCCAGCAGGGCGGCAGCAGGCCAGGCCAGGACCCCAGGGTTTGACCCCAGGCCTCTGTGCCTGCTGGAGGCTGTCCATACAGGAGTGCCCTCGAGAAAGACAGTGCCTGGAAGGGCCCGGGCATCCAGCTAAACGATGTCACCACATGGGGATGGGAATTAAAGCAAGGCGGCTTTGACAGGCTGAGTATCCCTTATTCCTCACTGGGGAGCAGAAGTGTTTCAGATTTCTGATTTTTCTGGATTTTGGAATATTTGCAGAATACACACCACTGAGCCCCCCAAATCTGAAAATCTGAACTACACAACGCTCCAGTGAGCATTTCTTTTGAGCATCATGTTGGTACTCAAAAAGTTTTGGATTTTCGAGCATTTGGGATTTTGGATTTTTGGATTCGGGATGCCCAACCTGTACCCCCTTTCAGATGGGCACCCTCTAAAAAGCCTGGTAATGCCCAGTTATGGCGGAGGATGGGGAAGACAGACAGGCCCTCACACGTATCTGGTTGGTGGCCAGGTAAAAGGGTACAACATTTCAGGGGGCCAGTTGGTCAGAATGTCACAAAATCAAGGGTTCCTAACCTTGGACTTGGAAGGTCCACTTCTAGGAACTTACCCTAGGGAGAGGCAACCTCCACAAAAGACACAAGAGAAGGGGGCTCTTGGCAACATTCTTTTTAACAGCCCTAAACCAGAAACAACCTAAAGAAATAGCAGCAGGGCACAGGGACTCAACAGGGGCCACAGCTACTCAAGGGAGAACATGGCGGAGGTGGATGAATGAAGTGCAGAACGAAATCCAAGATACGCTATTAGTGAAAGAGCAAGTCACAGAACGGAATGCATGGAGCCACCTGCCTGCACAGAAACAAAGCGGGTGTGTAGGCTTCAACTGCCCTGGAAGTGTCCGGAAGCAATAAGAGTGGTCGCCTTTGAGGGTATTTGGAGTTTGGGAAGGAGGCTATTATGCCTCTCTGTATACCCTTCTATACTGTTATATTTGATGGGCATATTTTACTTTTATAATTTAAAAACAAAACAGGCAAAATTAAGGGGGAAAACAAAATTAAGGAGAAGAAAGGGAAACTGGTGAGAGTCTCCAGGGTGGACAAGGGCCATCTGTGCCTTCCAATGCCACAGAGCGAGCCCCAGGCAATGGGGGTGTGTCCTTTGACAAGGTTCAGTGAGCGCAACCTTGTTCAGACCCCCAAAGTCAGAAAACAACCTCCCCATTACATTCACATCCCTAATTACTCCACAGGCTCACACCAAATCCTGACCAATGAAACGTTCCCTCACAGTGAAAGGCTGGTGGCCTCTCTCTTTATTTTTTTTGAGACAGAGTCTCGCTCTGTAGCCCGGGCTGGAGTGGCCCAGGCTGGAGTGCAGTGGTACAATCTCAGCTCACTGCAACCTTCACCTCCTGGGTTCAAACGATTCTCCTGTCTCAGCCTCCTGAGTAGCTGGGTGCACACCACCATACCCGGCTAATTTTGCATTTTTAGTAGCGACGGGGTTTTGCCATGTTGGCCAGGCTGGTCTCGAACTCCTGACCTCAAGTGATCCTTCTGCCTCGGCCTCCCAGGGTGCTGGGATTACAGATGTGAGCCACTGCGTCCCGCCTGGCAGCCTCTCTTAAAGTGGAAACAGCCCTGCTGCGGATGAGATGACCTGATTCCCTGAGCAAGGTCTTGATACCACTCTCAGCCCCCCGCCTCCTCTCTGAGGCCCCTTGGTGGGATCAACTGCTGTGTGTGTGCACCCTCGGGTGGCGGCCAGCTGCACGACAGGCACCTTGTAGGTGTGCAGCCCTGGGCACCGTGTACACGTGCACCCCTCCTCTGCAAGTTGAGCTTTGGGCACCGGCTGATGGCTGGCCAGCTGGGGTTCCGCACGGAGGTTCCAGCCTAAGGGGCCAGTCAGTCACCCTCTGCAGCGTGAGCTTTGGGTCCCTGGGCTGTTTTTGCTTTTTTCTAATTTGTCTGTCCAGAGGGGACATCTTTTTGTCCTGGTAGAATCTTCCCCTCCCCGGGCCAGAGACCTCTGGTCAAGGTCACCAATGACCTCTCATGGTGGAGTGTCATTCTCAGATGACCTGCTGACCAACGGTCACTCCCTCCTTTTCCCCGGAAGCCCTTTCTGCCCTCCCAGTGCTCCTGACCTCGGGGGGCCACTGCTTCTCCCTGACCACTTAATGCTAGAGAGACTCAGAACTCAGTCTGTACACCTGGTCCTTT